TACATCTCCCCTCACTCCCCGGGGAGAAGGAACGAATCCTCGAGTACATGGAGGCCAGGAAAGTTCGACACCGAGCAAAGAGGCCTCTGCGTCATGCGGTTCAGAAGGCCCGGGTTTCGGCCACTCTGATTTGATGTGTCGGGCCGCGGTAGTTGGTGCAAGGTGCATGTATTCCAAGTTATGGATGTGGGCGGGTAGGCGATAAGCCCCACAGGCTTTGAGAAACCTGGCTGGAGGCGACTTACGGCGATTGGCTCTGGGCGACCGTGATGGCATTATGGTGCTGCTAGCCGCAGCTTGGCAGAATTAGATGGGCTGGGAAGAGTTTCGCTGCGTTTCGCGCTGAGCTTCGGGCCGCGGTCAGGTCAGCTCGGCGGCCAGTCCTTTTCTTTTTTTTTTCTCTCTCTCTCTATCTCTCTATCTCTCTATCTCTCTATCTCTCTATCTCTCTATCTCTCTATCTCTCTATCTCTCTATCTCTCTATCTCTCTATCTCTCTATCTCTCTATCTCTCTATCTCTCTATCTCTCTATCTCTCTATCTCTCTATCTCTCTATCTCTCTATCCCTCTATCTCTCTATCTCTCTATCTCTCTATCTCTCTATCTCTCTATCTCTCTATCTCTCTATCTCTCTATCTCTCTATCTCTCTATCTCTCTATCTCTCTATCTCTCTATCTCTCTATCTCTCTATCTCTCTATCTCTCTATCTCTCTATCTCTCTATCTCTCTGTCTCTCTATCTCTCTATCTCTCTATCTCTCTATCTCTCTATCTCTCTATCTCTCTATCTCTCTATCTCTCTATCTCTCTATCTCTCTATCTCTCTATCTCTCTGTCTCTCTATCTCTCTATCTCTCTATCTCTCTATCTCTCTATCTCTCTATCTCTCTATCTCTCTATCTCTCTATCTCTCTATCTCTCTATCTCTCTATCTCTCTATCTCTCTATCTCTCTATCTCTCTATCTCTCTATCTCTCTGTCTCTCTATCTCTCTATCTCTCTATCTCTCTATCTCTCTATCTCTCTATCTCTCTATCTCTCTATCTCTCTATCTCTCTATCTCTCTATCTCTCTATCTCTTTATCTCTCTATCTCTCTATCTCTCTATCTCTCTATCTCTCTATCTCTCTATCTCTCTATCTCTCTATCTCTCTATCTCTCTATCTCTCTATCTCTCTATCTCTCTATCTCTCTATCTCTCTATCTCTCTATCTCTCTATCTCTCTAGCTCTCTATCTCTCTATCTCTCTATCTCTCTATCTCTCTATCTCTCTATCTCTCTATCTCTCTATCTCTCTATCTCTCTATCTCTCTATCTCTCTATCTCTCTCTCTCTCTCTCTATCTCTCTATCTCTCTCTCTCTATCTCTCTCTCTATCTCTCTATCTCTCTATCTCTCTATCTCTCTATCTCTCTATCTCTCTCTCTATCTCTCTCTCTATCTCTCTCTCTATCTCTCTCTCTCTCTATCTCTCTATCTCTCTATCTCTCTATCTCTCTATCTCTCTATCTCTCTATCTCTCTATCTCTCTATCTCTCTATCTCTCTATCTCTCTATCTCTCTATCTCTCTATCTCTCTGTCTCTCTATCTCTCTATCTCTCTATCTCTCCCTCTATCTCTCTCTCTCTCTCTCGCTCTATCTTTTCAAATCACCGGGCCCGGTTCGGACCTTCCGCCAACCCAAGCAAAACAAGAAGCACTGCTCAAGCCAAATTAGGTATCTCTCCATGTGGGAACTGTCCCTGAAGACCTCCATGTCCAGGTCCGAGCTGCCCCCACTCCCCACGTATTTGGTGACATAGTCGGTTTCGCAGCTGCAACAGTCGACATCAAGTTTCCAGGACCCAGACTAGGCCCTTATTCCCTGGTTTAGGGGTTTAGGTTCCCTTACCAGCCCCTTTAAGCCAAAAAGGGCACCCTTTGTATTCCTAGGTCACTCTTGGGTCTAGGATCACCCTATAAACCCTAAACCCGATATCTGTGTGAAACCTGCAGAACTCCAGAGGTAGACGCGGCCAAGTCATTAAGAGGTTGGGCAAGGCAACAGGTCCACAGCGATTGAAACCGTCAAAAGGGCGAGCCCAGTCGAAAGCTCCCTCACCAAAAGCAGTTGGCAAAGACGCACAAGCTACCACCCCCGCATGAAATCATGTGAGTGCTTTCACCCAGAGGCCACGCACATCCCGCTGCCCTAGCTGCCTGTCAGGATCACACAGATCTCGAGATCAGCTGGCCATCACTCCAGGCCCCATCGATCACAGATTCGGTTTCAGGATTTCAAGGCTTCTCTAGTTTATATCGAGCTGCCCTGCAGTTTAAGCATGGGACAAACCAGGCATTCTGCTAACACCTTAGCGCCAGGGGCTGCCTCACATGGTCTGTCGCAGCCTCCTGGACATAGCGCGAAGGTTGTTCCACTGTTGTTCCCATGCCGCCATCTACGGCGATGCATCTGCGCTGCTTGAAAGAATTGGTACTGCCAGGGAATGTCATGGAAGACCAACAAGTGTACCCATAAGTATTTCGTGCCTGCCTTTAGAGAAAGAACCTGTCCCTCATCCATTAAAGTGCTGGGCCAAGCTTTTCTGCTTCAAGTGTGGACTCGCTAAAGGCATACAATCGGAACTTCAGGGCTCAAGGGCATCGTGCTGCGTATGTGCATCCGAGTGCCAAACTTGGCCTCCCTTCAACACCATCACGGGCACTTCAGGGTACGATCATCCTTTAAGCGGAGACTGCGAGACTCTCTTGAAGCTTCACAAGCCTGCGGAGGTTCGTCGGGGCGCTCCTACACCCAGCAGGACAGCCGGGAGAGCAAACACAACAGTCCCGGCTGCAAGTAGCACTGTCGTGATGTTCTGATTGAGCTACTTGGAGGTTCATGGGTACTTTATCACCCAGAATAGCCGAATAAGTTAGCCCTCCAATATTGTTAGCATCGAGGCCATGAACCTCCAGCTTAGTGGGAGGGCTGCGGAGTGATCGGGTCTTGCCCATAGCTGTGTGAACTTCGGCCAGGCCCAAGAGTTGCAGAAGGCCTCTGACATAAGATCCCCTTCATCCCGAGACAGGGAAAAATCAAAACAAAGCAACAACAAAAAGCAACAACAAAAACCAAGAAACGCTGACAAGAACACACTGAAAGCCAAAGCCAAGCCGGAGTTCAGAATGGCCATGAAGACAATGAAGACAGCTGGAGCCGCCGGGCTCCTCTTTTGGTGCCTTCTGAGCCCGGTGTTGCTCTGCACCTGTGCCTTAGGGATTTTTGGGAGTGAGTTTTTTTGATTTTTGGGATACCATATTTCCTAAAAGAAACAGCTCAAAGAAACAGCTAAAATTTTGCATTTTTCGCTGGGTTCCAAAGTCAGCAAATAGGTGCGGCATGCAGCATCGGCAGCCTCCAGGCTTCCCTTGACGACCCCCAGCTGGCAGGATCCCGTGAAGTGCACGTGGCCGGCACCTTTGCTTATGTGGCCGCAGAGTCGAGCGGGAAGCTGGTGTCAGTCGATTTTGACAAGCCACTGAACCAGCCTGGAAGCCCAGAGATCGCTGGTGTTGCAGATGCCTCCGACAACCAGGCGGTCACACACGTGAGCTACATTTATGCCTCTTCCATCACTGGTCTGAAGGTCTTCACAACAGGGCCACTGAACGAGCTGGGTTCTTCTTCGAGATTCAACAAGCACCTGAGCTATGCCAGATGGGGAGTGTATCTCTATGCAGTGACCCTAAACAGCAATATCGATATCTATGACATAACCTCGCCAGCGTCCCCATCGAAAATCAACAGTATACCTTTCACTGATGCTGTTGATGTGGTGGCGGGAACGAGTGGCTTGTTTTGGGTGCTCTCCACAAGCGGAACCTTCAATGTCTACAATGCCGCAACCGCCCCGGACTCTGTGGTGAAGACTTTCTCCGGCACGGGCAGTCAACTGCCCTCATGTCAAGGGATGTCCTTGACTCACGGGTGGAAACTGCACGTGGCTTGCAACGGACGTCTACAATTGATTGATGTCAACAATGACCCCAATATTGTAACCTTCCGTGGTGGCGTGGATGATCCCCTCTTGGCAAATAGCCAGAGGGTAGACGTGGACACTGGCGCCAGTATTGCCTATGTCACGGCTGAATCCCTTCGTATCGTGGCGGTGGACGTCAGCGTTGCAAGCAGCCCTTTCATCTTGGATTCCAAAACCACCGGCGTGACGGGCGTCTGGGGTGTCGCAGTGTCAACCAATGGTGTCTACGTGACAGGTGATGGGACTCTCCAGTTGTGGCCGAAGTGTGTCGCTACCACCAGCACCACTACTTTCACTGCCACTACAGCCACTGCCACCACCTCCACTAGCTCCACCTTCACGGTGACGATCACAAGCTCCACATTCACCAGCGTCACAATCACCTCCACCAGCCTAACCACTACATCATCTACAGCGAGCTCCACCAGCAGCACCAGCACAACCACAAGCAGCACATCCTCAACCATCAGTTTTACCAGTAGCACCAGCGCCACAACCTCTTCCAGCAGTAGCTCGACCAGCAGCAGCTCGACCAGCAGCACCTCTACCAGCCGCAGCAGCAGCTCGACCAGCAGCAGCTCGGCCAGCAGCAGCTCCACCAGCAGCAGCTCGACCAGCAGCAGCTCCACCAGCAGCAGCTCCACCAGCAGCAGCTCCACCAGCAGCAGCTCCACCAGCAGCAGCTCGTCCAGCAGCAGCTCGTCCAGCAGCAGCTCGTCCAGTAGCAGCTCTACCAGCAGCAGCACTTCATCAACATCGAGCACTTCCACAACATCCACCACTTCAACTTCAAGAACAGCAACGCTTCCGGAAAGTGTTGACGCCGTGCTTGAAGTCATCGAGTCCAACATCGACTTCCTTGCCAGCCATTTGCAAAAAACTGGAAGCACCTTCGCCGCACAGTCTTGGGCCTGGGCTTCCGCAGAAGCCTTCAGGATTCCCAACAGGTCCTTGTTTGGCTGGCACAACTTCACCATGGAGAATCTGTCCGTTCTCGTGCCTGAGCTGGGAGATGGAAGCGACGGAGGCGAAGATTGGGTGCTGGTCATAACAGCGACGGCTGTGACGGCCCTGGAAGATTCGGAAGGGGCTGAGCCCGCTGAGCCTGCTCAGCCGTTTCCCTTTGAGAGGGAGAACTTCGTGGTGGACCCGGTAGACATCTCGCTGGTAGGCCCCGAAAATCTCACCCTCAACAAGTCGATTTACATCCGCATGTCCAGTCTTTCTCCTCAACCGACCTGGGCGTGCGTCTACTTGGACACCAGGAATGAATGGTCCACCCAGGGCGTGAGGCTGGTGACCCAAAAGGAACTGGATGAAGTCTTCGGGGAGCTGGCAAACCTGTCGGGCACATGGCGTCTTAGAGGTATTTGGATGGTCAATTTGTGTTTTGAATTACGCTTTTGGTTACGTACTATAATTTTCCTCAGAACATGACTTTGCTAGGGTTCCAAGTTGAGTATAGGTGTGTCACCAGCCATCTCTCCATGTTCTCCGTCCTGGACATTCTTCTCGATTGCACGAATTTGAACGTCTTGTCCGAGGACGGCTTGCTTCAGATCATCCTGCGGCCGAACTGGTGGAGTCGCTGGCCAGGTTTGTTCTTGTGGCTCCTCCTCAGTGCTCTGGTCTTGCTTGTCCTCTTCGGTGCGAACCGAGACGCGAAGACTCACAAGTCTGGCATTTGGCGGGATGAGTACTTTTTGACTGAGCTTCCTCCTGTCTCAGACCCTTCGCGCTTGTCTCGGCTCTGCCGTTTCCTCCGCCATCCATACCAGTCCTCCGCAACAGCCCGGGCCCCAAAATCTCAGCCCCGAGCGACGCGGACCATGACCCCAACACCGACCCACATCGCGGCAGCCAAAATGCGGGCCCTCAACGACCGCGTTCGTAAGCTGAAGCCAGCATCATCGCAGAAGCTGAAGGAGAAGGTGATGTGCCAGAATACCCTTGCAGAGGCTGCGTTGCACAACCGGCTGCACAGAGCATCCATCCAAGCACACATTTGGGGCCAGCAGGGCTGGATTCAGGGAAGTCTGGCCGTGCAGCAGTCCCCCAAGCTGAAAGAGCTCGTTCGGGACATGGAGGAGAGCCTGCCGAAGGACTTTGTGGCCGTGCATACCTCAAAAGTCCATCGTCTTTGGTCCATCTTCTTGGCAGTCCACCCCGTGTACGAGCTTCTCCATGTGGATCTGCACGTCACAGCGGCCAAGCGCGCCAAGATCAACATGGACTGCATTTTGGGCTCCCTAACCTTTCTTGCCATCTTCTTCTCAGCCGACGGCTCCGCCGTGTCTGCGCGGAATCCCGCTGACTGTCCGGTGCAGCAAAATTCAGTTCTGTGGATTGTGCTCATCTCGTTGGTCTCCGTGTTCCTGAACTTTGTGCCGCGGCACCTGGCCTCTTGGCGCTACAAGTAGTTGTGCCATGCTCATACTCGAGAAGGTTGAACAGCCGAAATGAAATTGCCTGCACTATGACAAGATCTGGGTCCAGATCCCAGTGATAAGACCGCGAGTCTCTAGTTGGTCTCTTCGACATAGCCGACCTTGACGCATCAGCTTGCCAGCTTCAGGTCTTCCTCTTGGCTGCTCGCAACTTCGTTCAGGCCAAGCCGAACCGAGATCAGCAGCTCAAGATCCGCGCGTACAAGGACAGGGTTTCAACGTGGAAAGCGCAGTGCTGAAAGCACACGCTCCAATCAACAGCTGGCAGAAGAGAACAGCCGTCGTTCTCTCACTTTTGGGGGGCACAAGGTCTCCGAAACCATAGCATCGCAGGATGGCCTCTTCTGGTGCATCGGAAGCTGCATGACCTTTGTGCAGCTCCTTGTGATCGTGGCCTTCTTGGCAAACCTCGGCGAAGACCATGAATGGAAGTGGATGACATCGTTCGCAGCTGCTCCCCACAGAATCGGGTTGGCTGGGTCAGGTCGTATTTTTCAGCGCTTGCGCGCGCCGCCTCGGCCGTCGGCGGTGAAAAAGGGCTATGTTTTTGTACAACTTCAGGCATCACGGGGGGGCCAGGACCCCCACATTATCGGCTCTCGGCTCCTCCAAGGACTCTAAGGGATCTGGGGGCAGGTTGGGGCGAGAGGGGGGGTTGGGGGCTTGTTCCAGATGCAAATCATCGGCCGGGGGCCGAGGCGAACAGCACGCAAGACACCCTAAACCCTACTCATTAAACCCTAAACCCTGAACCCTGAACCCTAAACCCTAAACCCTAAACCCTAAACCCCAAACCCTAAACCCTAAACCCTAAACCCTAAACCCTAAACCCTAAACCCTAAACCCCAAACCCTTAACCCTTTAAACCCTAAACCTGAAATGCCAGACTGAGGTTGTACTGCTCCGTAAGCTCCTATTCGTGCCTTTCCTTGCCGCGATCTTCAGTCTGTCGACAGAGCCCTGGCTGTTCAGTCGAAACGTTCGGATCTTGCTGTTGTGCTTGTATAACTACGCTTTGCTAGGCCCCACAAGATTCTCTTTAGATTCTCTGTCCCAAGTCAAAGATGCACAGGACTTCGTGTGTGGCACAAAAACCACCTGGACACTCATGGCCCCGGAGACTCGACTTTGGAGCTTGCAACCTTTTTTTAACGCCGCTCGTGCCATAGGGTGTCTCAAGATGCCAGATGCTCTTCAAACTAGGTGACAATCCCCAATATGCAAGGATAGCTTTGGTTTGGACCTTTCTCCAGAACCCCATGGCGCAGCGACAACGATCTCCGCAGAGGATAACGCGACTTGGGCATGGGGATTTGAAGGTTGTTGGGTTCCTCATGGAGTTGCTCTCAGGAGCGTGTGCAAAGGGATGAACGCATGGCAAAACCTAGCTGCGAGCCACGAGCCCCACCCCTCTTCACTTTTTAGGGTTTAGGGTTTAGGGTTGTTTATCAGCAACTGCCTGAGGACTCCTGGGATGCGAAGGTGCACGAACTGGCAGGTCGCGGGATCAGCACAGAGTCTGAAAGCTCATGATGACAAGAGTGAGACATCTGCATTTCAGGGTTTAGGGTTTAGGGTGAACCCTAAACCCTACACCCTAAATTCTAAGGGGCTACGCCCAGGGGCGGGCAACGCCCCCAGGAGTAGCAGGCAGAGGCATGGCAGCTCCCAAAGCGTGGGCGCGCGCTCGCTGGCTTGCTTGCTTGCTTGCTTGGCTGGCTGGCTTGCTTGCTTGCTTGCGTGCGTGCGTGCGGGAAGCTCCTGGCCACGAGCCGGAAAAAAGCCTCAAAAGCCTCCTCCGACAGAGGCATCACGAGCATCATTGGCTCCGTTCCTTGTGCTGTGAAGCATCCCTGCCCCCCCCCCTCCTTGGGGCCATCGGCACCCCTCCCAAGGGGCATGAAAATCCCACAAAACGCTGCCCCTGCCGAGGCGGGATTTGGAGCCCCTCTTCCCGAAATAGCGACGCTGCTGATGCTCATGATGCTCGCCGGGGTCACCCTTATTCCGGTCGAAAAAAAGCTCAAAATCATTGGTATGGGCGGTGTTTCCTGCTTTGGAATGCTTAGGTGCTCTCGCGTCCCCGACGGTCCGGCCCGGTCCGGAAGGGCACCGGGAGGCCGCGGAGGTCCCATGATGCCCTTCGGGGGCGGGCGGCATTGCATGCCAGCTCATTGCCAAAGCAAGGGCTTCTGCCCTGGCGGGCACACAGGGGCATTGCCCGATTTAGGAGCCTCCAGCTCAGGCCGCCGACCCAAGAGGCGCTAACCTGGGGGTGTGAGGGAGGGGAGGGAGGGTTCTCTCCCCCACAACCATCCAACACGCCGCACCAGGACCCTAAACCCTGAACCCTGAACCCTAAACCCTAAACCCTAAACCTAAACCCTAAACCCTAAACCCTAAACCCTAAACCCTAAACCCTAAACCCTAAACCCTAAACCCTAAACCACAGTCCTGGTGGTGGCTGCCAGGTCGTGGAGTTACCTTGCGTCAACTGTTGGACTTTTACTCCCTCCTGGGAACGGATGCCGACTCTTGCCTGAGAACTTGTTAGGGTTTAGGGTTTAGGGTTTAGGGTTGAGGGTTTAGGGTTTAGGGTGTAGGTACCCCCACAGTGTAGTTTTGATTGCTGGTTGTTTCGAGGGAGTTGGAGGTCCGTCACGCCAGGCTGCATCCCTCGGACCTTACTTGGAGGTTCATGGGTACTTATAACCACAGTTATAAGTCTACTTAGGGACATAGGGGGGCTTATAAGCACAGTTACAATTTGGGGTTATATGGACCCTGAACCTCCAAATGCATGGTGCTCAGCATCATAGATCAAGGCCAGGGTTCTTGGGGCCCGATCTCTGGCGCATGTAGAGAAGGGATTTCCAGAGCTATACCCCGTGGTTCTTTGTAGGGAATAAGGGAACGAGGTACCCTAAATATACCCTTCAAGGGATTATATAGGGTACCTCATTCCCGCATTCCCTACTAAGAACCAGAAAGTATATAGCTGTCTTGGAGAGCGCGTGCCTCCTTTGATCTGAGGTGATGCCACACTTCAACCCGCTGGAATCCACTACTCACGATGTCGTGCGTCAAGCGATCATCCCATTGTCCATGCGAGTTCGGGAGAGTCGAACTTTCTCCATTCTGGTGCATGAAGCAGCAGGGCCCCTGGGAAGAAACTTGAAACCGCTGTTTCTTTGCTATTTTTCTGCGCATCAGAGAGGGAATGTAGAGAAAGGTACGAAAAAAGGGGACCTCTAAAATAGCCCAAGGTGCCCCTAATATCGTAAACCCCCAAATTATTCAAGTTGTGTTCTATGGCTCTCAAGAGTGACCACCAAGGCTCCCAATGCTCGACATCTGGCCTACGTTGTCGTTTGAGAGCTTTGGCACGCAGCAGGTGTCCCGCAGTCCTTGAGGGGTCAGTCCTTGCGGGGTTACATGAGCTATCGCTTGACTTCAGAGCACATGCCGTTTGTAAACATTGGGTAACCTCGCCCCTACTACAAGTGGAACACCACAACCAGTTACGACTACTGAGGCTTGATTTGCACTATCACCAGAAAGCGAGTAGGCTTGCAACTTCAAGGGTTTCCAAGCCTCAGTGTGAATGTTGAGGAGACACGCTCGTTCTTGGAACATCTCGGTTGTAGTAGGTCCATTCGTGCGTCCACACGCTTAAGATCCAAGTTCAAGCCCACTTGCAAACCATGCCACGCAGCGCACTCCAGAAAACTTACTCGTACTGTCAGTTAGTAGGGAATGAGGGAATGAGGTACCCTATAGAATCCCTGGGTATTTTTAGAGGGATATAATTCGGGTACCTCATTCCCTCATTCCCTACCAGCCAACAGTAAGAAAACAAGGAGCTAGAAGGGTGGTCCAACTGCGGCAGCTCAACCATACAACATCCATGGGGCTGATTGTTTTCCGTAGTGTTGGATCCAAGCAGTTTTGAGCCCAGTTGCAAGAGGCCAGCGAGAGTAAACTAAGGGGTCCACCCTTGTTGTAAGTTTGAACTCGCGCCTCCTTACAGCGTCAGCTGCGCAGTAGACCATTCCTTGGACCATGCTTGTCCCGAACTCGGTGAACTCCAAATGGATCCCAAGGTCCCCAAAATGGCACCCAAAACGATTTCCGTCGGAGGTTTGCAAGGGGATTGGTCAAAATGATCTCCAACAGATTCGCATTGCACACAGAAGCTTTCACTGCATGCAACAACTTGACAACAACGCGTCAGGCAACCACAAGCCTGATTCCAAAGCACCATTCGAAACATCTCAGTAGCACGAGTGTTGTTTCGGTGCTTTTTTATCAGGCTCGTGGTTCTCTGACGCGTTGTCAAGTTGTTGCACTCGTGCTACAGTGAAAAAGCGTTTGACATCATTAAGCTACACAAGCCTTAAAACCCAAAGGCATCGCCAGGAAAAAGTCAAGCCGCTCTTGGGCACTGCCAAAAAAGCGATAGAGCAAATGGTGTCTACTTGAAAGAAACAACTGATAACTTGTGCTTCCACGTTGAAGGACTAAAGCTCCTTTTCGCACTACAGTTAGGCCCCCCATCACCCCGATAAGCAGCACTCAACATCTTGCTTTAGGCACCGAAAAGCAGAACCTGGCAGATAAGAATACAATATAGTTATACAACTATATAAGAATATCGAAATACACTAAGCTATATTAACATGGTAATACAATAAGATGAATTAAAAAACTAATGTACTAACATCATAATGGAAGAATCGGGTCATCTAGTAATATAGTATGCACAACTGCGAACGGAGGTAAGGTAAGAGAACCGAGAGTATCAACCCTGATGTTTGCACTAAAGCGGAAGTGGCTTCAGAACATGATTATCGAATTGCATTCTGATACTCTATATCATTATCTTGCTATATCTCTTGTTGTGGCTTCAGAACTTGCGTCCTCAGGATTCTGGTTATCGACCAGTCGGCCACAGCCAAGCCTTGGAAAGGGGTGGCGAAAGGCAGCATTGACTTGCCATCAGGACATCTGACCATTGTCTCTTGTGTGCGTCAGGCTGCCCTCTCAGCAAACTCAAAAAGGAAGAAGCTACGCAGCTACTAGCAGCTACCGGTCATTTGCGGCTTTGCAACACAATGGGAGCCAGGGGTGCACATGACCAGGGATCGTTTTTGGCATGAAGCCACCCTAGACCCTAAACCCTAAACCCTGAAACCAGATTCGCCCGACTAGGAGCCTGGAACATGTTCGGTGTCGTGCGAGTTCAGATAAGAGCTCTTCACGTACAGCCAGATCAAAGAAGGAAAAATCACCACCAACAGGGAATTTTTATGCAAAGCCTTTGTGGGACTCCCGGCTTGGCTCGGAGCCTTCAATTATTGGGTTTAGGGCCGCTTAGGGGTTAGGGTTTGGCTCCTTGGCTTCGTAAGATTCAGTGTGCACCGAGGTTATCAATCTGCTGTGGCAAGCATAATCCTCAATGAAGGTTTTTCCGATGGCGTATATCAGGAGGGGATTCCGAGAGAAAGTGCTGCTCTAGTTGGGCCTCGCAACGCGAGTATTTGGGCAGCTCCCCGGCGCCCCAACCGCAGCTGCCCCCGAAACCTAAGGGCCCGACTGCTGGGCCTTCCGGAAGATGTGGCTGTGGGGCTGTGGGGCAACAAAACAACACAATTAAGGCGATGTACCTTTGCTGGAGCACAGCAAAAGCGGAACCCTCAGTCCTCCCCTCAGCAAGCAGTGAGGCGCGGGCGCAGCAAACAAGCTTGCTCGCAAGTGAGGGTGTGCACTTGCAACATCGCGCTCATTTTGTGTTCGGTATAAAGTTACATGCAAAATCTAATACGGCATCACACCTGAGGCATGTGCATACAAGAAGAAACAAGAATCAAGGGCAGCTGTGCAATGCTGTGCACCACCAAGAGACTTCCTGGTGACAGTGAACGCGGGCCTTAAAGAGTGCCAGCTCCTGTAGACGGCAGCGGGGAGCAAGGGCTAACTCTGCACGGGTGCCTTCGAAACAATGGAGGTTTTTCGTAAACCTAGTGGAGGTAGAGCCTTCCAAGTAGAATAGAGCAGTTTCGCTAGTCATTGTGTTTTGGTAGCGTTTACTCGCAGAATCTTCTGTGATGGCCGGAGGTTTTTTCTAATGGCGAATATTCGGCCACGACTTGGCGCCCACTGCAAACTTCATTGGACCTACTCGGCTCACCACAAGTTCTGCAACGCAACATGTTTCTTGAACTCATCTGCCGTGCCTTGCAGATTGCAGCATTGACCAGGACTGCCACGAGAGGTTCTTGTCGTCGAGGCTTCTTGGTGCGCAAAGACCTGAGTCCAAAGGTTGTGTTGGGTATCGTTTGAATCGGGCAGGCTCTGTGGTAGATACTCATTTTGGCTGATTCCGGTTCTTGCCGTCCCTTCTAGGAGTTGGAAGCCCTGCAAAGTTTGTACCTGCTGTGTCCATGCAATTCCCCTGCGATAAGTCGTGCAGAGATCGTACGTCCACATGGGAGTTGCTCAGAATGTTGGAGCCTTTCCCCAACCATAAACCTTGGCGGGTGGGAACGAAAAGCAAAAGGGCCCATAATTTTGATCAAACTCTACACGGGGTCAGTCTGTCAATGGGACCTGTGGAGATGATCGCATGGAGGTTGTTCCTGACAGCTTTAAGACTTTAAGGTTCAGGGTTTGGGGTTTGGAGGGTTTGGAGGGTTTTAGGGTTTGAGCAAGGGTGCTGAGGGTGCTTGTTTGAGGCTCCAGCTCATGGAGCAGAGTCTGGGGGTTCAAGTGTTGAAAACGGGCAAAAGAAGGGGGGCCCCGCGTGCTTAGGCGCTTGCCTGTGTTCTAAGTAAAGGGGTTTCAGGGGGGACCTTGGGTTGGATCATGATAGAGCGATCCTTCCACTGATGGCTGCTGCGAAGGGTAGCTTGGGCTTGTTGGCCTTGTAGAGCCACATTGAGCTTGATATGCGTTAAACTCTGGGGGCATTCACTTCTGAACGGCTCCGTCTGAAAGTTGATGTTTTGCAAACTGCTTGTAAGGACGTCTTCATGGACGAGTGCGTGTGCTTTCGAATTTGGGATTCTATGCACTCATCCGACACTGCCTTGGAGACACATGTGAGTGCTGCCTCGATGCTTGGCTCAGGGTTTATAGGGTTGGGAGTGGCGACTCCTTGCATAGTGTACGGCATGCATCCTAAACCCTAAACCCTAAACCCTTCTGTCGGGAGCATGTGAGGTTCTGGGACGGCTTCAAGGGTGAAGTGGCGCTGGACACACGCCGCTTGGATCTGGACCACAGAGGGCTCATGAAGGGTCGGGATGCCGGAATCAAGAGGGTATTAAGGGTTTTTTTTAGGGTTTCCAGCTTAAGCAAACTGAAGGGTGACCAAGGATTGCACACAAGACAAGGGACAGGGAGATGACAAAACAGCTGAGCAGAGCACCTCCACAAACATAGATAGCAGGCACAGACATACAGCAAACTGAAGACCATTGAAACCCATAAATGCAGCTCTAGTCCGCTGTGATGTTGCCCTTGCAGCCATCATCCTTGGAAAATGAAAAAGGGAGGGTGAGTGCCTTGCGCAGCTTTGCTTTGAACACGTGTGTCAGCATGTTTTGGGAACCCTAGCACAGTCGCCGTCGTGCTCCAGACTTGAGGCCGGAGCAACTCGGACGATGGTCTTGTTTCCGTCAGCTTCGATGAGGAAGGCATCCGGAGTAATGTGTGGGCAAGGCCAAAAGCGGTTTAGGGTTTACGGTTTACGGTTTAGGGTAAGGACGCTGTATCGATTCCCAGGGAGTCTAACTCGGGGGCGCGGGTTGCTTCGTGCTTGACGAGTCGAAAAAAACACCTAGTTAGCTGACCTAGCTGAAATTTGGTGGAAATGTTGGTGCTCCGAACTGACACACGGCAAAGTGCAGCAGTTACATATCAGAATTAGAGGGTTTACGACTAAGGGTGTACAGATTGGGGATGGAGACCTGGACAGGTACAGTAGCATTGAGTATCATGTGATAATCTACTGCTGTTGGTCCGAACATTTTTTGTTCAACCAAATGTAACGTCTCACAGTGTATAGAAATCCCATATCAATCTGTAAAAGTTGTTTCTGAGGCAATTGGGTTGAGACCCTGTGACATTTCCCGTGAGCGACCTCAAGCTGTAGGCAAATCTTCTCAAGGCCCGATGAATTGAAACGCCTCGAGTATGCACCGTTGGCATGCTTGATGCAGTTTCGTAACTCAGCCCTGAAGCAAAACTGCTGAGCGTCATGGCATCATATGGCACCCTTAATATAGGGACCCTAAACCCAAAACCCAAAACTCTAAACCCGCGAGTGCTGGGCTGGTGGCAAAAACGACCAAAACGACCAAACCGACCAAAACGACCAAAACGACCAAAACGACCAAAACGACCAAAACCCTCAACCCTACTTAGAACTCCCCAGAACTCCCCAATTCTTGCCATGCTGTGTGAGTTCACGCCGCCCTCTCCGTGACCATAACCCCACGCGTGGCTTGGCACAAGGCTTGGGACTCAGGCCTTGGGCTTTGAGGGCAATAGGGTTTAGGGTTTAGGGTTTAGGGTTTAGGGTTTAGGGTTTAGGGTTTAGGGTTTAGGGTTTAGGGTTTAGGGTTTAGGGTTTAGGGGCAGACTCGCCCACTCGTCCTCGACACACTGCCTTACGCATGGCATTGAAGCAGAGGAGACGTGGAGAAAGAATGCTAGACTCCCATGCTGACTGTTCCTGAGTCACCTGCCACCCTTCAACCGAACGCATTGGTTGCCTAGGCAAGAAGGTAAAACCAAGGCAGGCAAACGATTCGCCGACGTTGTTTTCTGGACTTGTCGTTTCTCGCTTCATGGGGTTCCTTGCTGCACGTTGAGTGAAGCCTATGTGGGCATGGTTTCAGCTGACCTTGAAAAAGAATCTGGATTCAAACAACAGGACCAGGTCGACTCGTCACCTCATCAGCAATGCAGCTTGCGACTAGACTAAACGCAAATTTGCAGCTCCATTGCATACACGGAGCCGCTCTCCCAGAGCAAAAACGGCGTTTGGGTGCTACATCTCGCAAAAATCTTGAACAGGTAGCAACAGGTGCAAGCAAATGAGTAACCTGAGAAGCCAGCAAACTGGAGCATGCCCGCAATTGCCAATGATGCTCGAACTTCCCCTTCAAGATTGGGGGATACCTTGTGGGGTCGTTTTGGTTCGGTATTCAAACGCATGCAATATGTTTCGGGGTTTCCGGCGGAGGCTTGGGGTTTTGGTTGGTTGCTTGCTCTTGGGTCTTTTGCTCTTTAGAATGTATGGCCGCAAGCACGAGGGACCCAACAATCTTGCACATGTGTGTGAAGCTCTACACAGCCTGAAGCCGACGAGCGTTCCATTGAAGGCCAGTGCTGGAACGTCCCGGACGATGCCGAAACGTGCTGAGGGGGCTCCGGACACTGCAGAGGTGGGCGTGGTGCAGTCGTGCAGTAGTCTGCTTTTAATTCTACGGATGCTTTTGGCAGTAGTAGATTCTGGATTCGCGTCGTAGGTATTATCATCTTACAATATTATAGTATTCGTATATTCTGAGATTGTTATATGGTTATATTGTTACATTGTTATATTGTTCTATTTGTATATTGTTATATTTGTATATTGTTGTATTCTTATAATATTGTATTGGTAAAACAGACGTCCTTTAATTATATTTGTATATGAGTATATCTGTATACTAGTATATCATTACAACAACAAATATGATATATTTTGTTTTCATATTATTATATTATTATCTTCTTATTGTGTTATTGTCTTATTGTAGAATATTATTGATTTCGTATATTATCTTATTCTGTTTAGTATATTGGCAAATTAATATTTGATTATATTCATGTTTTGTTATATGGATATACTAATACATTTGTAGTTCTTTTTATGTTACATTATTGTTATATGATTCTTTGTTATATTATTCTATTAGTATACCATTCTATGTTTATGATATTACATTTTCGCCGCAATATAGTACTATATGTTATATCAGCATACGATTATACTTATATTTATGCATTTTCGTCTTGTTATATTCGTATATTATTTTAGCATGATATTGGTTTCTTACTATATTTGTTTTCATTTTTATATTGCTGTAGAAATATACCGTTACAGTACATGATTCTATCAATATAGTGTCATATGATTATCTTGTTACATTTTAATTTATTAGTATATTAGCATATTATTACAGTATTCTATTAGTATAGAATTGTATTTTTATATTCTTATATTTTTTTATTCGTATATTGTTAAATTATGCTGCGCCTTAAAGGTGAGATGTCGCAAACCCAAACAACTCCGCTGTGAGCTTTCTGGGATCTCTTCGAGCTTCTGGAGCTCAGTGGCCATGTGAGCTACACCCTAAACCCTAAAACCTTAAAGCCCCAAACCCCAAACCCCAAACCCTAAACCCCAAACCCGAAACCCGAAACCCTAAACCCTAAAGCTTGAAACAGACGTTGAAGGCCACGGGGAGCATGTCTAGCTGGGAAGTGGCAAACCCAAAACCCCGCAAGGGAAGCCTGCCGGGTTATTCGGGTTCTTCGGCTTATTGGGGGTATCAGGGTTATGAGGGTTACTAGGGTGATTAGGGATATTAGGGTTATGAGGGTTTTTAGGGTTGATGCTGGCCGCAGGCCTCTGAAGCCGGAAAGTGTCTGGGAAAGCCCTATAAACCCTAGAATGCGGCTACAGCGAGAGGGTGAAGTGATGTGCTTTTCTGTATAGAGCAAGTCGTGGTCAATATGTCAATATGACACCAAAAAGTCACACCCAAGCAAGGGTTTTGCCGCCCAGGAGACATAAGACGATGTCGAGGAGAACACTCGTTAGGGAAACCCAAACAAAGTTACAACTAAGCGTGCTTCCCCTCTGGAGAGGTTGGCTTCGCTTATGCCACGCCTCTTTCCAGCAATTGGAGGCTACGAAGAACGGAGGAAGGGGATATGCTAGCTGCTATATTCGTGACAGTATCATGGCGTTTGCGGTCCGAACGATAGAGCGCTGTACGCCTCAGTCAGAAAGGGCTGATTGCCACTGCCAGCGTCAGGTTTCCACTTCTTGTTTATATATATATATATACATATAATGTACACTGCATAGTACACAATAGATAATTGTATACACTAGCCAGGGACCTTGAGTCATAAGTGGCCTTGCGTCGACCGGGAACCTGCCCTGATTCGTGGTCATTAGCACCCTATCTGTACAGACACATTGGAGGGCCCTGAGCACATCGGAAAGCAATAAGCAAAGCTCGTGCTTGCCTCAACGCCGAATAGATGCCGTGGTCTTGAAAAGGTCCGCGTGAGCGGCTGATGCTCAAGTACTACAGTTCCTGACGTTCTCGTGTCTCTCTCTCTTTCTTTCTCTCTTTCTTTCTCTCTTTCTTTCTCTCTTTCTTTCTCTCTTTCTTTCTCTCTTTCTTTCTCTCTCTCTCTATACGGCGTTTCTGTAGTTTTCTGGAAAGCTGCATCGCACATGCTTCATGAGGGCTATCATTTTGCGATTTCGCAACTCGCGTGACTTGTGTGGCCACTCCACCTCAGGAGTGTGAACAGCATACCTCGCATGGCCAGCCGACCCTTGGCAGAGAGCCTGATTTGCTTTTGCTTCTTCTCTCATAGAACTACACTGGGATCCACGCCGCTCAAGGAGTGCTTCCATTTCCAGAGCAACCGCAGAGCCCTGTTCCATCGTGTGCAGAGAGTCTCGAAATCTGAGGAATGGTAACACATAGCTGGCGCAACAAGTTCACGTTCCTAATTGCGACAATCCTGGCCGATGCGCTGGAGGCTTGTGACTGCGCGCCTGGCGATCGCGTACGTGTATCAGTGTGCTGCCTAGCGAAGACCGCGCCTGGACACCTCAGCATTGGAACGCATGCATCCTTGAGAACTTGCAGCACGCATCCTGCTTGGTTGAGAGACCTTGTCATGTGAAGCCACTGGCATGTTCAATGATTCAACATCTCGAAATCTCTGCCAGTAAGCCTTTCCAGATACCCGGCAACACACATTTTTCCATGGAACTACTACCATTAAGCTATTCTATTATTCTATGGTTCGATGATTCTATCATTCTTTTGTTGTATTATTCCATCATACCATCGTTATTGGTTTGTTGCATATGAGTATCTTCTTATATATTATATCTTCCATTATTATAGATGATTACTATTATTCTTATTACGATTTTTATTACTATTACTATTAGTATACGTAGTACTGTTGCAAATTCATTTACTAGTATGTTCACGTATTCTTGCATTATTCTTGTTTTATTCGCATATTATTGTATGTTTGTATTGTTATATTGTTTTGTTGCTATGTACATAGATATAAATATAAATAAATAAATAAATAAATATATATATATATATATATTGAAATATTGTTGTATTGTTCTATTGTTGTTTTGTTATATCGTTCTATCGTTATATTGTCATGTTGGCATAGTGTGATATTGTTCTCTTGCTATGTTGTTATGTTATATTGTAATGTTATATTGCTATATGGTCCTTTTCATTGTTGTATTGTTATGTTGTTATGTTGCTATGCTGTCATGTTGTTGCGCTCTTACGTTACTATGTGATTATGCTATTGTGGTATTGCGTTATTGTGTTATTCGTCTATCATGCTCTTTAGCCATTATGTCATTATGCGATTATGTTATTCTGACATTAGGTTATTGTGCCGTTACGTTGTTATGCGATTCTGCTGTTCTGCGACTATGCTGTTATGCCATTCTTCGAGTATTAGCCCTTATTCAGGTTGACCCAGAGGCATCAGCGCACACAGGCAAGCGTGGCAAGGCCACGCCTCCATCCCCATAGAATCCCTTAGACTCCTAGCGCACCAGAAAATCCACCTGTGCAAAATAGTAATATATCTAATCTTTGTTCAGGTGGATGAACTTCTCCGCTACGCAGGCTAGGTTAAATCCACATGTTCGCGACTCCGCGACTCCGCAACATGCTCAGGTCTTGGTAGGCCGAAACTTTAGATCCTGTCCATGTATGTTACTCTGTTGCTATGTTATGCCACTATGTTCTTCTGTCGTTATAAGCCACTTATGCTCTGATGTCATTACATGTCATCCGTTGCTTCGAGGCAGAGACCTACGACCACCTGGCCGAGCTGCTCAGCATGGGCCGCCTGGAAGAGCTCGCCAAGCAGCTGATCCAAGCAGGGAAGCTGGAGGTTCCTCCAACCTATAACAACTCCTTTTTCGTTTTTCAGAATTACTATAAGATAGCAAGATATTGTACTAGAGCAATATAAGAATATAGCAAAATAGTAATGTACTATTGTGTATTTATGTGAGTAAAACACTATCATAGTGCAGTTGTAGCAAAAAGATATAGCTTCTTAGGGCTTAGGGGACAAGAGTTGTGCAGATGCAACACGGGCTTTGGGGTTACTGGAACTTCATTTGCAAACAGGGTTCAGAAGGGTTTAGGGGAGTGAGGACTACTAGAGAGACGTACGTGGGTTCTGTAGGCATTCCAACAAGAAATCGCTCCTACACTTGATTTAAGGAGGACAGGGGACCTTTCGGAAGCCCCATATTCCATCGCCTCCTGCGGCAAACTGGAAGCTGGATATCAACAGCTGGGGGTCCTTGCAAAGGATGCCATGAGGGCCACAATTCGGACCCCAATAGCATGTTGATTTCAGAGGCCGTGCTTTTCCAGAACCCCCCTCGATCCTTTTATGAGGATGCCGAGATGAAGCTAAGCAATGCTAAGCAGCTAGATTGTGGATACACGCCGCTGAAAGCTTGCAGTTCTGCTTTTTGAACAGGGCTTACAGTCGAGCACGAATTCCTGCAGAAAACGCACAAGATCGTTTCGCTTGCAGGTGGCCTACTGGGTCTGTGCCTTCTCTGTGAACCAGCTGCTGGGCCGTGAGAGTTTGGATCATGCGGTGACTCCAACGAGAGAGGGAGGGAGGGAGAGAGAGAGAGAGATAGAGACAAACAGAGGGGGAGGGAGAGATGAGACGTCTCCCCACAATTTCCGACCTCGCATCGAGGACAGAAAGCCCAAGTGCACTGTTGGCCCCTCCAAAAAAACTGCGGTCACCCCGACACGCAAGGTGACCCTGACTTGTCACCGTGAACGCCACAAGGAAGCCATAGCTTCAACACTGAGCATGCCAAGCCTAGTATATCACATGCTCTACCGCACAAATCTGCTTGTGGTTCTGGTAGCTCTTGCAGGAAACAGCTCCTGGCACAAACCTCAAGTAGAATGCGTGCCTCTGCTCAGCTCTCGAACGTCCAACGTCCCCGACACGAGGCACGCAGGAATCTGCGCGACACCACCGGGTATGGATTCTACCGGAGTGCCAATTACAGCATGCCAGTGTGCCACGGCAAAGCACTTTGAGGGGGACTTCAGCGCAGCTGGGATTGCAACAGGAGTGGCCATTTGGGGCCAACAAGGTTTCCAGGCAATCTTACGCCATAAGGAACCCTTGGACCTCCGCAATGTCCTCATTGTTTGAATTCTTTTCAGGGTGCATGAAAAGTGGATCCATGTCTAAATGTTTACCACCGATGGAGGCCTCAATCTTCAATCTTCAAGCTGATGGCTCTGTTGCTTTCTTTAGGGGCAAGCTGCAGGGAGATGGTATCCTTCGAGGGGGCCGGAGTTCTCCTGCTGGGCACGCATTTTGCCTTGCTACCCCAAAAGCAGCCAGTGCTGTCCGTGGGGGATCTGGATGTCAGAGCAATGTAGAGATCATGTCAGGAAATGAACAAGTTCGACGACATGATGGCGTACTTGAAGACAAGCCTCCGTCAGCAAGCACGAGAGGAACGGAGCAAGGCGCTAGTGTTTGTCATGTGCTGGAGCTGTGTTTATGTGTACCAGCGAGCCCCCTGGGGTTGAAACCAAGTGTTCGCGACTTTCCTTCCCGCTAAGTACTACATCGATGATTGGTGTTTGGCAAAGGCTGCCGCGGCTTTTTGTGGGTCAGACATCTGTGAAAGCCGCGCGGGTCGCGTCTGATTGTAGGCGAGACTGGAAGGGGCTTTTTCCTCGAAGATCAGCCCATGAAAGAAGCCCCATAAAGGGGCCCCCAAGTTTCGAAGCCCTCCATTTGCTCCACGTTGTAGTTCTTTGGCCGAGTATTGGCGACAGGCGTGACGGCAATATGACGAAATTGCACAAGCCATGCCATAGAACGTGCAAGTCCTGCGTTTGTTTGTCGAGGTTCGCCTCGAGCAGGTGGTAGCGGTAGAGAAAGACTTCTCTTTGCTGACTCGACTCTTGGCTGTGACAGCGACGGGCCTTTCCAGGATTGCGGCAGTTAGTGATCTCGGGGGAAGCTACAGGAGCTGGTGCACTGCTTTTGGTGCTTCTTTTGCTCGTAATATTCAGCTCATATTCCGAACCCACCCCCTCTCCCGCTCCGTATTCAGAAGCCTGTGAAGAGGCCTGGGAAGTGAGCAGTCCCCCAAGCGTTCCCCCCCCCCCCCGCCCCGCCCTCGCTTGGTAAGGCCTCAGTTTGCGCATGTGTGCGCGAAGCGCATGCTTAGCTAAGCGTGCACACGTTCTAAGCACAAACATCAGACGCGTAGTCTTAAACACGGTGGTTGGCGCTGGGCTCACTGGATGTATTACTGCGGCGATGCTCAGGTGGGGGGGCGGGGCCTTGGATGCTTAAAGTCCATTTGACGTCTGTGCATTTTCACCATGTGTAAATCCGGGAATGGCGCGCTTTGGGCGTCAAGACAGACTTGGTTATTGAGCTACTGAGCAGCGATGCTGAGATATTTTTGCCCCAAATAGCGCAGCTCAACTTGCCGAAGCTCGAGTCGTTTGTGCAGGGGCATGTGCCGTGCCAACCAGCGCGGTTTGACTGTCGTCCAGCCCCAGCGTCCAAGCATCCAAGCGTCCGCGCATCCCAGATTCCCCATGTTCGGGTCTTGTATGTATGTAAGGAACCATTTTTTCTTTGATCCTTGCAGAGCCGCACTTGCATATATTCCATGGTACTGTTGGCCTTGCATTGGGAGGAAGAGAGTTTGTTAGGGGCTGGGTGGGAGTGCGGTGGGCGCACGGTGTGACGGAGGTGTGGTGGAGGTGTGGAGAGTGGAGAGGGCCGTATTCATGTCTCCAGCACTCCAACTGGCCAATCCAGCCCGCCAGCCCACTCAGCGCCCCAGCACAGCCCGGCGTCCAGTCCATGCACGTCGAGCGTCCCAGCGTCCCAGCGTCCCAACGACATCCACAGTTGTGCAACACATAGAGTCAGATAAGCAGATCCCAAAGATCCTTTTCGACAAGTGGCGGGAATTTCAGCGTCTATTAGTTTTTTTTCTGCGTGGTTGTAAGTTATGAGTGCAGTACACGGGACTTTGTCGCACAGCCTGCACATGCCTGCAAATGTCCAGCAGAGGGGGGGCTAGATGTTGGGGCTTTAGGGTACCACCACCCACCACTTGCTCAGAAAGATGGCAAAACATGGCAACATCTTTCAAAACATCCGCCGAATGATGCCAGCCAAGTTTGGATAGCCATAGTCTCAGGCGTTGGTCTTCTTCAACAAACCAACACCCAAGCACCCATCCGCCAAAAGGCCATAAAATCCGCCCTAAGGCCCTGAACCCTCGGAAAGGCGCTCTCTACCAGAGCTGGAGATCCATGTTTGGGAGCGGGCGACATATCCTTCCGGGCCGGCAAAGCGCCAAACATGCGCGAGGTCCCGAAAATGCGTTATCAAGCTCGCCAAAAACGCATTGTTTGGGCCATTTCCAGGTCAGTTTTGAGCTTCAATGGTCGCTTGTCCAACCGCGCCTGTCTTGCTCGACACAAAGAAAGCGTGACTCAACCAAGAGCCCGTGACCCTCAACCAAATTAGCCGGCGTAGACAACCAAAAAAGAGCAATGCCCGCCAATCCAACATAATCACGCGTCTTACTGCGCAGAGGTACAAAACACAGCAGTGAAACACTTTGTTAGGGTTAGGTTGGGTCGAGGGTGAGTTGCATTAGGGAAGGCTCAGGGCTTCGCAGGATAGGTTAGGTCCGGTGACGGTTAGGGTGGCTGGGTGGGGTTAGGGATTAGGCTAGGTTAAGGTGACCTTGGTCAGGTTAGGGTTAGGTTAGGGTCGAGGGTGGGGCCCGTTAGGGAAGGCTTAGTTAAGGTTGGCAGGAAGGGGTTAGGTCCGGGGGACGGTTTGGGTGGGTGGGGTTGGGATCGAGAGAAGGTTAGGTTGTGTTAGGGTTTCAGGGACATTTGGGTCAAGTAAGCCAGCTCTTTCGGTTGTACAGTCTGACATATTTGGCTTGACATGGCACTGCTTTGGCTGGGTCGCCGTTTTGGTTGAGTTCTGTTGGTATTTTGGTTGGATACCTCCGTGCAGGAACCCACATCACCGACGTCTGCACATTTTGAGGTTGTTGGTTCCAAAATTGCTGAAACTTGGGCTCCCACACGTTGGGATTCGTGGGAACAGAGACCCAAGAAGCTGGACAGAAAACGAAAGGGACCGGGAAATAGGCTATTTGAATCAAGGCCAATCCCGGGGTCCCGAAGGCTCTGAAAGGCTCCACCCAGGTCCCAAACTGGCCTCGGCCAGGAAGGATTGCGCAGTTGCGCGGGCGAGTTAGATTGTGCAATTACAGGGAGGGTGCTTAAGTATGAGTTCGCCGCTACCGTGCGGCGAGTCCTACTTGGCTGAGGAGTTTGGTGCATTGCCGAATTGGTGGAGGCAAACTCGCTGCACCTTCCCCAGGCCCACTCCGAGGGAGGGATCTTGGGCAGCTCGAGGTTTAGGGCCTCGGGGTTAGGGTTTAGGGTTTAGGGTTTGGGGTTTGGGGTTTGGGGTGGGGGGTTTAGGGTTTAGGGTTTAGGGTTTGGGGTTTGGAGTTTGGGGTTTGGGGTTTGGGGTTTGGGGTTTGGGGTTTGGGGTTTGGGGTTTGGGGTTTGGGGTTTGGGGTTTGGGGTTTGGGGTGGGGGGTTTGGGGTTTAGGGTTTAGGGTTTAGAGTTCATATTGAGTCGACAAGGCTTGGATCTCGTGGTGGACATGGTCCGTAATGCCTGGGGGCCATGTTGCGATTCAAGCAACCGGTGTTCCGAATGGCTTTCGAAGTGAAAGTGGGCATTTGTTTACGGCCTAGGCTTCAGACTTATCACAAGCAGGAAAATGGGGGCTTGCATGGCTTAGTCAGTTTAGGGAGTTTGGGGAGTTTAGTGAGTTTAAGTTTAGGTTCCAGGGTTTTACGGACGTTGATGTGCGATATGCTGCTCTTTCTGATTCATTCTCGTAGCAAGCCTTCGACCGGCCCGGATCTTCGAAGTCCTGTGTTAAGAGGATCCATATTGAGCATTTTGTTCCCGCAAACTCATCTGACAGGCATACGACATACGGGTCACCATAGATCTTGGTGACCTCATAGGACTGCTGCAGTTCCAAGAACGTTTCAACACTCCCGAATGGTGCTCTGGTGGCTCCGGGATTCTGTAAACTCTTCAGGGTGGCTTTGGGATTTCTACCGGAGCTGGACGTGCAAATCCTTTCGCCGTGGGGCCTGCAGGCAATCAAGATGCATTCGGCTGCCTCGAGGGACAGCTGCATGGACTATCTGCATCTTGGTCGCCAAACTTCAAAGTCCAGGTCGAGGTGGTGTTTTGTGAACATGACGTCGCCAAAGTCATATACTGCAGGAGTTTGATATGGTGCTAGGCATCGGGCATGTGCAACTTGCCCATGTTTCATGCAACACACCGGTGCCTGCATGGCGATATCTCTTTGTACGGCCTTCCAGGCTGTACCACTTTCATCCATGCTATTTAGCCGGGTCAGCTAAATGCCGTACTAGATGCCTATGCAAGGTTGCAGCTGGACGTGAGAAAGGCAGAGGCGTCATTTCCCGAAGACAAGGAGTGAAAGAGCTGCTGTCGCTTCTGAGCTTGTGGCAACAACACAGTGGACCAATGCGGAATAGTCAAATCATCGACCACCTCAAGCTTTCAACTTCCGGCGCGCTACAGCATGACAGATCACGCGCGGTGTAGTTGCACGGATGTACCTGACAAATCAATGGAAGGAAGGACAGGGAGGAAGTTTCATTTGTCAGGCGGCCGTGTGTTCGGGGTTTTAAGACTAGGTCTCCTTCTCAAGAACCCCCTTAAGTCGACAAGTACTGAAGAGCAGAATCGCGGGCAGAAACTTCTTGTACATGCAGGACTTGCTAGTGTTTCGGGGGCGCTGTTCACATGCAGTGATTTCCGTGCTCTTCAGGAGAGGTCCCCATGATAAAGTGTATCGTAGGCCCAGGCATGGAAGCCCATTGCAGCAGCATGTTTTGGCAGGACCTGGTCTTGAGCAAGACGCCTGGCTGTGGAAGTCTCATCTGCCAACCTCCATTTCCAATTTCACATAAAAAAACAGCAACGACGTTGAGGTTTCGAACCCAATGTTGCTTTGGCCGCTTCTGCTTAACGGGAGGTATTGTATGAAGGCCCAGCTTGGGAAGATGTGGGGGTTTACGAAAACACGGGGCCCCTAACATAGTCACCCAATTAGTAGGATTCCCTCATAGTCAGGACCCCAATAAGGCAAAAAGGTAAGCCCCTAATTTCGGAAACCCCCATATGACCCTAAACCCTAAACCCAACCCCCCCCCCCCCCCCCCCTAATTTCGGAAACCCCCATGTGGGTTGCAACTTTGTCTTCGACCCTCCTCGAGTTCTGTTCACATGTGATCGTGCACCCTACCCTAAGCCACGACAGGAATCCCCTAAACCCTCAACTCCAGAGCCCTGAAAAGCCGGAGTTGAGGGTTCTTGGTTTAGGCCCAGTCCTGCTGCAAATAGGGTTTAGGTACGCCTCATTTCAAGCTGCTCCCCTCCCCGCCTCCTATGTGTACTTGGAGGTTCATGCGTAATTATAACCCCAATTATAACTGTACTTATAAGCCCCCTAAGTCCCCGAAGTAGGCTATAAGTTGACTTTCACTGTGGCTATAAGTACCCATGAACCTCCAAGTAAGGATCACCGACGTTGAGGATTTCAATACTCGGCTCACGAATCTCCTTTTACATCGACTCGAAGCGCTCCTTCGTCCCAGTTAGAGCGTGCAGCAGGTGGTGGTTGAGGAGGCATGTGCTTTTGTTTGACAGCACTGCAGCACTTGCCGATTCTTTCCGATGTAATTTCTTGATTACTACTTTTAACTTGCTTGCAAAAACGGACAATTCCCGATGGCAGCTATTCGTGCTAAGGTTTTTGGATTCCAAGCCAGCCAGCAGCGCGGCAAACTGCGTTGATGAGGCTGTTCTTGCTGTGGCAACAGTAGTCATTTGACAGCTTTGGCTCGTGTTTGAACATCATGGGCCTTTGTATTCTGCTCTTCACAAACAGCACAGAGTGGCATCGATGAGAGTATGTTTGCAATCAGCTGTGAGACGCAACATTATCATGCTGTGTTTTTGGATATTGAATCGTTTCACCGGATGCAGCAAAGCACCGCGTCCTAGCCGCAAGGCAGTGCAGGGATTTTTTCGGCGATTGGGCTGTAATGTTAGGCATCCATACAACATCAGTCTCCTTAAGAACATTTAAGACCCGCCATTTCGCTGTTAGTCGCTGCAGCTTGTGGCCTTTGAGAGGTCAGGCTGGCCATTCAAAATGCGAGGCCATGACCACAACCTCTCCAGCTCTGGATGTTCCTCCCATACTCTCAAAGTTCTTTATAGGGACTATCTTAGGGTAGGGGGATGTTGGGGGGCTGGTTCTGTGAATCCTGTGATTTCAATTCCATCTTGTTGTAGCTGTTGCTGGGAGGAACAACCTAATCTCCAACTGCCAAGGGATGTGTGGCATGTTCATGTTGGAGGAGAGGACTACTTGGTGTGTGGTGTCGACTGAGACACTTCCCTCTACGTCGGTCCGTGTTTGAACAACATGGGCCTTCGTAGGGTGGGCTTCTGCTTTTCACAACATGCACAGAGTGGCATCGACGAGATTGTTCTCACGCAGTGCTCCGCATGCTTGCAATCAGCCGTGCGACGCAACATTTTCGTGCTGCACGCAAGGCAGTGCAGCGAAGTCTTCGGCGCGGGCTACATGTAATGCTAGGCAAGCAACGGCGAAGCTCTGGGCACTTTGCAGAAAACGACCCGACACCTCCAAGAGGATGTGGGTTCTTCGGGCTTAAAGGTGCTGTTTCTGAACACTGAGAATGGAGAAGATATCGTCCAGGAAGATTTTAAGCTGCTAACTTCCATCCATTTGAATCACATGGCATGCGTTCAGAGGTTTGTTTAGAGCTCAGCCGAAATGACATACTACAGGTTTGCTGCCATGTTGAAGCTCGGCATGTGTAGCACTTCTTCGCGAGTAGCAAAGCTCATCGAAGCCCTGAATAGCCTTAGCATGGAGGGCCGAGTCCAAGTTTGTTTGTGGTTCGAGGGCTAACATCACCAGCAGCCTATAACAGGACAGCCCAGGTGCATAGTGTTAACCTGTAAAATGTAAACCCCCCCCCTCAATTGAGAAACCCCCAGCCCCGGAACTCAATTATAAACCCCGGGTTTAGCCAGGTAAGGTAGGTTCAGGGAGGGGTTTATAAAAGAGAGGTTAACATTATACCACATGTCTAATTTTTTCGGATGGTCCTCAGAAGTACACCCTAACCTATCTTTTTCCTCCAGAACCAGGGTTTAGGGTTTAGGGTTTAGGGTTTAGGGTTTAGGGTTTAGGGTTTAGGGTTACCATCACATCGCCAGCTCGGAGCCAGGACGGGGGGAAGATTGCGCTGCGGGGCGCTGCGGGGCGCTGCCAAAGATGGGAGTCCCGTGCCTCCCCCGGCATATTGGGGGGCGTCAGGGTGAAAGGGCTTAAGTGTGTGGGGCCCTGCAAAGGTCGTGCTGAGAATTAAAGATCAGTCCCGTGGGCCTTGTCTTTTTTCGGGCCCGAGGCGGGGCCGCGGCGATGTTCTGTGGTGTTGATCCAATCTTGCAACGTCCGAATCGCCAACCTACAGATCCCTAGAGCCTAGATCATCCTAGGTCCCAAATCACCGCCGAGAACTCCAGAAAGCTTGAGGAACCACAACGATCCCGAGTCTTCCTGGGGTGCGCTGCGATGCAGAGGCACCAGGGACACCCGAAAGCAGCGTCCCCGGCGCGGAGCAGTTCCCCCGTGCGGAGCCTCGGCGCAGAGAAGTCTTTCAGAGCCAAAGGCGATGTTTGTGGGGCATTTGGAACCCTAAACCCTTAACCCTGGACACTCAACCACCAGCAAAGCCTGCCCTTTGGAATGCTCACAGTGTTCGGCCCAACTGAACCGCAACATGCTGCAAACCCTGGGTCTGCCTTGCCGAGCTTTGTGGAGATGCCATCAGAAGAGCTTGACTGATTGCGCCAATCAGTTTCGCTTTAATCCTTCGCCTCTTGCATGCTATGCACCAGCTCGGGTCGGATTGATGATGGCTTCTGAAGTTTTAGGTATATCACACGGGCTTGCACGCATACCTACAAGCAAAGACATGCACATGCATGAGCATTTATGTGCCTTCGGGGCTCATGAACACAACGGCACGTGCGTTTCATGTATATATATATATATATATGTGCTAACCCCCCCCCTCAAAGATCCACCGTTTGAGAGACTTGCAATATACAGCACAGATCCCGTAGCATGCTATATCGCTTCTCCTTACGAGGCGTACAAGCACCTGAAACAGTCTGAAAAACAAAAATATGTCAGTAAAGTGTCTAAACAAACCCTTCTGGATTACGTACCCTTCAACTCAAAACCACCCTAAACTGTCGCCATATGAAGCAAAACAGCACAGTCCCCATAGCATGCTATATGAGATCATTTCTGTCATTTCTTCTTACGCAGCGTACAACCACCTGAAGCACCCTGAAAAAATGTTACCGTAAAGTATCCAACAAAAAGCCTCTGGCTTACCCCTCGAACTCGAAACCCCCCTACACTTCTGGCTTACTCCTTGAACTCTAAAATGCCCTGAACGCTTGCTATATAATGATATGACAGCGCTGTTCCCGTAGCATGCTACATCATTTCTGCTTCCGGGACGTACAACCGCCTGAAACACCCTGAAAACAATACTTTTTGTAGTAAAGATGTGATACCCAGTTGCAATTTTCGAGCGTCACATGATAGCCATGTTGGGAGTCCTGTGGAGACGCATTGAGAATGAACAGCAAGATACTTGCGAGCAATTACTAGCAGCCTGTTGGAAGGTCTCAGGAAACAGTGAAAAGATATTTGTCCACAGTATTCTCGCGTCCCCGGGACGTACAGGAAATGACTTTTTCGCATCACCCAATGCGCTCGAATACTGCCCAAGGCTTATGTTTCGAGGCTTACCATCCTTCCTTCTCCACTATTAGTATTTGATATACAATACATATACCCTATATTCATACATGATGTGGGTACTTGTTCTACTTTCTCTTTGCTTTTTCACAGGAGGCAAGCCCTGCAAACATAGGCATAACCCTACGGGAGTGAAGGTTTAGGGATTTAAGCCTCAAGCCCTTCAGGGATATAAGGTTCTACTCCTACAGGCAATGCCTAAACCTTAAAACCCGAGACCTGTAAGCCCTATAAAGTTTAAACGCTATAGGGAGAACCCCGTGAGGGTTTTAGAGATAAACCCTGAACAAAACCCTAAACCTTTAAACCTCATAGGGTTTAAGAGTTTGCAAACCGAAGATGTGGGCATGTATACCTCCCGCGCCTCTAGGGTCAAGACCTTTTGAGTTTTTTTGGGCCCTTTAAAAGGTTGTAGGGTTCTAACCCGAAAGGGTTTAGGGTTAAGGTTTGAATGGCTAAATCTTAAACACCTAAGGTTTGTGAGTGTAGCATGCCAAAATCTTGAGCCCTAAACCTTTCAACGTGAAACCTATAGGGTTCAGAGGTTAAGGATTTAGGTCTAATTGCCGACTTATGTTTAAATACCTAAATCTGAAACCCTAAACCTGTTGATTCTTGATTTATGTACTGTATGTCTTTCTGCCTATGTATGCGGTGGTGAGGCGAGTCTTTAGGGAGCGTCGTCGTTGCTGGTGTTTGCACCCACAAACCACAAGGCACGAGTCCTCGCCGTGGAGCTGCCCTTGCCTTTACCTAAACCCTGAACCCTCAAGAATACTGAACCAGGTCTGGTGGCACGGCTTCAGATTTTTCGATCCTGGCCGGCCAAGGCCTTTCTCCCTGCGAAGGGTGCTTCCGGTCTCCAGGAAGAAGGACTGGAGAGCATTCTGGCAGGCTGACAGGTTCAAAGTTGGTAGGGTTTAGGGTTTAGGGTTTAGTTAGGGTTTAGGGTTTAGGGGTTAGGGTTTAGGGGTTAGGGGTTTAGGGGTGAGGGGTTAGGGTTTAGGGTTTAGGGTGTAGGGTTTAGGGGTTGAAAGCGCTCAGAACGTTTAGTTTGTTTCGTGCTGGCTGTGTAGTTGCGAGACCAGGCGAAGCAAGGATTGAGGACCTTTGGGCAAGTCTTCTGAAAACAGTTGCAATAAGCTTGCAGAGCCCAAGCCCATGCAGCGTGCTTGTTCCTTCTCCCAGCTCCGAGCCTTTAAGACGTGGATCCAGGAGGCGGCGAGAATGCAACCGAAGTGTCCGAAGCAGCTGAACAAGCGGCTCCAGAACCGACTGACATGTTTGAAACTGCACTCATAACTGAGCTCAGGGAGCCCCCACATGTTCCGGTTCTGATGACAAACTACCAGTAGCAGAGGCTTGCTGACGTTCGGCAGACCATGCTCACGCCAACCTTGTCTTAGGATCAGTGTATGTGCTGACCATGCCGAGCTGATTTCGGCTCGGACACTGTTTTCCCCACCTGGGCCGATTTCTCCCACGTCAGGCTTCATTCGGTAGGACTGCAAGAGGCGTCCGATGCTTGCTGGCTGCGGTCAACGGGCTTTAACAACGGAAGTGGCTTGCAAAAGCGATCCTCTTCACCAACCTTTACCCACGGAGATGGCTTGCAAGGGCGATCTTCTTCACCAACCCGTTGCTGGAGATGCAACGCAACTGGTGACATGGTTCCATATTCTCAGTGTAAGGCTGGGAATAAAGCACGCTGCACCTGCACAAAGCGGATGGACCAGACGGATTCCCAGGCTCGAAACTGTGGAAAGTCTCCTCTCAGAGGAGCATCTTGTGCTTGCAGCCTCTGCCCCTGCATGTGTGCCATTGTATCCACATTTGCCATTGCTGTTCCTCGACAGCCATCTGACGTCCATGGCAAGAGCTGAGCGAAACACCATCGTGCTCGTCCGCAGGCCGTGGCCAACCAGAAGCTACGCCTTGGCATCAAGGCTTTTGTTGAAGAGGCAGCGCCGGCTGCAAGATGCAGGTGAGTCACAGGTTCGCATTGGTCTGGAGCACGCAGGAAGCATGCAGACGGCTGGTTCAGTCCGCTTGCTGACGGACGATACTGGGGTGTGTGTCCATTCAAAGCATCCCTTGCCAACAAGGCGATGTCCTGTTGCTCGCACAGATGCTTGCCCGGCTCTCTGGTTGCCAAGAATATTCGCTGCCACCGACTTGGGCTTTGCATACGGCCATGTGAAGTACAAGATGTACAAGTGGGCAGAGCTGGATGGGTTGGATGTGCACCGTATCCGAACGCCAGCAGCTTGTCGGCAGCGACCTTGTCGCGGCAGCATCACATCTGCAGCGGTCGCGCAAAGCTTTTGCTTCCCAGTGCGGCGTTGTCGCGCGCGGGTGTCGGCAGAACGTCCCGAACAGCAATTGCATTTGAGGCAGACCCTGTCCGACACGGACGTGGGGCTGTTAGAACCATTGAAAGTGTTCGCGGCTGCACGACGACAAAGCTCGAGGTCTGGCTTTGAATTCACGCCTTCGGCACGTCGTCGACAGCAACATCGCTCCTGCCGCAGAGGACTTGGCACCCGCGCCCCTTCCATACTTCTTTCCAGCCCCGGCGGGAACCGGCGAGCAGTGAGAATGGATCCCCATTGTGTCACCACGAAGCATGCCGTGTCAACACTGCGAGTTCCTGCTGCTCGCATAGATGCATGCCGCGATCGTTGTTTGTACTCAGACTCAAGAATACTTGCTTCCACCAACTTGGGCTTCACGTGTGGAAACGTGAAGTACAAGATCTATGGGTGGGGAGAGCTTCGTGGGTTGGATGTACACCACGTGGGAAGACCAGCAGCGTGTCCGCAGCGACCACTTCGTCGAAGCATGACATCTACTGTGGTGGTGGCGGCGACAAGTCTGCAATGGCAGACAGCTCGTGCTCAACCTGGTGTTTGGAATTGGCTGCAGAAGCTAGCCACGGCACGACGATATAGCTTATCAGCGCGGCACTGTAGCATGGAGGTCCGGGTGAATGCCCCCGGACAGCACATGCACTTGGAGAAGACTTCCTCGTCCGACACGGACGTAGGAATTTTTACTGTTCGAAAAGCGGTCATGGTTGCATGGCAGCGGGACAGTACTGGAGCATGCACTAATGCTGAGCGTTTTGACGCTGGTGTGAATGCGTGCCAGGCTTTTTGTTTGTACTCCAGCAGAAGTAGTGACACTGGCTTGAAGGTGCCGGAATGTCAGCTGGAAGCCGAGTTGAACGCGCGCCGTGCGGTGACACCAGCAGCATGTCAGCAGCGGACCTCTCGCAGGAGTGTAACGTTTGTCGTGACGAACAGGACAAGAAGCCTCTTGCGAAACTGTTTGCAATCGGATCGCAAGCTGGACCCGGTGGTGCCTCTTTGTGCAAGATGCAGCCTTCACATTGCGGTTGCAGTGTGCAGCAGGCACCTGACACTTCCTGACGCTCTTCGTCACTGTGCAGCAGATCAGAACAGTGTGATTTTGGACTGTGGTGTTGCCGTGAGCTCAAGCTTCGGCATGTTTGGAGGTGGCACGGCTACTGGCAAAGCCGAGGGGTGCTGCGTAGTCATGTGCTTTGGCCGTTCCAGACTCGCTGTCATTTGCCGGCCACTGCGGCACTGTAGCGGCGCTATTGCCATCAACCCGTTGAGGACTTTGCGGGCACGGAGTCCTTTCAGGATGTGGGACAAACCTATGTCAGCTGCAGTCGAACCTTCTTCAAGCGTTCCACGCAAGCATGCGGTGAATGAGGCTGCCCCATTCCATCGCGCCCGGTTTCCTTGGCAGCTAACCCAGGGAGCGACGATTTCCGAACGGCCACGGAGTTTGAGCAGAGGCCATGGGAGAGATGCAGTCCATGCTTTGTTTAGAGACTGCTTACAGGATGTCATGTTGCGTAGCCGTGTGGAGATGGAGGCCTCCTGGGCAGAATGCGGGCTAGATTCCCTCTCCAGCATTGCCTTCGCTCGGCGGCTTTCGGACACCTTTGACCTTTCCTTCGACGCCACGACTTTCTTCGACTTCAGCTCGCCAGCCCTGTTGGCAAAAAACATCTGGGAGAGACTCCATGACAAGGAGCCCTCTGTGTCCCCAAACCGGGACCCAGCTGCAGGGACCGGAGCTGGTCGAACGTGGCGAAGCACAGACACCCGGGGATGCCAGCTTAGCCCGGTGAATTCGCAACCGAAGCCTGGCAAGGTCCTCTACATTTGTCCGCCATTTGGGTTTGGAAGGCACGGCTTAAACGTTGAGGTGTATTTAATTAATGGGTGCAAAGCATAGTTTTGCAACGGGACTCATGGCTTCAAAGGGTTCTGCACTACATGCACCCTTCTTCATCTCAAATTTGGCAGGTCGTACTTTGCATCCTGGACTAGATGGTTGGGGGACACTTGCGAAGTTCACGTACTTGGTGGTGCGGCGCGATGCTGGAATACGCAGCTTCAATCAAGCGCTTCATATGTCCAAGGAACGTGTGACTCCCGCCCTTTCGTCATCTTCGGTCATTCCTTCGGTTCCATTGTTGCCTTTGAGCTCTGCAGCCACCTTCAAGAACTCCTCGAGATGCCAACATGCCTGATCGTTTCTGGTTCGCCTCCACCCGGGATGTTTGAGTGGAAAAAAGACATGGCGCCCTTCAATTGCTTTGACATGGAGGTAAAGGATGCTGGGTTTGTCCGAGATATTCTCTGCGACTACCATGTGCTGGACGCAAACATGGACGTGCTGACGGATGACCTCCTCCTGGCTGATCTGAATTTAGTAGCTCGGTTGGCTTCTCTTTTGTTTCGCTTCTGTTGTACTCCAACTTCTGCCTGAATAGACGCGATGATTCTGTTTAGAAGGGCTTAAAGGCCAACGCAGGTGAAGTCGTACATGCCCCGACCCGATCGCAAGCTGGCTTGTCCAATCGTCGGCATTCATGCGAATGATGACGTCCTGGTCCCTTCTTCAAGAACTGTAGCGGCATGGTCGGCGTACACAACGAGCACCTTCACCATGCACCAAATAGATGGCACCCATTTCTTCTTCTTCAGACCTCCTGCCGCATTTGTCGCCCTTGTCCAGAGTTGCCTGGACGCGTACGACAGCGCCACCTGGCCCGGCCCCGGAGCGTATGAACTGCATACATTTTGGTGGGGAACCCGCGATCTGCACACCTACCCTTTTGGAGTGAGTCCTAAAGGGTACATCATATACACTGACGGCCATGTCTTCGTGCACCTTTGTGACCCGCTAGTGGATTCTGCAAAGCCTTTGGCAGCAGCACACTCACAGGCATTTTATCACGGCACCTATGATGTTGAGAATGGGGCGGTGTTCCACCACATTGAGATGTCCAACAACCCCAATGATCATGCTGATGTTCTCGGGAGGTATTTTCACTGGCAAGAAGAGGGGCGTAAGCTGACCCTGTCAACGCAGCCAGATTCGATGCGTGCTGCGGGAGGCACGTTAGTTTGGCAACGCTTGCCCGATTGCGGTGGCAATCATCAGAGTGCCCTTGAAGGAGCCTGGAGACTGGTCAGCGCCACAGAGATTGAGCTGACAAAGGGGATGCTGGTGATCAGACGTGGTAAGCTGATGCTTCAGTTGCAAAAGCCTGAGCGTCCGAGTTTGCCCGACGTTGATCCGGAGCACGTGCCCCCTAGCCTGTGGCTGCAGAACATGGGAACCTGTATGAGCTGTGTGTGCGAGATCCAGGTCCTCAGCTCTTATCTCAGTGGCCACGTAATCCTTGCTTATCCCAAGCCAGGCTCCTTGAATCCACTGCTTCAGGCGTGGGAGTTTCGATGGGCGCATGCCTTACAGGCGGAGGATCAAGATGTCCGGTTATCCGTCACAGCAGAGGGTGTGCAGCTTGTGTTTCATCGTCTCGGTTAGCCCGCTGGTCCTTCTTTCCTGGCCCTTTCGAGCTGCGGCGCGTGGGGCAACAGAGGGCGTGCAGCTTGTTTTCTTTGTCGGCTCGGTTGGCCCAGTAATTGGTCATTCTTTCTGAAAAGCAGAGAGCCAAGTGGGCTCCGAGGTTCACAGACGCCAGTGATGAAACGCGTTGGAATGTCTTGAAATATCTTGGAATACTTGGGATGTCATGCAAGGCCCTTGTCTCGGGGTCTCAATGTGTGTCATCCAGGATGTTGGTTGAAAACATGCTGTTGGTGTTCAGAGATTCGAGGAGGTGCCCCAAAGCTGTGAGCCCCACAACCGAAACCGCTCGAAAGCTTTCTGGACACTTTTAATCGGGCAACGTCCCATAGGGACTTGACATGCCAAAGGAAAAAGGCACACTCAATAGATGCCGAAGCTATGGCACACAAAGATTGCCCTCAAGCTGGCTGCGAAAGTGATCTTCAGCGCCTGCGGTGCTTGCCCTCAAGTTTCAGACCTTCAGGATGCAAAATAGATGTAAGGCTGATGAACACTAGAGTCACTAGGGCATCGGGTTGCATAAACGAGAACCCAGAAATTACGCACCTTGCAAAGCCTCTGCTTTGCTGTAACACATGCTATGGGCCAGACAGTGCGAAGAGCTGTCGGAAACGTTGGGCATGCAAATCCTAAAGCCCTTAACCCTGGAACTACCCCAAAACCTGGAGAACGTGTAGCCGCGAAGCCCCAAGCCCCAAATACTTGACGACGCAGGCAGGGTTCCAGGGCCGTGGGATTTGTGGGCTTTTGGGTTGAAGGGTACAGCCCACGGGTTTCATGACGCTAAAGGCTTAATCAGGGTTCGGGTTCCTGAACCCTAAGTAAACCCCCGAACCAGTGACCCAAACCAGCCCACCCTAAAAGCCAGCACACACACTGGCTTCAGGGTTAAGTTAAACCTAAACCCTAATAGGGTGCCAAATCTGACATCCTACTTCCCGATCGGCCGGCTCAGCGACGGAGGCCGAATGGCACGCCTTGGAACCTGAGCTTACGGTTGGGCTAGGGTTTAGGGTTTAGGCTCAGGGGGTAGGGTTAAGGCTGAGGGGTTAAGGTTGAGGGCTTAGATGTATTTAGGCCTTAGGGTGTAGATGCCTTTGGGTTCCATTTTTCGGAGTTTCTACCCCAAAACCCAAAACCGTAAACCTGAAAACCCTAAAGCCCTAGATTCCAAACCATAAACCCTACACTCCCCAGCCCTCAATGCTTTTAGACTCGTTCTTTACAGTAAAGCCCCTTTTGGAGAACCCTGACCACTGAGCAAAATGAGGGGCCACTAAGTAGAACCACACGCTCCCGTGGGGGCGTGAATGAAGTGAGGCAATTTCGGCCGTATTGCAGCGTTATTCAGCAAGGGACTAGAAGAATAAACCACCGAGAACTTCCACGAACAAGACGCACAGTCAATAGTAACCTATCACACAAAGCTTCTGGATCACAACAAAAAGATTCACCCCCCCCCCCGTTCCCCTTTCTTTTTGGCGATCCGGCGACTTCAATCGCGGCCTGTCTGAGCATGGTCCGGATCTGGATTGTGGGCAGCTGCTGCTTTGGACTTCTTATGTTGGGACCACTGGGATCCCTGACAGCTCTGAGAGAAGGCGCCCCTCCAGTTCCCAGCAACCCGGCTGCATTCGACTCTCCGTGTTTAGGTCTTCCAAGTGGCTCCTTTGAGAAGGTCCTTGAGACACTGCAGAAGGGATGCCTTGAGCACCTTCTTTCTTGTTTAGGCGCATGGGCATCAAAACATAGCTAGTGTTCTTGTCGTCGTTGTCCCTTTAGATTTAGCTCTCGCAAAAACCCCAAGTAAACTGGGACTGTGACTGTGACCCTAAACCCGAAACTCCAAGCTCTACTGCATTGCACCATCAGGTCTGTTGAGCCCGAGCCGCAGTTTGCTTTCGATCGCCGAAGGTCGGATGTGCCGGCAAGCTAGTTAGGGTTTAGGGATGTTTTGGGCTTAGGATTGTCAGTTAAGAGGTGCTGGCAGCAGTAGAGTATCAGCAGTGACCAGTGGCCTGCAGATCCTTACCATGGAAGCTTCATGGAGGTGACAATGCTTTGCGGCTTCCGACCCTTGCCAATCTGCTGCAGCAGCCCACCTGCCCTGGCCACAGTTTCTTGTCTTGAGCAAGCTGTAGCAGGGTTTAGGGTTTGGCGCGATTGGTTGGTCAGCTTCAGTTGAACAGGTGAGGCGGCTTGCTCGGAAGCTCAGGTCATTGGAAGAACATTCTTCCTGCGAATGTCCGCGGCCGCAAGATTGTAATTAGCATTATTGCCTCCTGTCTGGCGATCCTGTTGGCACTTATTGCGGTTAACGCTTTGTCCTTCATTGCTGCGTTGGCACACTGGAGATGGAGTGCGTCCACGACGCCTTTGTGCACAACATGTTTCATGGTTTCGCTCTTGTTTGCAACTATTCTGGCTGCAATGTCGGTGCCTTCATCCATGATTCCGCAGCTGGCCATTCGCGTTCCTTCTCACTGGCCACAACTGACGAGCTGTAACTATCTTCATTTCGTGGATCCTCCGCTTGAGCTATTCCCTGAACATGCTGGGCGAGAACTCTCCGCCGATGAGCAGATCCAGAGACGTGATTATTTCTGCTCAGCCATTCTTTGGCTATTGATGGCTGGCTTTGCAGCTCTCAAGCTGCTAACATGGTGGGCAAAAGCTTGCAGGGCTTACCAACCTGCCCGCTCAGGCAGCGACCGGTCTGGTCAGTATGAGAGCCTAGGTGAGGAGGATCCGGATTCGGAGGCGCATGAGATCCACATGCAGCCGCACGGGGAAACCAGGGGAACCAGGGGAACCATTTTCCTTCCTTGGTATCAGCACTTGGCTGTGCACTTGTCTTGCGCAATTCCTTCGGTGCTCCTGGCACTTGCCGGCAGATTGGACGTGCAGGCGGGTGTTTGCTGGGAGGTTTATCTTCTGTGGCTGTTTGCGGTGTTTGGCAGCACTTTGCCACATGCCATCTGTCTGGTTGTCTCCTTGCCCATGCACCGCGAAGTGCCAGATTTTGCAGGCTTGACGATCAGTTCTGTTCTGCCAGTCGTGGGTGAGCGTCTGGACACGTTCAAGGACTGGCTTTTCGTAGCGCTAGCACTGAGCAAGAGGACCCTGCTCAGCTTTTTGCTTGCAAGCCTTGGTATTGTTATACTGCTCGTCTCTAACGTCTACATGCGAGCTTATCATGCAGAAGCTCTAGCGCGGTTTCTGATGCCAGAGTGGGCTGCCTGCTATGGCCCAAAAAAGGAAGGCTTCCTGACGTCACAAACGTCTCCAGCAAAACTGGCCATAGCAGTCACTGAGGATTTGCCTCAGGCCTGTCTGCAAACGTTATTTGTAGCTCTCTATGGAGGATCATCGGCACAGTCCCTGTTCATTGCCATCAGTTGCACAAAGATTGCCCTGTGCTTGGGCCTTCGAAGCCTTGCGCTTGAGCGAGAAGGTCGCTACGGCGATTCCTACGAAGCAGCCGCGGAGTTTTATCGAAGTTTGCAATTCATGGCTGGGAAACTCGGCTTGCATGCCACCTTGGGGCTTTGGGCTCAAACTAATCTGGCAAAGAGCTTGGGAGATCTTGGCAGGCATGAGGAGGCTCTGGATGTCTACAGGAAGGTTCTGCAAATGAGTCAGGGGCATCTGGGTCCGGGTCATCCAGACATCGTCACCGCTAAGGCGAATGTTGCTTGGAGCTTAGGTGCTCTTGGCGAACATGAAGAGGCAAAGGATTTGCTGCACGAGGTTGTCACCGCAAGGACTGCAGCGTTCGGCTCTCGTGATGCAGACACATTAGATGCTGAAGCCGCTCTCGCCTGGAACCTAACGAGACTGAAAAGATACGATTCGGCACTTCAACGGCAAGAAAAGATATTTAACATTCGCAGCGACATGTTGGGCCAGCAGCATGAAGACACTTTGAGTGCGCAGGCAAACCTTGCTTGGACCTTCGGGAGGTTGGACCGACATGCTGAAGCTCTGGCTCTGCAAGAAGAAGTGTTCGCCGAGAGAAGGAAGCTTCTGGGCGAATGGCATCCTGATACGCTCCGTGCTCGTTTTTATGTTGCTGTAACTTTACGAAGCATGGGCAGGTACAAGGATGCATTGAAGCACCAACGAGAGGTGCTTGCTGGGAGGAAGGAGGTCTTGACCCCCAAGCATCCAGATATCGTTCGTGCTGGCTTAAACCTTGCTTTGGTTCTGGGAGACCTTGGTTTGCGTTCTGAAGCCATGGAAACATCCCTGGAATTGGTTGCAGTGGGCAGTGAAGTGCTGGGTGCGGACGATGAAGATGTCATCTGTGTTCAGGAAAGCCTCGAAAGTCTAGCGCTTGAGACGGCGAAGCCAAAGCAGCCTTGCCTAGCAAGAGAGTAATGTACATCGTGAGGTGCTGGCAGATTCAAAGTATCACTTGCTGCAGAGCAATGGAAACAGCTCCTGTTTTGCTTGGTCTCGTGCAGGAAGCTTGCAGATTCTCAAAGACAGGATCGCAAAAGAGCTCGCTGCGTTGTGTTGTGCAGGGTTGGCCGGATGTATTGCGCTGCTACTTATCCTCCATGGTCATTGTATGCAGCTATGCCATACTGGGAGTCATAATGGTGGATAAGCGTGTTGGAATGTCTCCAAATCTCCAAATATCTTGCATACTTGGGATGCCCAGCAAGCCCTTGTCTCGCGGTATGTGTGTCATCCAAGATGTTGGTTTTACAAGATGCTTCAGGTGTTCAGGGATTCGAGGAGGTGCTCCGAAGCTGTGAAGGGCATCGGGTTGAATGACGCACTTGCAAGAAACAGAAGTTGGGATGCAGGTGCAAGGTTGCAAAGCCTTTGCTGGTCTCAGAATGCACTGCATGAGACAGATGCATCGATTGCATTGCCCTCTCCGTACCCAAAAGCGGCCTTCGACTTCGTGCTATTCAGCTTTCGGCTCAAGACTATCGGGCCCTCTGCTGCAGCCCGTTTCCCTGGAGGCCTCTCATCTACAGTTCGGGTCTATCAGGGTTTATGGTTTTGAGCTTCCACATGTTGGCTGAAGTTTGATATGCATGCTTCTGAGGCATCGGCCATGCAGCAAGCTCCGACGGCTGTGCCTTCACTTCTTCAGGGCAGTAGGCAAACACTGCCGAAGAGGGCTGGGTGTGCAAGCAATGAGCAGAGATTGACCATCCAGCTCCCCCGGCCGTTAACCCGAAGTGCTCAGTCGACGCCGACGCCGGAGTCGACGCCACAAGGTCAGGGTCCTGACAGCCCCAGCACCTCTCCTGGTTTCATGAGTCGCATGGCCGACCTTTTTTTGGTCTGCCGTTCCCTTCCTTGCCGCGGCGTTCCCAAAGCCCTTGCCAAGGAGCAGGAGTTGATAAAGCGCAGAAGGCGCAGGCCTCTCGGGGCTTCGAGGTGCAAGACTTCCCTCTCGGCGTGATGGCATTCGACCCAGTGAACCCTTCGCTGCGCGAACGGCTCCTGACAGCCATCGGAACTTCACTGCACTCGACCTTCGAGCCCTTGCAAGGCTTCCACGGTGGCAGGAACGAAGGCACTTCGGCAAGACACGCTCTCAAAACACGGCAGCATGCTAGGACCTACTATGTCTAAGCAGGCAAAATTGTGAATCAGTGAGCGCTTGGTTTGCTTCATCTCAGGCATCTGGTTCGTGAAGGGAGGAGGCCAGGAAGCCTTTCCCAGCTTTCAGCTCTCTTCGCGAATACATTGCGCTCAGGTGAGACGTTGGTGGTGAAGCTGGTAAAATTTGATCCGCCCCTCGTCCGAGCCATCTGAGATCCTGAGCCCCCAACCTAGAAAAGCTTTGAGCCAAGGTCTACCCCTTCACAACTGGTAGAGGAGCAAATGTTCCGAAAGCTCTTTCAGGACTCTGTCGAAAGTTTTCGTAGGCAGCCAAATGGAGGGGGCATCTATCCTACTGCGTGATTTGCATAGGGTTTGGGGTTCCAGGTAGGGTCAATGTGGCTGCTGGTTGTCATTTCAACCTCTCACACCTCACTTTGGGCAGGAACTCGGACCAAGCATCACAGAAGATCCGAAAGTGGCGTTCCCTGTCAAAGTGTTCCGACTATTGGGGCCAAACAATGTTCGTGAGCATGCGCCTGGGTTGCAGGAGGCCTCAGGACAGTTTAAGGAAGAGCAAGAAGCTGTGCCCCACAAGGATCTGATTGTGATGAAAAAGGCTCCCGGAAAATCGTTGAGCTACGTCATCGGGGCAGAATGCTTGAGGGATCTGGCAGGACGGGCTGCAAAGCCGATCTCATGCACATCTTCAGGAAAGTTGGCGAGTGCATGGCGAATTTTCACAGGACTGCAGCGCTATTTTCCTGACGATTCTTGGCATTTCTGTCGAAACGCATGCAAAGTACATCGACAGCGCTTGAGTTCAGGCGGTATGGTGGCCGGCAGCGCAATGATGCCGGAGTCCAAAACATATTGTGGGATGAGGACGTGCAGTGACTTGCACTTGCCACGCCAACGCCACAGGTTGCAAAACTTCCACTACAAACCCTAACTTACCGAACGGGCCCCACGCGTAAAACCCCGAGGAAACAGAGCATGTGACATTCATCGACCTTGGTTGCATGGGCAACAAGACCGACAAGACGGACGTGGAACTCTTCAGCCAGGTTCCTGCCTGCAAATGTAACGAGTTCAGGGTCTGGGAATTTCTTGGCATTTATGAAAACGCCTACCCACCCAGAGAATCCCAAACCATTAAAAAGTATGTATATTTTTCATCAGCAAGCCTTGTCCCCCAGCCTCACTCAGTCATGGAGCGGTCCACCCCACCCTCGAACTACTCAATCGTCCCGCGGCGGGAGGTGCGGGCACCGGGGCACCAATTCCAAAAGCAACCACGGCAAAAGCCAATCCCCAACCCGCCCTGGAACGAACTAGACCTTGGTCCGGATATGACCAAAAAACCTAATTTTGTTAACCTTATGTTGGTTGTTTTCCCCTCCAACCACTCAAGATGAGCCAAGGTGAGGGTGGGGTTGGGGAACGAAAAAATTCCATTTTTTCCCGTGGCCATTGGCAAGTTTGCCAACGGCCACGGTTTTTTGCCAATGGCCACGCTTTTTGTGCCAATGGCCACGGTTTTTTGAAAATGGCCATGGCCCCCATTAAGGCTTAAGTATACATATGAAAGAGAGTGTTTGGGGTTTATCAATTTCTCGGCTCTTGAGGGTTTAGGGTTTGGGGTTTGCAGGTCTAGGCTAAGGCGTCAGCCGAAGGCTTTCCAACTTCACTTTGACGCTTCGCACTTCACTGCTTACAATGCCCCGCTGCACCGCACTTTCCGGCGAGGTTGATTGCGGTTCATCCTGTCACAAGACATGTTCGCCCGATTTGTTAGGGAGACGTTGCTCGTGTTTATGAGTTTAGAGGAATGATGTCGAGGTTTTCATGTGTATATAAAAAAATACATACCCCTGTGTTTCCCATGAAGACCTATGTTTTTATGCAGTGGTTTCCGGTCGTGACCACGAGAAGCTGCGCTACGAATGAGGACCAGAACGAGTCGTGTTTATGGCTTTTCCTAGCCTTTGTTTCCTACGCAAATACTGTATGTCCTGCTGCTTTCGGAGATGCTCGGTCGTTCGATTTGTATGCTAAAATAGTGGTGCCGTCGCTATATTAGTGCGGTTGCTCTTTAACACTATGTTATTGTTGTATAAAGCTTCGATAGCAAAGTCGCTCCTTGCACTTCGTTCGAACGGCACGTGGCGTGTCTGCTGTGTGACTAGCAGGTCAGATCAGACTAGCAGGTCAGATCAGTGAATCTAGATCGCCCCGCTACAAAGCAAAAGCTAGTAACTCGCCACTGATTACTGCGCACTTGACCTCTGCTTAGGGTGGGGCGTCTAATGCTTCCAACTCTTTAGAGCGTAGAACTTGTTACCCATGTTGGCATGTTATCGTGGGAACTAGAACCTAATTAGTAAGGCTATATATATATATGTACATAATCCAAGAAGTTCTATTCTTTCACTTCATACACGAGATCGTTGTTTTTTTAACGTGGGGTGCGGGGAGACGCCACATATGTGTATGCAAGGCAGCATGTGCGGTGTTGACCAAAGTTATTTGTAGTTTCAATAATGTTGTGCTTGGTTTAGTATCTGCCCTCCCCACCCCAGCAACTTCCCCCCCCCCCCCCGCGGCAAACAATTCTTCCGCGCTTTCCGAACGCCCTCGTCATCTGAAATGGGTTTGGGCGGGTTGAAGGGTTGAGAGCGGTTGAGGGCTGAAGAGAATAGCCTGTGGGGATTGATAGCTTCTCCCTCTGAAGAATGGGGCTGTGGACTAACCCGGATCGCCCAAGCAGTATACTACTGCTCTCTTGTGCTCTCTTGAAAGATTGTTTGGGCCCTTGCTTCGTGCGCAATATTTTCAGAGGGAATTATGTAAAGCTCGGCTCTAGAAATGTTCGGGGAATCTGAAGCGCGAGAATTGCCTTGAAGCTTGAGGGCTTTCTCCAGGATCCCTGGCCCAAGACTCCGCATTGTTCCGGCTAACCTTATGAATATGGTGGGCGAGTTCTCGATATTCGGGATAATCGTAAGGTACTGACAGACCTCGTAGAACAATACATTCAAAGATATTTTAGTTCGTTCCAAAGCAAAAATGCCAAATAAGTTAAGCAATTTCGTTCACATAATTGGAGGTCAACACTACTTGTACTACTAGCCTGCATTTTCATCCTAGAAGCGGGGAAACATGCAAACCTGTCCCATTTCTTCCAATATCCCACCCTTGAACATCATAGGATTGATTCAAAATATCTAGCTTACATCCAAATATGTTGACCAAACCAATTTCAATATTTGCATTTTAAACTTGATATCTGGTTCGTCAAGAGATTATTTTTCAGTTCTATTCATGCAATCAATTGTCACGCGCCACGTCGGCAGCCGGACTGGCAGGGTTTCTGGGAAAGGCCTCAAAAGAAGGGGCAGGGGTGCCGGGTGAGGGGTGTCACACAGGGCGGGAAAACCGCCCCCTTTCTAGGAGCTGCCGACAGGCGGGACCCCCCCCCCCCCCAAGGCATCGGTTTGCAGCTTCCAAGCGATGGGGGGGGGGAGTCCCACAGGGCGCGTCACAAGATTTGGCATGATTGGAAGGGTTGGGTTAGGGGGAAGGAGACCGGATCTGTGTCTGCTTGTTCCAAACGCTTTTTTGGCAAGAAACCGAGGCGAGTAAACGAAGGGCATTCTTGCATTTTCAAGTCTTTAGGGAACCAACAACCACGAACCAAGACTTCGGAGAGTGTTGGTTCTTGGTTCTTGGTTCCCGGGCCCATGTGTTAAAACAAGTTGATAAACGTAGAATTTCTGGTTATTGTGTATATGTATACTCTTTGTTTAAGTGCGTAGGTAGTTCAGCTAGTGCTTTGAATTCCCTGAACTGTTTCCGTGGGTGCACGAAGTTGGCTGTACAGATACGGGACTTGTTGTACTGTCAGTTGTCAGGCATACGAAGAGTTTGGGGGTCCGAATGCTTTGGGAAGAATATGGCTGCCAGGTCGTGACCCGTCTTTCGACATTCCCAGCTTATGGACCTGAGCTTGCGGTTCAAGCCTCAGCGAATCTCAGCACACTTCCAGCCTTGTTCTGCTAACTTGCGCCCTAAATCATGAGCCTTTTCTTTGATGGGGGTACCTACGGTCCTATAGAGTGCATGGCTTCTTGCGCAGCTCAAGCCGCGTTGTCTCGATTCCAAGAAGGCAGGGCGGCAGGGGGCCTGTCTTTTCGCATCCATGCTGACCGTCATCCCGGTTCCTCGCATGTCTGCGATGAAACTGTCTGTCGGCTCACATTTTGCAGATGCTTGAGTGTTTGTGGTTTGCGCGCCGCCCTCTATGATTTAGGATCATGAAGCCAAGGGGTCAGTCTGGGGCTAATCTGGTGTTGCGCAGGCTACAACCATGCGATGCAAGCTACGCCAGACGGCGAAGGATTGAGAACTGATTGAGAACCACGGTGCGCAGGTGGTGAGCTGGCGCATGCAGTCCAAGATCTCTGGCTGGTCTTCTCCAGTACTTCCCCGTGTTCTCGGATACATTGCGTTTCGCCGGGCAGCAGAAAGAGGGCGCGAACCAGACCAGCATGATCAGCGTGGTTCTTGCATCCCTCAGCATTGCCGCGAATACCGTGGGGCTGGGCTGCTAAACTTCATGCTCGACGCGGGCCACTCTGGATCACCTCACTGAGAGCATCATTTTAACTGGGCTCTCCATGACTTCACAAAAACTACGCGGGGCTTGCTCAGCCTCCATGCCCAATGTGGTGTGTGTAGAGGCCACTGCTCAGCATGTTGCGCCCCCCACCCTGCCACCCCCGCCCCACCCCCGAAAAACCCTCTTCTGGCCCAGACCCCCATTCTGGGCTCGAAACTCTGGGCTTGGGGCAGATGAGGGATTCGACACTCATGAACGCTATATAGCTGCAAAAGTTTGGCGCAATGGAACCCGCGCGGACACGCGGACGCGCGGACACGCGGACGCGCGGACACGCGGACGCGCGGACACGCGGACGCGCGGACACGCGAAACGCGCGGACACGCGAAACGCGCGGGCGCGAACACGCGGCGCGGACGCGCGAGCATGCGGACGCGCGGATGCACGGACAGCGCGGACGCGCGAATGCGCGGACACGCAGCCGCGCAGACACGCGGACGCGCAGACGCGCGGACGCGCGGAAACGCGGACGTGCGGACGCGCGGACCCGCGGACCCGCGGACGCACGGACGCGCGGACGCGCGGACGCGCGGACTCACGGACGTGCGGACACGCGGACACGCGGAGGCGCGGAGGCGCAGACACGCGGACGCGCGGACATGCGCGCGGACTCGCGGATATGCAGACGTGCGGGCACGATGAACCACTGACGCGCGCACGGACGCGCAAAACTAAAAGCGCTCAGACCCGCGAACATATATAGGCGGATGTGTGCAAGCCTTTCGCTGGAAAACACATACCTCATCTAAGACTTTCGGTCTCGGAATGTGAAATCTTCTTGCGCGGCACTTGCAGCATATATGTCGGAAAAGTTCCCACAGGGTGGAGTAATTTTGTTTCGTAGCTGGCTTACAGAAAACTTTAAATGAACTGGGGCCAGTTTCGAGGCTGGGGGAGGGGGCCCAACCCTTCTTTTGTTTGGGGTTGGGTTTAAGGTTAACCCTTAACCCCCTCTCGGGGTCCAGCGGGGGGGTTCGGGTTGACATGGGGGGTTGGGTTTGAGGGTTTGGGGCTGTCTTAAGCAAACCCAACACCCCCTTCTCGGTCCAGGTGTCGGGGTTGGGTTTAGGGGGTCCTGATGGGGGTGGTTGGGTTAATCTAGGGGGCTGTATTTCAAGCAAACCCAAACCGTACTAACCCCCCCTTCTCGGGGTCCAGATCGGGGGGTTGGGTTTAGGTTACGCACGGACCCTTGGACGCGCGGACGCGCGGGGCGGACGCGCGGACACGCGGCGCGGACGCAGCTACCTGACGTTCATAAATCGGATTCGACACCCCCCCCCCCCCCCCCCCCCCCCCCCCGCCCCTTATTTCTCATCTTGAGTGGTTGGAGGAGGTTAACAAAATTAGGTTTTTGGGTCATATCCGGACCAAGGTCTAGTTCGTTCCAGGGTGGGTTGGGGATTGGCTTTTGCCGTGGTTGCTTTTGGAATTGGTGTGCCCGCACCTCCCGCCGCGGGACGATTGAGTAGTTCGAGGGTGGGGTGGACCGCTCCATGACAGAGTGAGGCTGGGGGACAAGGCTTGCTGATGAAAAATATACCTACTTTGTAATGGTTTGGGATTCTCTGGGTGGGTGGGCGTTTTCATAAATGCCAAGAAATTCCGAGACTCTGAACTCGTTACATTTGCAGGCAGGGACCTGGCTGAAGAGTTCCACGTCCGTCTTGTCGGTCTTGTTGCCCACGCAACCAAGGTCGATGAATGTCACATGCTCTGTTTCCTCGCGGTTTTACGCGTGGGGCCCGCTCGGTAAGTTAGGGTTTGTAGTGGAAGTTTTGCAACCTGTGGCGTTGGCGTGGCAAGTGCAAGTCACTGCACGTCCTCATCCCACAATATGTTTTGGACTCCGGCATCATTGTGCTGCCGGCCACCGTACCGCCTGAACTCAAGCGCTGTCGATGTACTTTGCATGCGTTTCGACAGAAATGCCAAGAATCGTCAGGCAAATAGCGCTGCAGTCCTGTGAAAATTCGCCATGCACTTGCCAACATTCCTGAAGATGTGCATGAGATCGGCTTTGCAGCCCGTCCTGCCAGATCCCTCAAGAATTCTGCCCCCAAACAGTAGCCTTCTTGTGCAAGGTATCCAATCTCGGGAATAGCCGTCCTCCACTTCTCCGGGATGACGTAGCTCAACGATTTTCCGGGAGCCTTTTTCATCACAATCAGATCCTTGTGGGGCACAGCTTCTTGCTCTTCCTTAAACTGTCCTGAGGCCTCCTGCAACCCAGGCGCATGCTCACGAACATTGTTTGGCCCCAATAGTCGGAACACTTTGACAGGGAACGCCACGTTCGGATCTTCTGTGATGCTTGGTCCGAGTTCCTGCCCAAAGTGAGGTGTGAGAGGTTGAAATGACAACCAGCAGCCGCATTGACCCTATCTGGAACCCCAAACCCTATGCAAATCACGCAGTAGGATAGATGCCCCCTCCATTTGGCTGCCTACGAAAACTTTCGACAGAGTCCTGAAAGAGCTTGCGGAACATTTGCTCCTCTACCAGTTGTGAAGGGGTAGACCTTGGCTCAAAGCTTTTCTAGGTTGGGGGCTCAGGATCTCAGATGGCGCGGGCGAGGGGCGGATCAAATTTTACCAGCTTCACCACCAACGTCTCACCTGAGCGCAATGTAGCCGCGAAGAGAGCTGAAAGCTGGGAAAGGCTTCCTGGCCTCCTCCCTTCACGAACCAGATGCCTGAGATGAAGCAAACCAAGCGCTCACTGATTCACAATTTTGCCTGCTTAGACATAGTAGGTCCTAGCATGCTGCCGTGTTTTGAGAGCGTGTCTTGCCGAAGTGCCTTCGTTCCTGCCACCGTGGAAGCCTTGCAAGGGCTCGAAGGTCGAGTGCAGTGAAGCTCCGATGGCTGTCAGGAGCCGTTCGCGCAGCGAAGGGCTCACTGGGTCGAATGCCATCACGCCGAGAGGCAAGTCTTGCACCTCGAAGCCCCGAAGGCCTGCGCCTTCTGCGCTTTATCAACTCCTGCTCCTTGGCAAGGGCATTGGGAACGCCGCGGCAAGGAAGGGAACGGCAGACCAAAAAAAAGGTCGGCCATGCGACTCATGAAACCAGGAGAGGTGCTGGGGCTGTCAGGACCCTGACCTTGTGGCGTCAACTCCGGCGTCGGCGTCGACTGAGCACTTCGGGTTAACGGTCGGGGGGGCTGGATGGTCAATCTCTGCTCATTGCTTGCACACCCAGCCCTCTTCGGCAGTGTTTGCCTACTGCCCTGAAGAAGTGAAGGCACAGCCGTCGGAGCTTGCTGCATGGCCGATGCCTTAGAAGCATGCAAATCAAACTTCAGCCAACATGTGGAAGCTCAAAACCATAAACCCTGAACCCTAGACCCGAACTGTAGATGAGAGACCTCCAGGGAAACGGGCGCAGAGGGCCCGATTGTCTTGAGCCGAAAGCTGAATAGCACGAAGTCGCAGGCCGCTTTTGGGACTGAGAGGGCAATGCAATCGATGCATCTGCCTCATGCAGTGCATTCTGAGACCAGCAAGGGCTTTGCAAGGCCTGCGTACACTGGACCAGGGCGTTAAGCCGCGGCAGGGTTGGCAAGGGGTTCCTGAACTTCTGTCGATTCACCTGTAAACAGAGCAGGTGTGAATGCAATGTCCCGTAAAACGTCGAATGACCCTGACGTCGGGTCGAAGCCGAAGCCTGCCCGAAGTGTGTATGGTGACCTGCCTTGCGCAGTGTCGCGTCTTGTGGCCAACTGTGGGAGTTCGGAAACTTAACATGAATCTTCGTAGCATGGCGTGTCCGCATTTCGGCCTCCAGGGTTTGTTGTACGGAGGCAAACCCTAGAACTCCTCAATTGGAAGCCCTGCAAGTTAGGGGTCGCCGCTGCTCTGTTGCATTCCGCCGCCAGTGCCGGATCAGTCCCACAGCCACCCATCATCGCGGATACTGCCGTCCGTGATGGTGCCTGACTTTGAGCAGCAACTTGAAGCATTGAAGTGAAATGAAGCCGTGGGATCTTCGGGGCTTCGGGCAGCTTCGGATTTCAAGTTGAGTTCGCGGATGCTCAGCTCGCCACCAGCAGCTTCGGAGCCGGCAACTCCACGCAGCTACGCCCCAAGCCGAACCCTCAAAACCCTTAAAGTCCGAAAACCCCAAACCCCAAAGTTGCAAACGCACCGCACACCCGTCCGAGGTTCCGCAGCGCTCTGAGCGTGAGGCCGACGATTGCACAACATCAGCATGCAGGCGCCACGCGGGGACGTGATGTCAAAAGCCCCCCGAGACTTGCAACAGGGTATGCTAGGACCCAGAGTAGGTTTTTTTTCTCTTTTTGTCCCCTTTAAACCAAAAAGGGCGCCCTCGTTATTCCTAGGTTACTCGTGGGTCGAGTGTATAAAATAGATCCAAGGGGTCTCTGCAGCGGCAGCTATGGCATTCATGCCTCTGCTCTGTGAGAAGCCCCGAAAGAACAGTCCCGAGACATCCTCCAGATACTGGACCTTCAACGAACCTTTAGCGAATGAATATGAATGCATCAGACAGCCTGAGATTCCTACGCCAACAAGCAACTTTCGACTTTCCGTAGCCCCGGAACCATAACGAAAGACCAGCGTCCCCAGGCGACCCCCAGCCCGGGCTGCGGGCCCGCAGCCGCCAGCGGTGCCATGCGGATGGCCAGAGAGTCCTGCTGCTCGCTTCACCTGGGGTTGTAGAGCAGACTTAGGCAAGAGGGGCTTCTTATTGACGGCAGTAGCCCAACACCCATAAACTTCACTGATGCGTGCTTTCTGAAGACTTTACAGACGTGCGCCTTGGCTTCTGTGTTAAAAGAAGGGCAGATATCAACGCCGCAGATGTGCGCTGACGTTCTGTGTATCATTACGGGACAGCGGCAAGCAGCACATGGACTTCGCAGATCTTCCTTTTGCTTTCTGTGTATAGTTTGTGGACCGCAGCAATAAGCACCTAGCCCTCACGGATGGGTGTTTTGGTTCCTGGGTTTCATTATCGGATAGACTTCGCGGATATGCGTGTGGTTTGGGTTTATCAGTACAGGCCATCAGACAAACTCACGTTGACTTCATAGATGTGCGGTTTGGGCTCTGTGTTTCATTTGTGGATGATCGGGCTGTAGCACGACATGGACTTCACACGTGGGCGTTTCTGTCAGAGAGGTGCGCTTGGGTTTTTGTCCAGAAATTATCGGGCAGCAGCGAAGAAAGTGATGGTAATTTTTGACTTGTAGAGATGTGCGCTGCGGTTTGTGTGAATCAAATGTGCTTACCCCCCCCCCCCCTGCCAGCCAAGCCAACAGCCTGCGGTCGAGAGCGCTGCGCGCTGTGCAGCCGATGGATGCTCAGCTCAGGTCGCGGGGCCATAGCCGTGGGCGGAGCCGAACTTACGAGGTTCCGGATGCCATGCATGTGCTTAAACAAGGTTGTGGTGAAGTCAGTCTCAAGTTGACTTATAGTCGCAGGGAGATCACATGTCACTTACTATAGATATCTCGATTCTGTAGCTTAACTTCAATAAAATAGAATTTTACAAGTCCACAAAGTTTCGATTTGAGGTGGTCCCGGTTCAGGGAAGTTCATGGTTTTGACCCCTTGAGCTTCAACTCCTCCGTTGCAGTCTACTTTTTGCCATCACAGGATGCTTGAATGGTATGGCTTTACCACCCCGCGCCCCCTCAGCCCAGTACTCGAACCCGAAATCTGAGGAGGTGCCCTGGGCGCAGCCCCGGAGCCTGAGCCGCGCAGGCAGCCGCGCGCGGAGCCGCGCCCGAAGCGGCTCGCGCCAGCGGCAGGAGACTTTGCCAGGGGGGCTGCAGGATACGGCTAGAGCAACGGCGTCTGCTGGCTGTGGGGAAGGGCTTCAGATGTTTAAAGGTCTGCCCCAAAGAAGCACGTCGGCGTGGGAGACTTTACATCAAGTTGCGCGGGTATCAGGAATGACTTCGGATTGGCTGGTGCTTGCGGGAGCTTGAAATTCCTTGCCCATTCGGAAGCGTAGTCCTGGAATAGTATTTAGAACTTAGCTGCTGCAACGCCCTCCCATAAGACCAAGAGAAGCGTTGCGTTGCCTTAAATCAGGAGATCTTTGTCTGTACTACGGAGCCGGCCTTTGATTGGAAGAACCAGGTGGGAGATGAGGACGCTCAAGAGGTGTCAAACAGAGTCTTCGAAGGAAAGACAGAAAGAGTGAAGAGCAGGCAGAGTGCGAGGGGGGGTGTCAGTTTGGGCAAGCACAACGCATCAGTACACACAGGCAACACACGCAAACAAGCGAGAAAGCAAACGCCAATACTACATCGCTGGTGTGCCCTTGTCCATTCATTCAGGTACGCATGACATATGTTGAGACTCATGTACATACCTGATTGCCACGACTTCTTTCTTGGTTGTCTGCTGTTCTTGCGTTTGCAGATTGCTTCTTGGCGCAGTGTAGACCTTGAACTCATCTCGATTTTCTCTTTAGTAGGTCCGTATGATTTTTTGCATATTGCGACCTTGCTGTGAGGGGGGAGGGTGCATGACAGGACCTCCACAAGAAGCCATCGAGGCGGAGCACGAGAGGATGTTGCAATGTAGTTCCTACAGACGTTGAGAAACGGCAGGCGTAGATTCAGTAGATATCCCTGGGAGGATCATTTCAGGGTGGCATGAAGCTCCGACTGACGTCGCCTTGTCACTGTAGCTGCTTCTTGCTTTTGCTCGGAACATCAAAATGTTTGTGAAGGCGTACGATCTCCGACTTCATTCAGATACCAACAAGCGAGGCCTGCAGGGCTGGATGTATGTCTTGGGATGGGGTTAGTGGCCCCTGTGCCCATGGCTGCTGCTACCTCGGAGCCCAGAAGTCGGGTTAAGCTTTAGCTATCATCTGAACACCCGAATACCCCAAAGAGCTGCATCGGGAGGACACGCGGCGTGCCCACAGTCGCTCGCTGAGTCCCGCGCACTTCCTCTTCCCAGATTCGGTGAGCAGCGACCGGGAAGCAGTCAGCTGTAGCGCCCGCTTCAGTGCAGTTGGTGAACACAGAATCCCAGCACAGCCGGAATGGGTATTGGAGGCAAAGAAGGCTAAGCCATACAGGGAAGCCGCTGACAAGCAGTTTGCATGCCAGAATGATTCCAGTCCATTGGGGAATAGATCCATCTCCTCATCGAACATTGTCCAGCTTCATTCCTTCCAAACAAGCTCACACACTGGGCTCCGCTTAGGTTCTGAGGGTTAAAGATGTTCAGCGGTTCCGACGCTCGTAGGGAGTGGAAGGCTTCAGAGCGCTAGTCGTTCATTCCTTGCAAGCTTCTTCTCATGTTCTCGCAGGTGCTGCGTCGACTAGCTTCGCATCAACACCTCTACGTCCGCCCACGCCTCTTGAAGCCTGGTACTCGTTGAGCAGTTGCATGTGCTCTGTGTCGCAGCTTGCTTCTGGGGGCTCGTTGAGGCCAGCTTTGGCGAGGAGGGTCGCGTGCCTTTTCTTCCCGTGAGACGTGAGAACATATCAGCAGGTTTCGGACTCCATTCAGGTATAGGTGCTTGGGTAAGTCCGAGACCAAAGCCGAGGAAGCTGATGGCGAAGGCACGGGTGCGCCGCGTGCCTGGGCCTGCATATGACATGATGGACACATCGGCTGCTACGATCTAGCAGCCGATGCCAGGCAGTTGGAAACATTACCGCTGCAGTCACAGGAGCACGGACCGGTCAAAGGAGGGGGTAATCGCCCCAATTACTATAGTAGTATTCCCTTATGGTCTCTACATAAATATAAAATATACAATAAGAACCCCCAAAAAGGCTTATGCCAATTATGAAGGCCCCTGTGTTAAGCCCGATTCAAGAAGCCTTACAGCCGGCCCACGGAGTGCGCGAGGGCTTATCGCAACCTTAGGCCGCGGTCGCACCGCCACGCCCGAGGGCGCACGAGGCCGCGGGGCCCCAGGGATTTTTGCCTTTGACCCCCGAGCAGAAGGTGCCCAGGAAGTTGTATGGAGGTGGGGAGCCAACACTTGAGCCCTTGAGAGGCTTGGGGAGCATGGCGCGGGCGGGTCCGAAACATCAGGCCCCGTCCAAGCAGGCGTGGAGCGGGGGGTCTTTGTTGTTTCGGAACGTGGGTTTGCAGTGGGTTGTGGCAACTTGGAAGAAACTCGGAAATTCTGTGTCCGCATTTTCTGAAACTGACTGAGGCAGAGCGGAAGCAACAGAAGAAGAAAGCAAAGCAGGCCGGGTGTAGGGAATTAGGATGCAGCGCTTCACCGCGAACAGTTCGAGGCTTTCCGGCGTTTGTCTTCAGATCTCCGAGGCTAGACACGAGTCCATGGAGGAGGCCGAGGAACAAGCTGTGAAGAAGGAGGAGCTGCTACGCCGCTGGGACTAAGACTCGAACCACCTTGCAAGAGGGGCCCCACCCACGGTCTTCTTTTGGAATCTCGGGTGTCGTTGCTCGGACTGGAGATTTTGCTAAGGCGTTCTGGGTTAGTCACGCTTGGTGCTTCAGGCTTCGGAGACTTGGTGCGCATTTTTGTTGATTTGTGGCTTGCCCCCCTTCAAAAGAAGCGAGGCGATGCAGCCGCGAAATTGTAGACTACGGCTTGTTGCTGGTGGTGTGGTGCTGGTGGTGATGGTTGTCGCCACTGCTGTGCACTCTTCGTGATGGTCAGGTCGCCTCGAAGCCGAGATCCTTGCAGATGTGCAGGCTCTGAGATGGCTGTGTGCGGTACGCCGCTTAGGAGTTCGGGTTTGGATGGTTGAGATAATGCCTCACTTGCTGCATCCTGGATCTAAGCCCGTTCGCCTTTTTTTTTTTAAGGATGCTGCTTTCGAGAGTCAAGACGGTTGGGGCTCTCGCTGCTTGTGGTGCGGAGCATTGCCAGGTTCAGCCTTGTTCAGTTTGTTGTTGTTAAAGGGGGCCAAATCTCGGACTTTCATGATTCATGCGACCACAGTTTTGAAAATGGTATCAATGCTTACCACAACGCAGCTCTAGCGTAGAAGCCGTCTCAAACGCCTGATGCCTTTAGACGCCCCAGGAGGAGCCGCAAGCAGAGCCACCAGATCCACCAGCCGAACCAGCGGCCGCTCCCAGCGATGCAGACGACACCGCCTCCGTGGCAGCTGGTCGAAACTTCTGCATGTGAGGACCATTAAGGGCCGTAGTGAGGCCAAATTTGGCTGGATCGTTAAGTTGAAGGGGTGGGGGGGGGGGGGTGGGGGTGGCCTTGGGGTAGGCTCGCGACATTTACCACGTTGTAAGTGTGAAGAAGGCATCGGGTGGTCTGAGCTGAGTCCGAAAAGTAGCTGAGGTCAGTGGCACAACTGTCAGCTCAAGGTTGCTAGGCCGGGAAGGCCGGGAAACAGTGTGTTTCCTTCTGCGACAACACTCTTCAAGTTCAAGTCCCTGAAAAACCAATCTCGGTGATATGGGTCCCCTCTCCATGCCAAATCATGACCACCATAAGTCGCAGGGCAGGGCTCACAACTCAGCAGGGTCAAGCCGCGTCCCTCTCATTCTGTGCAGGCCGGATCCACTTCGATGAGCAGCCAGCAGAGCTTGAACCTGTAGCAGAGGCCGGTTTGGTGCCGGAATCTTCGCAGGACCATACGGAGGTCATTCCGGTACGAAGTTCTTGTTTTTGTTTCCCCACCTTCGGTGTAGGCTTGTTAGAATTTGAACTCAACTCTTCTCCTCGCCCGGAACTCTTCTCCTCGCCCGGTCTACTCCTAGAGACTCCCTGGAGTGCCAAACCCCAGAGACTCCCTGAAGTGCCCAAGCCCAGAGACTCCCTGGAGTGCCCAACCCCAGAACGCCAGAGAGACTCCCTGGCGTGCCCGGAGTGCCCAACCCCAGACTCCTGGGGTTCCAGCGTATGTCGCGTGATTTCGCATGCGCGAAGTGCAGGTGGAGGGCGAAAGTGAAGGAAGACGCTTGGAGGAGACTAGGAGGGCTTCTTCAATACGAGCGTGAGGTCCAGACACCTTTCTTCTGGACAACTCGAAGTTTCATATCAGCTCGAAGCATTGCGTGCAAGCTGTTCATTGTTGAACGAAGATACAAAAACCAACAGATCCAGATCCGAACGTCTTTCCTGACCAGATATGCAGGAATCCAGGCTTACTCTTTCTCTTTCTCTTTGTTCTTTCGTTTTCTCTTTCTTTTTCTCTCTACCTTTTTCTTTCTGTTTCTCTTTCTCTTTCTCCTCTTTCTCTGATGAAGTATGTCGCTTTCTCTTTGAGGAGCGGGTGAGGGGGTGAACGGGCGGGGGTGAACCGGGGGGGGGGGGGGGGATGATGCAGTTGTATGCCAAGAAGGCCCGATAGGCCAGCGCGGAGAACGGAAAACAGTGGACACTGACACATTTAAGAAAAGCGAACAAAGCAAGAGCAAAACGCGAGTGGATCAAGCGAGTCTCTCTGTTCAAGAGAACAGAATTTGCAGAAGGGGGGAAGCAAATAACACGCAGACACAGAACAATCGCAAAAGTAGCGAAACATAGCCCAAAAAAAACGAAATTTGGCCAACAAATTGGCCAAAATTCGTTGAGCAAGAAAAATCTTTGGAAAAAAGCTCTTATTTCCCAGAATCTGCCACCCTTACAAACTTTTAGTTGTAGACTTGCAGAAATGCACCCTGATCCTGGCATCCGGCTTGAAACCTTTGGTTCGCACAGGCCCTCTGTTACCGTAGACTGCGTAGCCACAAACTCCCCTACCCGCTCCCCGCCCTCGGCGGAAGCCGAGCCCGAACTTTGCACTGGAATCTGTTGAGTGCTCTGGGATCTAAACTCCAAGTCAAGGAAAAGCGCTGGACGACATCTTTGCGGAGACTGTTTGGACAATCACCTTTTGCGACGAGGCACCCGATACTATGGTTTAATCCAAGCTTGCCGAAAGTGTATTGTGATAGGTCGCTATTTGGGATTCTCAAGTTGACTCAACATGCATCTCGGGTTTAATGTTGACGAGACCCATGTCTCTCGAAGGGCTCCTTGAAGGGCTCGCCGGCAACCATGCCTGCGTGTTTTAAGTCAAGCCCTCATCCCCTGGTGATTTGTTGCGGGTGGTGTGCGATTTGTTGCAGGCTTACTCGGAGCTGAAGCGTCTGGTGCGAATCCAGCAGAAGGCGAGCGCTTTTTCGACTGTGTGTTTTTGCATAAGGGTGTTGTTGTTTGATTCGCGCGGCCTCGCCCTGAACTATAAACATCTCCGGACACGCCTTGATAATCTTCCAGAGAAGAGGATGTGCCATGTCAGATCCAATATAGAGGTCGGAATAGGTACCACCAACAATCCCTTATGGTCTCTTTATATGTATACTATAATAACCCCCAAAACCCTCTTCTAATCATCAAGGCCCCTATATTCAGTTGGCTAGCTGTGTAACTTCGGGGGCATCCGGAAGTCCAGTGATTTAGGGTCATCCGTAGCTTGGCTGCGTGGCCGGACAGGCCATTCTGGACATCTTCCTGGCCGGGGCCCTTAAACATTCAGCCCTGCGAAGCTGGGATGTCAACACTTGAAACACAAAAGAAGATGATACCGTTTTGAGTGAGGTTACTTGCAAACCACGACCGCACATGAACCACAGACGGATGCATGTCCTTAAGGGAAGCAAGCTGGACCTCTGAGCTGCATGGCGTCGCTTGGTGAGATTCGGTGTCTGAGGTGCTGGCCTCAGGCAAATGGCCCGAGGACCCCAGCGGCTCACAACCAGCTGCCCATCCTTGCACTTGCAGTTTCGCAGGTGGCGTTTTAAAATCTAGGCCAGAACGCACACCTTGCCATAGCAGCTCAGAGCACCCCAAAATCAAGACTGCTGCTGGAGGATGTGTGTGAGAAGCTGGATGGGCACGGACACCTTCGGCTGCGAAGAGCTGTAGGAGACGGGATCGGAGGGAAATGCTGTGCTATCTTTGTATCTCGTGATGTTGTGCACCCAGTCGACTCACACAATTTCAATTTGTTAAACTTGAAAAGTTTTCTGGGAGGAAGGGACCAGCACGTCCTCTGGAGTACCTTGGTGGCTCTGGAGTTGAGATCAATTGAGATCAACTGAGATCGGTTGGGATGTTGGGGCTTCGAGGCTACAGCTTTAGGAAACACAGTCGATGAGAGTGTCTTGTGGGTTTGTGTCTCAAATTGTTCCTGCTTTCGACTTTGAGGTGTGGATATGGAGTATGACAGCAACCGGAAGCTGTTCGTTGAGGTAATCAAGGTGTGGCACGTTCTTCGCCTCTTGGCAAAAGAACATCACAAGGTGCGAAGGGTTCTGTAAAGTTGAGGCAACTTCCAGCAAAGGAAGGAAGCTGACGAGCCCAGTGCGCAGATGCAGATGCCGCCCTCAATAGTAGGAGCTGGACTCGGTAGGTTTATTCTTGCTAGTAGATCTACCCCTAGCTTCAATCTGGGTAGTTTCCTAAATTGGGCTCCCTCTTTGGGTGCTCATGTGTAGCCGGCACCCTTTAAATGGGGATCCCAAAAGAAACACCCTAGTTTAGAGAACCACCCATCTACTTTGCCACGAGCCTTGCAGAGCCGAGGCCCCGAGCAGTCGGCGGAGGCGGCGGCTGCCTTGGTGGATGAGTGGAAGAGGGCCACCCGGGACTTCAGAGGACATGGCTTCCGAAGCTCAAGGGTTTAAGGGCTTCGGGCTTATCCCCACCTCCCGGAGCTCCCCTACTGGCGGGTAGCCCTCGGCACCCATCGGCACAATCATCCGGACACATGGAATAGACCTTGCAACGTGAGGTTCTGGGTCTAGCAGGAGCCTTGTCTCCTTCCAAGATCGCTTCAGGAGTGGAGCGTGCCCTGAAGAACCAGAAAGTGACTCTGAAGAGCCCCGGCAGAGCGATGTTCCACGCAGAGTCTCTTCTGTGAGGGCTTGTTGCTGTTGCTCTTGCTGTCTGCAACTTCTCCACTTCTAAGGGACGGCGTCCGCTGTCCTCGAAACGTGCTGCCATCGGAGCTGCAAGACAGCACCTCGGCGCTTTTTTTTTTTTGTGCTGGGCTGCGGATAGATCTATAATTTAGCCACAACTGCAACAAGTCGTGCTCTTTGTGTGGTGTCGTTTGTTCGGGGGCTTGTGCTCAATAAGTCTCTGGCAAGCTGGAGGCAGAAGGCTTGAGCCCTTCCGGCACAACTGTGAGGTTTATGTATCGCTTCCTGGGTTGGCCTCTGAGGCGACGTCCTGTCTTTGCGGAAGTTCTACTCCCTGGACTGGCGAACGGTGCGGTCCATCCTCCTGGATGATGAGGAGGAAGGCCAGGACGCACACAGTTCTGCGAACCGGCAAGGCGACGCCCCCTTGATGCAAAGTTCTTGGGTGCGGCTCTGAGGCCAAACTTCCCGGGAAGTGTCCGGAAAGAACCGACCCTGAACGCTTGCGCCGAATCTCAGCCCCCAGCATCCTTCTCCGCCAAAATCGGTGTAGGGTTTAGGGTTTAGGGTTTAGGGTTTAGGGCTTAGGGTTTAGGGTTTCGGGTTTAGGGTTTAGCGGTGGGCTGTGGCATCAGGCCAGCTGGCTGCCGGTGAGCAGCGCCTCATCTGCGAGATGCGGAGATTTGGGGGCTTCAGAGGATCAGTCGGCAAAGCCCTGCTGCGGGTTGGATCAAAAAAGGCATGCAGGGAATGCTCCTGAAAATGGGAATTGGAGTTTACGCAGACGAGCTTCATTTCTGGTCGTGCAGGGAGAACAACTTGAAAACTTTCGTGGGGGTGGCTCCATGTGGCCGATGAACACGTCACACTCTCTCACTCTCCCTCCGGATCAGCCACTCAGCGATAGCCTTAGAAGCCCTAGACCCATCCCGGCTAGCCTGAGGTTCCCCTAAACCCGAAGTTCTAAACCAACCCGAAACCCTAAGCCCTTTAAGCCCTAAGCCCTTCAACCCTAAACCCCGTTCTGCTGAGGTTCATGTTGCGAACCTCTAAGCAGGAGGATGCAGTGATCCAGAAGCCGGGGCCAAACATTGTGCGCCATGGCTTCCAACACTTGTGGCCCAGAATTTAGGGCTTAGGGTTTAGGGTTTAGGGTAGAACTGTAGAACTGTGGCTACTCCTGGATGTTTGGCAAAGAAATCTTCGGCTCACTTCTGGTTCTGTGGACGGAGGTCTCCCACCTCAACCGCCCCACACCCTACGCCCTAAGAGCCTTGACCACACCTAAACCCTAAACCCTAAACCCTAAACCCTAAACCCTAAACCCTAAACCCTAAACCCTAAACCCTAAACCCTAAACCCTAAACCCTAAACCCTAAACCCTAAACCCTAAACCGCGCCTTCTTCAATTCCCAGCTCCCTCTACTGCTCCTCCTCGCCGAAGGGCCGCACACGGTCGTAGATGTCCAGGAAGAGCCACAGCCCATCCTATATAATTACCCTGACCCCCAAACAGCAGGATAGGTCGCAGCGGCTCCGGCAAGACACTCTGTGACCAGGCTGCATTATCAGAAGTTCTTAGGGGGTAGTTTTGCGGCTTGGGTTTAGGGTAAAAGGTCTCGGGTTTTGGGTTTGGGGGTGCACGCTCAAGTTGCACAAGTTCCTCTCTGCACTCTGCCAGATGCTTTCGCCTTTTGTTTTGAATTCTCTTGGAACGTCGACTCAAAGTTTTTCTAGAGTGTCGCTGGGCCAGGGTTGAACTTTGAACCAAACCTGCTTCATGTTTGCATGATTTTGTACAGATCAGACAGCACCTGTGTTCTCCACGAAGGTGCTTGCCCGCGAAAAGCACTTGAAGCTGTGGTTTTCCTGCCCCAGGCTGCTTGTACCGAATGTTCCATCGGTACCTTGACTACTGGAACAAGTCCACACAGGCCAGTTTCCTGAGCTGAGGGAGGTCTTGCCTGTAGTCTACTTGCTTCACAGCACAAGCTTGGTAAAGTATGCGTCGCTCATGCCCTTGAATGCTGTTTGCTTGTTTTGAAAACAAATCCCCATATTACTTTTGTAAGGAAGAGGTTCCTAGCAAGTTATTTATCGCAGTTAAGCTGCAAAAGTCCCAGGCCCCAAACCCTTGAATGTTGGGCAAGTACTAGCCAGCTTGTGCTCCCAGCATCTGCCTATGAGGCTGGGGGCGCTCCTCTGCTGCCTTCAGGTTCAAGTGACGTCCACTGTCACTTGAACCAGGCGAGGGTGATGGCACCTGAGAAGCTCCTCCCACCAGAGAGCCCGAACTTTTGCATATCTGCAGGCCCCTTGAAGTATTTGGTGTTTTCGGGTGGGGTGATTGGATTGTGGCAGCCGCGCAATCGATTTTAAGCCTAGCAGGTGCTCAAGGCTTTGATTGCGAGATATTTTGCGAGCTTGAGTGTGACTGTCTGACTGAGTCTCCTGAGTGCCCCGCCAGGTCTTCGTGACCCACAGCGCTGGCCTGGCGAATAAGGCCGGCCTGTGAGAAAGATGTTCAGCAGCCTTCCCACACGTGCGAACCAGACGTACTGTGTTCAGGTGTTGGAGTACTTCACGAACATGCAGCAGAAGAGCCAGGCCAGGTGTCGGTGCAACTATTCTCAGCGCAGCTTCCTAAACCCCAAACCCTACACTGCCCTACACCCTAAGCCCTAAACGTTCTTCACTGTTCGACAAGAAGGGTGGACAGCGTGGTTCAGGCCTATTGTGAGCACTTGTGGGAATAGCCACGGGCCTGTTGCTCGCGTACTTCATTGTTGCAGCACCAGAAAATTAAGTTAGGCAGCTTCGGCGCCAGGCAGCATGACTCTTCTAGACTTTGCATGCCACTACCCTAAGCCCTAAGCCCTAAACCCTAAGGAGCAAAAGCAGAGATCTTCCATGACATATTGCCGCTGAGGAGTCTCTACCCACGACAAGAGGCGCTCTCCAACGCTCTGGCTTGCTCGAGCAGTCCAGGCTCCGAAGAGGTTTAGGCTTTAGGGTTTAGAGTTTAACAGAGTTTAAGGGTCTTAGAGTCGTAAGGAATCTGTAGGCTCAGGTGGTTAGGAACAAGGGTTTGAGGGGTAGTGCTATTGAGGTTTGACGTTTGAGCCCGGAACTCCGGGGCTCATCTCCAAAGATTCAGGGCCGTGATCCTGAGGCTGAGCCTATAGGCTTATGTGAAGGCTTATAGGTGTTAATCCTGTACACAAGGTCATCAGCTCAGTAGCCTTAGTAACTGTGAAGAATGGTAGGTATGCAATGTAGGCTCGCGCGAGGCATCCTGACAGCATCTCGCGTGTGAAGACCTTCCCACTGTTTGTGACGCTCCCTGGCGCGGAATGTATGAAAGGGCCATCACTAGCTGGCAGCTACCCTAGACCCTTTCCCCTAAACACAAACCCAAACGCCCTAAACCCCAAACCCTAAACCCTAAACCCAGACCCCTAAACCTTGCGAGCCGTCACTGTAGAACAACCCCTCCGAGGTTCCGCAAGTTCCTCATCATGGTGGATGGCGGCTTGGCGTGGATCTCTAGAGTTCAATGCAGGTCCTTAGGTCCCTGCACTCAGAGAGGAGTTTCGAGAGCATAAGAGACCCAAACCGATGTCCACGCTTGGACCCCATTTGCACCAAGCAAACCCTAAACCCTAAGCCCTAAACCCAAAACCCAAAACCCTAAACCCTAACCCTAAACCGCTCGGAAGGAAGCCTGCAGAATCCCTTCTTCCCGCGCCGGAGTACTGGAATCGTTCACCCCGACAAGGCCCATGGGGTGTGATGCCACCCTTCTTCTTAAGCCCCTTCTGCCAAACAAATAGATACAAGAAAGTTGCCCTAAGCCCGGAAACCCTAAACCCGAACAACTAAACCCTAAAAGCCCTAACCTCTAAGTCTCAGCCCCCAGAGCTCCGTAGCCGTCAGGTGACCCAAGCTGAAGCTGCGGATGGCCTGGACCCAGTTTAGGGTTTAGGGTGGAAAGGCTGTTGCAAGATCTGCAAGGGAAGGGGTTCCGGTCGACCGGAGGGCAGTCTTCTGCTTGGAGGTTCATGGTACTGAGAATCCCAAATATGACTGTACCTACAACCCAATTGTAGCCCCATTAGGCACTTAAGGGGCGTATGAGTGGGTTCTGACTGCACTTATAATTGGGTTGTACTTGTCTGGGCAGGACCCGATCTCCGCGCTCCGCGAGCAGCGCCGCGCCGCACTCCGTGCCAAGGCCTCTCAGCTTCAGAAAAGTTGGGTTTTGAAGAAACCCTAAACCCTAAACCCTAAACCCTAAACCCTAAACCCTAAACCCTAAACCCTAAACCCTAAACCCTAAACCCTAAACCCTAAACCCGGCATAGGCCCACTTTAGCCAACGCGCTCGGTGAGCTCGAAGCCAGGTCCCCTCACTCCAATCCTCTCCGCCCGTCAGCCCAATTGTTGTACACTTGCACTCCAAATGGCAATGAGTTCGATGCCCCAGAAACCCTTGCTACTAAACCCCACCGCGCAGGCGCTTTTCAAGAATGCCACAGCTGCCGAACCTCGGTGTTGGCAAGCGTTCTTGCTTCTGGAGGCATGAACACCAGGATATTCTGATCATAATCGGCTGTCTTTAGTCGTTGAGGCAGTGAATAAGCAGCTGAAGTTTATTCGAATGTTTGTTCCTCCGAAGCATGGGAGCTGCAATCGATAGGGAACTCCCGGCACCCAGGAGTCCGACAAAGTGCTGACAGAGGTGGACTATGACCTCTTTGAAGCCAAATTCTGGCCAAAGCTGCGCCAAAAGGCTGGGTACAACACTGCTAAGCAGGTATGGCGACGCTTGATTTCTCAGTCTTATGCCCAGAGCGGCTTGAAGATCATGCTCTTAATGCAAGCTGGAGTGCGGCATTTCTGGTGCCCCTGCAGATACTTAGCAGACTAATTTGGTTTATATGCATTCCGAGACCGGAAATATATCTTGATGGCCTTGTTTAAGCGGGGCTTGCTGAGATCTGTTGGAGGTGCCAGCTGTCGAGGACGCCATGCTTGTCTGGAGGGAGTTCATGCCTCTTGCCCGTCATCAGAGGGACTCGTCGTTTCAGCAGCCCAAGCATCGGAACTTCCGATGATCAACCACACTCAGGTCCTTCATCAAGGGCAGCTATCGCGTCCTGGCCACTGGGCGACCCAAGGTAATCTTGAGCCTACTAAGACATGGCACTCCGGTAGGGGGGATCCGGTCTTCGACTGTTTTGGAAGGGAGCTATCGGAAGGACCCTTAGGGTGCAGGGCTTGGGGGTTTAGGGTGTAGGGCGCAGCCCCGATTTTTGAAGACCCAGCACCAAGGAGACAGAACAGGGACATTTGGACTTGGAGACCTATCAGGAGGTGACCAGCAAGTGTTCGCCAGGTGCCTCAAGGGGTCATCATAGAAGTTGCAGTTTAGGTTCGCAAGTGAAATCGCTTCTTGTGCATTTTTACCGGCAGTCGAGCCAGTCTGTTGTTCATGCCAATAAATACGGAGATCCCTAACTGGGACTTGTCGAAGTGAAGATCGCAGGCTTCAGGGAGTACCGCGAGCAGACCTTTGATGGCAATCAGTCTAGGCCACAGAGGCGCACCGCACCGTGAACAGCAGTTGGGAAACACGAATCGCCTCTACAGATGCCGCCTGCATGGTCTTGATCTAAGGATCTTCGCTGCCTTCAAGTCATACGAGCAGCTGAAGAAGGATTGGCACGGATTCGACAGGACACAACAACTTGAGGGCATGTGCAAAGGGGGCGTTTGTGCAGGTGACGCAACTGGCATGTCGCCAGCCTGGGGCACTCTAAGCACTGCCGAAACCCAATGGTTACCAGCAGGCACGAGAGCACGGCTTGTTAAAAGTAGTGTTTCAGACCTGGCCTCAGCTGGTGGAAAGCCTACTTGGGAATTCAGATCTCCTTCCGGGATGATACCTCCAGCCATCCAGAGTATACAAGCGGCTGCTGGCCGAGGTGCCAGCCGGGCCCCAGAAGGAAGGCTGACAGTAGGTTAGGCGTGAGGTGTGGTAGAGGCTTGTGCGCATTGCTAGGTCTCTCGGCTCAAAGTCCTAAAATTCCAGGAACACACCGCAGGAAGCTGCAATGTGCTCGGTCGCATCTCCGGCACTGCGCGTCGCTGGGATACCTCTCCCGAGTAGTGGCTTGGCGCAGCGCAGACTGCGCGGACCGGCAAAGCCGCATGCCCGCCATGAACGGACCCTTCCGTGGTGGCAGAAGCTACCCCGGCTATCCCGCTTGGCACTGACAGCTGGCCTTCCTGCTGCACAACAGGCACTCCGAAAATTGGATCAGGGATTCGGGGAGGTTCGTGGTAACTCGCAATAGCACGAAGACGAAGACTATGCAAATCTGGGGATTGGGTCGTTGGGTCGTGAGGCACGGAAGCTGCCCAGCGCCAGGTTCCAAAGCTTCGCTTGCGATCTGGATCAGTCGCTGGCGGCGCCTTTGCGCCGGAGGCGGCGGCATGGGAAGATTTCAAAGGAGCCCCCACCCAGGCAATGGAGCAATGGGTTTGTTTATCTCTCACTCTGTTGTTCCTCTTTTTTAGTGGCTCGCATGGGTGTACATATATAGAGAGATAGAGAGGCATTGTGTATCTGTTTTCGGCTTTTGGCACCTCAGGTCGGCCGGCTGCGAGTCCTCTCCTACCCGGTCCGGCGCGGGGTGCGCTGCGTGGCCCTGGTGAAAGGCAACTCTCGTTTCGTGTTAATTATTTCACCACCCTCGGTGTAAAGTTGTCAGATTTTGAACTCAACTTTTCGCCTCGCCCGACCCTCTTCTCCTCGCCCGGTATACTCCAGAGTGTCCCTGGAGTGCCCAACCCCAGAGTGTTCCTGGAGTGCCAACCCCATTGTGTTCCTGGAGTGCCCAACCCCAGAGAATCTCCACCCAGAGAGGGTGGGGATGTTCGGAGTAAAAGTTTCTTTTATTGCCTATTATTTTTGAGCATTGTTAGTGTTATTCAATGTTTGTTCAATTTTTGATTGTGCTTTGTATTCTGCATACGTACGTGGCGTACGGAATATGGCAATTGGCAGATTTAGTGTCCTGTGTGCATGGGGTTTTGATCTGCAGGCAGCGTTGGCAATCAGCCTGTACCTGTCCGAATCCACTCCGAGTGTTTGTTGGGCGACGTGTTCGGGTCGGAGCGCTGCCAATGTGGGCCGCAGCTGCAAGCGTACATGCGCCACGTCGTTGGCAGCGACGCGCGCCCAAACGCCATTGCTTTGTACCTGCAGGCCGACGTTCCATGTTAAACACAGTTGCAGCTTTGTTTCACAGCTGCTTGTACTGTGCGCAGCAGCTAAAGTCTCATCAGCTGTCCTGCTTGTGAGCGCAGTTTCGCTGCTTGCCCACTCCAAGGGACACGAGGGAAAGGGCATTGGCTTTGCCAACAAGCTGCGAGCATATTCGCTCCAGGCCACCAACGGTGCTTTGCAGAAAAGGGTCTTTGGTCGGGATTCTTGTTTAAAGGGTTCTCATATGTTCTCATATCGAAAAGCAGTGGCAGGACACCGAGGGTCTTTCAGAAGAGGACGCGAACCTTCGTTTGGGCTTCGCTCCTGACCTGCGGCAGTACAGCATGGCGGACGCTGCTTTGCGAGATCTGGGCGTTCAGAGCGTGGTGTTGTACACCAACAGCCGCCGCAAGGTTAACGGCCACCTGCTTGGTCAGTTATTTTAGGGGCCTAGGGTTTAGGGTGTAGGGTTGCGCCCATATGGTCTGGTGAGTCCCGTCAGGAATATTGACACGTCTGCATCCTAACATGTGCGGAAATTTGAATTTTGGCTAGTCACATATGCAAGGATCTATACTGGCATGTGTGTACTGAGGTATCTCTGCACTGGTTGCCGCGGTTGTGCCGTGGTCTTCAGCCGAAAAGACTTGGTTAGATCAGGACATTTGGTCCAAACTTGGTTCCTGAGAAGCTTGTACCGGCCTGTTTGGGTTTTATCCGGCAAACTTTGCTGTCGTGGCGCAGACTCTCTCTGGGCTCACAAACTGGCGTGAGATGCTCTGGCAGTGACAGCCCGCTCCACTGAGCAGCCCGACTCAGAATGATGCCGACGAGACATGAAGATCGGATGAGACCTCGGGAAGGGATCGCCAAGGCGGAATGGGGCCTCGCCAGAAGAACGACGTCATCCTTGCCTTTCCTCCCATGGGCATCCTGCCCAGAAATCCCGCTCCACGGTCTGGCTGCAGCCATAGGCGAGGTTCGTAGTTGTACGAGCGAGAGGAGAAAACAAGATGAGATGGGAGTGTTCGCTTGCTGCGCATGCCAGCTCGGACTGTGCACAAGTTGGTTTCGACAGCCTGGCTGGGTGAGACTTCTGTGGTACACATCTAAACCGCATTGACGGCTGAGATGGAGCAACTGTACACACGGCACCGAGATTGCTTAGGAACCACGAGGCTTGGGCCTTCGCAGCTGCTTGTGGCAGCCGCTGAGCACCCAAATCCATGCCAGAACTCCAAGCATCAAGACGATTCTAGCAAGCAGCGCTCGACCGAGCAAAACCGACACTGAGGGTCGCGGACGGAAGACGCAGCAGGGCCCGTCAACCGCCCCCCCCCCACTACGCCGGGTCCTCCCGAGCGCAGCTCCGTGCTTCCAGGAAGGCGCGGAAATCCTTTGCCTCCAGCATCGCCACTTCCAAAGTGCACAGTCATGGACAGACATTTACACAGGGTCGTGGGCCCGTGTCGTACTGTACGAGCGGGCGTCCACATCTACCCAGTACACCCCCAGTAGACCGGGTCTCCCCCAGCGCAGCTCCATGCTGCTTCCAAGCATCATGTCTCCGCAGCTTCAGCGCGGCGGCGCAGGGCCGCCCGCGCCCGATAGGCACGGATCAGAACGCACAGCTCCTGCATGAGGGCGGAATGTGCACGCTGGGGCTCCTCGCCAGTCCGCGCAGCCACAGCCCGCGCAATGTGCTGGAGGACGATGCCCGCACCTTTGTCCCACGTGCCTGTGGATTCCACCACCATCGGCACAAACACCACGCCCTGGCCCTCACAGGCCTGCGCAGTGCCCAAGTGCGCTTCCTTGTGGCGGGCGTAGGCAGCAGCCGCCGCGCCTGTCTCCCTGCCTGCCAGTGCTAGGGTCTCCTGCCGCTGAGGCGCTGTAACAGCGAAGTCAAGCGCAGCGGGAGACCCAGCAAGGGCAGGCAGAAAGACATCGGCAGGGCGACGTCTGCCTGTCTGCGTGTCTTCAGGGCAAGTGGGCAGCAGAAGGTTCGGGCGCTCCTTCTCCGGCCGAAGGCCAGCCCGCTCAGCCCAGGAACACACAAGATCACGGACAGCGTTGTGTCTCAGAGTCCGTTCGCCGCCAGCCACACACATGCCAGCGTGGTAGCCCCAGCAGTCCAAGACCCCATCGCAGCGAGGACACCAGCAATCATCAGTGGCTTCGGGCACCCCCAGGCGGATTCGCAACTCGGCAATGAAGGCGGCAGGCTCCATGCGCGTGCGTCCTGAGGGCATGGCGTTGAGGAAGGCGCGCGCCCCCAACCCCGCTTCAGAGTGAAGGGCAGCCCGAGCGACGTGGCTGCTGTGTTCAAGCTGGGCAGCGAAGCAGGTGGAGTCCAAAAGCTGAGACATGTCGCGTTGCTTGCTTTGCAAAGCAGCAGCAAGCGTAGCAACCCGACTGCCCACGGCGTTCTGGAACAGGTGGAAAGCCCCGACCACATGGTTCGAGGTTTGAACGGCCTCCTTTGAGAAGTTGGGGTCGAGGTCACTGCAGTGTTCCAGGGAGGCCCCCACCGAGGCCAAGTAGGCAGCAGGCGCATGGGCAGAGCAAGAGCGCAGCCCAAGCCCCGCGTGCGCGAGCCCTCGAGAGGCTTGCAACCACTGCTCAGCAGTAACATGGATGCCAGTGAGACCACCGAGGCACCGCCGCACCAGCCCATCAAAGTGGGCCAAAGCTGCAGCCTGAGCTGCAGGCGGGTTACAGCGCATGCTGTGAACCATGCGGCAGAAGCCGGCGCACGCCCGCAGCAAGCGTAGTCCCACCTGGGGGTCCTCAAGCTCGGCCAGCGCCTCCAGCAATTCACCCGCTTTTTCTGCCCGCGCCAGGGTGTGTGTCTGGATGAAGTCATCGTCCCCAATAGCGGCCCCCAGGAACTCGAAGTTCCTGAGCACTCTCCCAGAACCATCAGCATGGAGCAGCAGGGCAGCCGGGAAACTTGCGCGCATGATGCCCTCATCAATAGGTCCCAAAGCCACAACTTCGCACTTACGCAGGTTGAGTTGCAGTCCAATTGCGGAGGCCTGCTGCTGGACCAGGGTCAGAGCAGCACTGACCGCGGCAATGTCACCGGCAAGCACACCGTCATCCAGGAAGTGCATTGCAATGTCCAGGGTCCTGCCCTGGTGGAGCTGGCTGGCGAGAGGCTGCAAGGCAGCCGCGAACAGCAGCGGCCCGAGCGGGTCGCCCTGCTGAACACCAGAGCAGGACTCCAGGGTGCGAGCTCCAAACTGGAGCCGCGTGTGTTGCCGGTAGCACCAAGTAACCCAGCGTGCCAGAGCAGGGAAGCGGTTTGTAGTTTCATCAAGTACGGTGTCCCGGTGGACACAGTTGAAGGCATTGGCAAAGTCCAGTTTGACCAAAACCTTGCGAGAAGAACCCGCGTGGCGGTTAGTCCAAGCCCGCAGAACATGGACCGCTTTCTCTGCACCTCCTTTGACCGCGACCCCAACCTGAGCCGGCCAGAAATAGGCGCGAGCCTCATCACGGACCAGACTCATCAGGCACTTGCCAGTGAGCCGGCGCAGGAGCTCACCCACAGCAATGGGCCGGACGCCCCCGCTGGCCTTCGGCAGTGCGACCAGCCCAGCCCCGGCCAGCACAGGGGCGACACTAGGCGGAGCACGTCCTTGAGCAAGAACATTGACGACAGCAGTGAGCTGCGAGAGGAAGGCCTCATGTCCGCCAGCAATGCAGGCGTCGCGCAAGTGCTGCACACGGAGGCCAGTGGGCCCCGGGGCTGTTTCAGCAGGAAAAGCACGCAGGCAGCGGGCCACCACCTCAGCCGCGACTTCAGGCGCAAGAGGAAGTTCCTGCGGCGGTCGAGCTGCGGGAGGAGCTCTCTGGGGATGAAGGAGTTCCAAAGCCCGAGCAGTCTCAGCGTTGTCAGGGCATAAGCCTTTAGACAACAAGGCCGCGCAGGCTTTTCTGTCGAACCCCTCCCTTCCCCACGCTTCAGCCAGGCCTCGCCGCTCCTCAGGCGTGGGCACTGCAGAACACCGCTGGCGGTGCTGTGGGCGCGTGTCCCATAAGGACCTGCGCTCCCCCTCCTGCCATCGCTGCATGCGATCCAGGACGAAAGCAGCGACGGCTCTCGCGTGCTTCTTCCCCCGTCGCGCTGGCGCGCAGAGTACACTTTGCGGCAGCATGAGTAGCTCGCGCCAGGCTTCCTCATCATTGCGATGCGCAACAGCAGCCAAGGCACGAGCGAGAAGCTGGTTCCAGAGGTGGCGTGCTTTGGCGGGGACGTGGCGCAAGGTGGCAGTCCGGGCTGCCTGAATGGCTTCAAAGGACGGCAAGTCCAGATCATCAGTATCCATGGGGTCGCCCTCAGCGACAGCAGCAGCCCGAGCAGCAGGGCGGCATGTTGGATGGATGCCAAATTTTTCTGACACACTAAGGCCACAAACCAAACACCGGGTGCGTCCATTGGCTTGCAGCCAGGCCTGTGGCACCTCGCCACCTGCTGCCCCAGCGAGGTGAGCGTCGATGTGCGAGCGCATAGCGGCCACATTGGCCCACCCTCGGGCCCGGGCAGCATCCGAGCATAGGCAGATGGACACGGGGCAGTAAACCCTACCGACTGCCTTGGCACTTGCAACTCGTGCAGCCGGTTGAGCAGCAGCCGCAGGCCCGGGGGCGGAGCCCGCGCGAGGAGGAGAGCGCTCACGAGGAGGCCGTTCTCCGCCAACAGGCGTGCCCGGTTCAGGTCCCGGATTGCTTGCTTCCCCCACCCTCTTCCCACGATATGGCCAGCCAGACCAGCGCCGCATGCGTCTCCGAAACCAAGCCCCACGTCTACCTTTCCAGATGACAGTGCGGGCAGGGGCCTTCAGGCCCAGCAGCGGGTCCCAGGTAACCCACGCAGCTGGCTGTTGGGCATTCAACATGGCGGTGAAGGCTCGACGCTCTTGGCGGCCCAAACTTGCCGGCAGCCCGTCCAGCTCACCTTCCTCTTCACAGTGACAGACTCCAACTCCACAGGCCGAAAGCTGCGCCGCCAGCATGGTCACCCACCACCCTGCGCGACTCATGCCCGGCGAAGGCGCCATGGCCCGGCGCGACGTGCCTTGGTCGAAACTAACGGCGCCCCCTAGCTGCGCACAGCGGCGCCCAAGGGCGGCACCAGGCCCCCCCAGCTGTGCCCCTAGGCACCCAGGAGCAGGCCTACTTCTTGCCCAGCCCTGGTTTAGCGAAGCGCTTGAGCCAGCTCGGAACCCCAACCCGTAAAACCCTGCTGAGATTCTATTTGTAGAAATCCTGCTGATTCTGATAAGGACTTAGCTGCCATGCTTCATGAAGTTCTACTGTGGTATGGGGGTTATCAGAGGTTCGGTTGTTCACCGGTTCTTAGGGGGGAAACCGGGGATTAAGCCCGGGGCACCCGGCGTGCCGGTCTTCAGTTGATGGCCCTGCCAGGATGGACGTGGCAAGGCATGTCATTCAGCAGTTGCGACCGGCTTGCATTGACATCATGCCACAGACCATGCATATACATGAAAACGGCAACAGATGATGACCGACTTCTGCGGACTGCATGCATCAGTGCGTGAACGGACTGGGCGATGAGTGGATCCAGGCGAAAAACAGGCTACAAGGGCCCACCAATCCATGCGTCCGCTGTCGACGAAGTGCAAGATTTGGCACAGCTGCTTAGCTCACAACAAACTCCTGTGTGAATGCTGAGCTTTCTTTACCTGGCTGCAGCACGTTGTGTGGCCTGTGAGCTTTCGCTGAGCACTATGAGACTACAAAGATCTGCCTGTATTGGGTCTTATGGTAGTGGCTAGAAAAGGTTGGAGCTCGCTCTCTTCTTCGTTGTCATGAAGAAGCCGTACGAGGAGCTACGGCTCAGCATTAGGTACTGTTGATTGACAAGCAGCTTTGTTGTTGCAAGGCTTTCAGTATTGGGGTCGACGACATGATTGCCCCCCGAAGCCCTACACCCTAAACCCTTTTTGTTGGGGGGAGCGGGGCAATCTGGCAGAGAGTGAGGACTTGTTCCTGACGGGTGACACGTCCCAGACGGTCTCCCGTGCCGTCGAGTTCCGCTTCTGCGACCTCCGGTCGGTCTTCCATGATTTCAACCCTGGGGTGGCGTGGTCTGACCATGTCTGTTTCGGGGGCAACTTTGAAATCTTCGACAAGGCGCCCAGAAGGATTAAAGTAAAGGTGAGAGAGTGGTACAGGTTTCATGTTTGCAGCGTGTGTGGTGTTTTCAATGAGATGCTGTATGAGACAGAGATGAAGCAAGTCAGTCAGGGTATGTTTTGGCGGCTGAGGTCAAAGTGCCCGAACTCGATCAGCTGCTCATCAACTACCGCAGCCACCAGAAGCCGCCGGGCTGTTAAATTAGGCGCTCAGGAGGCCGGCGATTTGCGGTGTCGACTTCGGTCCCTCGGCATTGTACCCTCTGAATCCGAGTGCATAGGATTTGCAACTCTTTGCGGTCAGGAAGTCGAGGAGTCTGCGGTTAGCTGTTCATCAGACAGAGATAGAGACCCCTTCGGCGCCCGAACCGCAGCCCGTTTTCCTTTGTTATCGCCCGGTTTTGGGAACATGAACTTCTCGGAGTCGAGACGGCGCTTTTCGAGACCCTCAGGCCTCAGGTAACATCCCGAGATGTCCCGAGCTGCCCACATGTGCCACCACAAGCTGCCACCCAAGTGCTTACAGGACCCTAAGACCCTAAGACCCTAAGACCCTACGACCCTACGACCCTAAGACCCTAAGACCCTAAGACCCTAAGACCCTAAGACCCTAAGACCCTAAGACCCTAAGACCCTAAGACCCTAAGACCCTAAGACCCTAAGACCCTAAGACCCTAAGACCCTGAGACCCTAAACCTAAAACCGGAAAGCCCACGAGGATCCTGGCCCTGTCACACCGGGGTGTGGTGCAGCCCCTGGAAATGGCCTTCCCGCTCTTTGCCAAGAAGGGGCTGCGAAGCACTTTTCAGTCATTTTCAGTATGCTGCAACACAAGGTGGCGTTTTTGTTTTAGGACTGTTGCGAGCGGGCTGCGGGGCGCTTTCCCCGTTTCGAGGCTTGAGTAGTTTCCATTGTTTGGGATGTGAAGTTTCGCGTTCACGCTGTAAGGCCCAGCAATGAGGTTTTGGCTGGATTGTTGGAGATGCGGTTGAGGTAAGGTTGAAAGGTCACTGGATTTGGGGGGCGACAACTCTAAGTGTTGGCATTTCGGGCCGATTGGGCTTCCTGTTAAAGGGTGTAGGTACCTAGAAAACCTTAGGGAAGCTTAGGGAGCCTTTAGGAGTAGTGGGGAGGATTAGGGAGCCTTGGGCTGCCCGGCCTGAACCTCCCTCCCTTCAGAACCCTAGAATCTGACTTCAGGTGTTGGGTTTACAGTCAGCTCGAGTTTCCACCATTTCGGTGATGCTCCGCCCTCTGAAAGAGCAAGTTGTACCTGCAGTCGTGCATCACAGCCTGACCCCGAAGGCAGCTTTCTGTCCGACCCAGTCATAAACACTTCCGCCATGTAGCGTCGCATCGCATCATGTTGCTTCCATGAGAAACGTTCACAGCAAGGTACGCCATCGACAAGCTGGCAGCAGATAGGGGCCATCGGGCTGCTCTGCTGTCTTGGGGGGGGGGGACATAATGCAGCTTAAGGGTTGCCAGGAACTCCAATTGTGGTCAATGAGAGTGGCGAAAGTGTTGCGAGAGCAGCTGCCTCTAAGGACGTGTGCATGTTGAAGTTAGTTGGTTTCTCATGATGCACCCTGAGAAGCAAGCTGACATCTCCTCCGGGCTCGTGACCTCCCCGTTTGCCATGTGCATCGCACCCAAGGATGGTGTGCGCCCTATCATCGTTACGGATGTGCCGCTGGAAGAATCTCGCAGTAATCGGAGAGGCGTTTTTGCTTTGCGTTCGAGACTTCCGTGATCTTATCTTGTTGAAAAGAAGGGATCGATTCTGCCCAGGATCTGGCCCAGCACATGTTCAACCTCGCCGGCTGCCACCCGGCAAAGAGTCGCCATGAGAAAATTGTCGCAAAACAGCGAAACGTGGGGAAGTTTTCGAGGGTTCTTCGCAGAACTTTTGGCCACGGCAAGCTAGGGGCTAGGGAGTTGAAGGATCTCATGCAGTGCAAGAAGGACATCAAGAGATTGGACTTAGTACTCTCTTCTTGAGCACTAAGGCAGCGCTGGTATCGCCTTCGGAGCAAGCCAGTGCATTCTGGCCATCGCCTTAGAGCTCCCGATGCTCCATTCCTGAGTGATGCGTATGTCTGAGAAACCTCGCACGGCAGCGGACCGATTCAGCTCTGGCAAAACATCAGAAAGTGTTTTTGCAGTGAAGGTTCGCAACGAAGAATCGCGAGACCTGGCCTGACCTTTATTAAACAGAGACAACGTGGCAGGATGAAGGGACAGAAGGAAGCGAAACCCAAAATAGAACAGGAGTGCTTCAGAAGCCGATCGTCTGGGGTAGAGTTGCAGTCTGAGCAACTCAAGGAAAGAAGCTGCCAAAGTCGCTGTCGAACGCGCTCGTGCTGACCGTGGAGCAGTCAAAGGGTCTGGAGTTCGACGTTCCTTGGACCTGACAACGTCCGTTGTGAGGAATCTGTCTGACTTCGGCAATGGTTTCGCACTTCCCTGGAACCCTAAACCCTAAACAAGGATTACTTAGGCACCAAACAAACCCTGAACCCTCTCCTAAACCCTGTCTTGTGAACCCATTTTCGAAAATCAAGAGACCCCTGATATAGATACTAAGGACCCTAACAAGGTATCCCTAAATTTCGGAAACCACCGAGTGAGAGTGAGAACGTGTCGCAGATGCATCCGTGCCCAGGACTGCATTCTGGTAAACTTCTTCACCGACTCTCTGTACAAAGAGCAGCTTGGACAGGAGGAATCGATTGAGGACTCTTCTTTGGGGCCAACTCAAGGACTCTTGAAGCTCGCAGGAGTCACAGTTGACATGGCAGTTGCAATAGCCTGGAAACTGCAGAGTGTCAGGTGGCGTACTATGGAGGTGTTTCGCGCCGAGCTGCTGGAGGAGTGGCAGAAGAGTGTAGGCAACTTCCGCCTTTGCAGACAGGGCGTTCTTTCCAAAGTTTTGACTGCTGTGAAGCTCAATCCTCCCAAGTGGCCCTCTTCACTTTGAAGGAGGATTCTGGGCAACACAAGCGGCCTCAGTTCGAGCGTATTCGGCATGCGCTTCTGTGCCCCTCGCCGTTGAACCCGACAATTTGAGGGCTTCTAGTGTTACTTGAGACGTCCGGCAGGCAAGCATGCTTGACCATCAGATCATGCCATAAGCCATGCAAATCCTTTTAAAAACCTGTCATGCGAGCAATATGTTTGCAACTAGCGGGGTTGGCGGCAGAAATAGAATCCAAACGAAAGAAGCAAAGAAAGCAAGAAACAAGTAGTTACAGGAAGAAAGATGCACAAATAAATGCATGCATAACCAACGAAACCTACTTGAAGCCTTGCAAGCTTGCTTTGAGAAGAAGAAGAAGAACATGAATGTTTATCCTTGTCCAAGCCTGTCATGCGAGCATTTTGCTTGCAAATATGCCCTAAACCTTAAACCCTAAACCTTAAGGCCCTAAACCGTTGTTTCATGAAGAAGATCATGCCAGAAGAAGAGGACTTACGTTAAGACACTATGCGAGGCGTTTCCAAGCCTGTCACGCGAGCATTGCGTTTGCAAACGGGACGAGGGGGCTGCAGAAAGAAAGAACGAAAGGAGAAAGGAGCGAAAGCAGAAACAGATAACTATTGAAAGACGCAGAAAGAAGAAAGGACAACATGCAGAAATAAGCAGTGAGACACATATAGTTGCAGACAGGCAGAGCAGTGTTCGAGCAAAGTTAAAAAGCTGCCAGCCGTGCATAGATTCTTCACCAGCAGTTCTAGCAGTCTAGCATGCTCGCGTGAACATATGGGGGTGGGGACCCCTAACATAGTCCCCATATAGTAGGATTCCCTCATAACAAGGACCCCGATAAGGTACCCCTAATTTGACACCCCCATATAGCAAGTACGCCGGTTCAGTCCGAGACCTTCATGGGGAGGTTTCAATCGTCGGCCTTGCACAGAGGGCTTAGTAACCTTTGTGAAGTTTAGGGTGATGTGCACTTCTTCGCATTTTTTCATGAGTGTGCCGGGGCCCTTTTTTGAGCTGCTGTTACACATACCTGAGGTTCGGAGCTCAAGCACCTCTACACAGCCATCACGCGCACAAAGCACGTGCTTCTCAGCCTGCAGTGCCAGGTCAAAGCTTCGCCTGATTCACAGTTTTGGCCCCATCAGCTTCCCCAAGAAGTCCAGAGCTGTCCGCCTTGAGCTGTATAAAGTCAAACTTACACCTTTTTGTGCCAGAAGGCGGCTCTTCGGAGCTCGGACAGAGGGCTTAAGGCGAATCGAATCAAAGCACCATGAGACCGGAGTGGAAAGACCACTCACAGCAGGCTTGAAGCCGAAACCCCACTCCCAACCATGGTCAGGCTGCTCTTCATTGAGCAGGACTCGACACAGGCGCCCGCAGCTGTCAGAGCATCAGGTTGGAGGTTCAGGAACCGGGAGGGTTGTCTCGGGATGCAGTTCCGTTACTTCGGTCGTGCAAGCTAGAAGCATCAGGTCATGAAGAATTCGAGCGCGTGTACGAAGCACACATAGACCCAACTCCGAACATTGAGCGCTACGTGTCTCCTCACCTAGGCAGATGCGACAGGGGATCGCAATCTCAGCCAGAACCTCGCCGGTTTCCCACCTTTCAGTCCTTAGACGAGGCGGACCACGTCTTCAATCTCTGGCGCGATCTCGACCTTGTCAGCAAGAAGGGCCTGCTCGATCCGGAGAATGCGGAGGATGGTGGGGGGGGGGGGGGGGGGGGGGGGGCAGGAAAACTGTAAACAAGTCTGTGAACTTTGCTGGCAGTCTAAGCTAGGCTCACGTGCGTTGAAGGGAGTATGCCGAGTATGCCGGGAATTTGGTTTAGAAACACGTTGAGACAGTCTTCGTGCACTTAGTCCAGTGCAAGCTCCGTGTTCTGATGAGGCTCGTGCCCAGATCTACCAGCACGCTGGTGAGAATCGTGGCAAGGACGCGTGCATTGATGACGGAGATGTGGCGCTGTGATGGTTAAATCTGTTGGTCAGAAGTATCCCTCAGGGGCTCATCCCTAAACCCAAACCCTAGAGAATCACGAGGATTCCTGGGTCCAGATGGGGCACAGCCTCCTGCGACGGCACCTCGGCCTCGCTTAATTTGTCTCACGCCAATAGCTTCCGCAGGACTGTCCGTGTGTGTGTCTCTCGGATTGGAGTGCTCTGGCGTGCTGAGCCTGATGTCCTGACATCTGTTCGATCCCACCCGCGCCGGAAGTAGCACATTACAGTTTGTGTGCCAGCACTGAGGAAGCTGTACGAGCAGGCCAGGAGTGCTTTCTTGCGTGGAGAAGACGAAGACATGGCCCACAGCTGAGCATCGATGGGTCTGTGTTTCGGGATACCCTGCGCAGATCAGCAGAATATAGAACCAAAATCATGACCCCGCAGTATGCGCTGTATGCACCCCCCCTCATCAGAAGTATGAACATGTAGCATGTCATAAGCAGAACTCCAGAGTGCCGTCCCCATCATGGGCCATAGAGTGTTGATTCGTCCGAGTTCTGCTAAGGCCAAGAGGTGTGAGGCATTCCTGAAAGCCGTGGAAGCTGCAAGGAGCGACGCTTTCTGGGTTGCTTAGGTCGGCAGGGTTTTCAGGATGGCTCATGGGCTGAGGGCAGGTTAGAGCACGTTCTACACATGACAGCGCCATAGGACATCGAGCCCGCAACCTGACAGCTCGAATCTCAGCAGGACGATGGAGGACTTCGAAGCGGACGGCCTCCCGTCAAGAATAGCTTCTCGTATCCTTGAAGGTAGGGAACGTGGAATAGAAAGATCAACCTGAAGATTGTGGATGAGTTATGACAGCAATTAGAGAAGTCAACCTTGGTCGGGGGTTGCCTGGGTTGAGTTGTTCAGGCATGCGGCTTTTCCGTGAAGCTGCGCAGCTGTTCGAAGAGACGGGCGCCGGACAAGAGCAGGCGTGCCTGAATAGTTCGGAATGCCGTTGCAGAGATGACTAGTACGGCATCGGGATTGCTGGGGAGGGCAGGGGGGAGGATGCTGTGGAAGAAAGCAAGTAAGTGTCGCGGCGTTTTGTGTCAGAAATTCTTGTCAGTCACGAGCACGACATTCTGGATCCACAAGCCTTGCGATTCTGAAAGTTTTTTCCCAAAGCACCTCTTTCAGCTACACAGCTGCTGTAGTGTAGGAATTGTCCTCTACAGTGGCCGACAGCGCAGTTTCAGGCCGAATGCTTGCTTCATGGCGGCCATCCCGAAAAGGCCCTTGAGGGGGCTTCTCGAGGCATTTGAAGCTCGGAAGTTTGGATGTGGGATGCCTCGTGCGCTGCAACTGTGCTTCACGTGGGCGGGTGCATACATGGGGCGTCGCCAATCTTGCGCCTTGTTCTTCCGAAGCCCTAAACTTCGTCGTACACCCCTGCCTCCCGCTGAAGGCGGCGCAGATTTTGGAAGACTTAAGCCGAGAGCAACCTGAACTCAAGGTGCGATGGCCTTTGCCGAAGGGTCATGACATGTGATGAGCCAGCTGCCGCATGTACGAGAGTGCAGAGACCGGACGAGCTACAGGCTTCGAGTGAGTCTTGCGTTCCCCTTGTCCCCCCCACTCTCAGAGGCAGTTTTTTGGGTTCTGGGAGTTTGTTGCTGGAAGATGCCTGAAGCAAACTGGATGCCACTCCCTACGCCCTAAACCCCAGAACCCCAGAACCTCTAGAACCCTGGTAGAACCCTAACCTCTAGAACCCCCAGAACCCCTAGAGCCCCCAGAACCCTAGAACCCCAGAACCCTAGAACCCTAGAACCCTAGAACCCTAGAACCCCTGGAACCCCTAGAACCCCTAGAACCCCTAGAACCCCCAGAACCCCTAGAACCCCTAGAACCCCAACCCTAGAATCCCTAGAACCCTAGAACCCTAGAACTCCTGGAAGCTTAGATCTTTAGAACCCTGGAACATTCCCTAGAACCCTCCCTAGAACCCTAGAACCCTAAACCCGAAAACCCTCCCTAGAACCCTATTAGAATCCTGGAACCCTAACAATTCAGAACCCTAAGAACCCTTTGAAACCCCGGAAGGTCGAAGCTGCCCGGGCCTGGACGGTGGCCCGAAAGCACGTGCCTTGCCAGCCACGAGCTTCCATCCCTGGATCTCTCCCCCAATCCTGGTCTTGAGGGTTTTTAGGGGGCTTTCAGGGATTCTAGGGTTTTTAGGGCTTTCAGGGTTCTGAGGGGTTTTTAGGGTTCTGGGGGATTTTTAAGGTAAATAATTAGTCTGTTTAGAGTTTTTAGGGTCAGGGCTGAAGGCCCCTGTCACGGGACCTACTGTAGGAGCTCGCCGCGCCAATCTACGAGGAGGCCGAGCAGTTTCATGACTGCATCGAGGCTTACCTAAAGGCGGAGCCCTGGAAGCAAGAAGAGCTCCGTTTTAGGGTTCAGGGTTCAGGGTTTAGGGTTTAGGGCATGAACTCGGGCACCCTTATTTCATTTCGCGCCGCAGGGCACAAGCGTCCCTTGAACCATCACAGCGAGGAGCATGTTGTTTTCTTGGTCGGGTACCGCAAGAGTTTGCTCTTGACCGTCTCGGACCCGTAAGATTCGGAGCCACGAACTCAGTACTTCGAAAGCTGTTTGCCCATTACCACATCTGAGGACCTCCGGGAGGAGGTCACCAGGGTCGTGCCACGCGCGCATCAGGTGGGCGCACTGAAGGCAGGGAGAGGGTGTTGGTGGTTTCGAGGGTAGGTCTGGGTAGGGATAATATTAGGGTCTCCACGGCAAGTCGGTAGTTGTCTTGCTGCGGGGCCCTTTTTTTGGGTCCTTATTCCAAGGGTGCCGTACTATATACAGGACCCACAAAAAGGGACCCTATTCTTTGTGAACTACCATGTAGCATTGTGTTTGCCAACTCGGTGGCAAGGCTGAAGAGTGCTTCCGCTATCTGCAAGCACCTTGGGCAGCAAACGGCTGGGATCGAGAGCAGGGTCAGTGCTAGTCTCTTGCTCATAGAATCGGTGCATGGGTCTCATGACAGTGCAAGCTGCGCAATTCTGGCTTGTGGGATCATGGTTGCGCAAAGTCCGCGAAGATTAGGAGACGAGGCAACTTAATAGGCCTGCAAAAAATAATTAACTTTGTCGTATATTATGTATCATAGACGGGGGCATGCCGGACTTTGTCTGTATCACCTGCGAAACCGTTGATACGCAGAAGAATGCAGCCGGCTAGATATTTCCTACATGAACTCTGGATTTGCTTCCACCGATGCGTTGATGGGCCTGGTCTGAGGAGACCGATGATCAGGAAACAGCTGGATTGCTGTTCTTCCATGAGCAGGAATACGAGCAGGCTGCTTCCTGTTACCGGTAGCTTGGCAGCAAACAGCCTTGGCCTGGTGGGTATCAAGAGGTCAAGCTTGAGCGCAGAGACCTGTCCGGTCAGGAGCGCAGGCAACCTGCACTCGGAGGCGGGACAGCTTGGGTTCAGGGTTTGACGTTTCCTCAGGTGATATCATCGCGTGGTCGGGAGGCTTAGTCGTTGTTCCCATATGCCTGAAATTGTCTTTTGGTTGAGCTTGCTGGCCATTGAGGCAGGATCTGGCTCATGGGAAAACGCCCTGCAGTCCTATTAGGTGTTAGGTCGGCCTCCCCATAATGTCACCCCAAACCTCAGACATCGGAGTCAGAGCGTAAGATTCGCAACCAAGTACCCAAGCTTTGGCTGTACGTTGCGCAGGCGCAGTGCTACCTGGAGCTTGGGGAGCCTCTGCGCGCGGCCGAGCGCCTCATCGTCAGCGAACACGCGGAGAGAGGGCAGTCAAAACTGAGGGCACAGAGTCGGGTGAAGAATGGAGTATCCGGTTTCTGGGTAGTGTCTGTCTCTGCATTGCAGTTTGTACATGTTGTGGCATCATGGATGCTTAACCCCCTATAAATCCCCCTAAGCCCTATAAACTTCAACAAACACTGTAAACCCTGGTAAACCCCTGTAACCCCCGAAGCCCTCAAACCCTAAGCCCCGAATCCCCAAACCCCTAAGCCCTAAGCCCCAAACCCCTGAGGCCCTGAACCCCTAAACCCGACCCCCGAAAACCCTAAACCCGCATGCCAAATCGCTCCATGAAGTTCCCCCCACCCCCCCCATAGCTCACGCAGGAGCATTTGCTTCAGGCCGCGGACCTTTACAAAGCCCACAAGGCATTCCGGGTTAGGGTTTAGGGTTTGTGGTTTGGGGTTTCGGGATTAGGGTTTGAGGTTTAGGGTTTAGGGTTTAGGGTTTAGGCTTTAGGCTTCAAAGTTTAAAGCCGCTCTGCTCTGAGAAAGAAGTCTGAGCGGATGCTGTGTCAAAGATGTGATTGCTGCACCGTGCCTGGGTCTAGCAAAGGTTCTTTCTTGCACCAGGTTTTTGCTTGTCGCAAGCAGTCTGCAGGACGTCGTGCAAGAGGCAAAGTGCTACCGGGCTCTGTTGGAGAGACCTTGCTGCAAGAGGTTCGAGTTTGGACACTTCGTAACTTCAAGAGAGATGAGAAAGAGATGATCCCGTTGGCCAGGATCGGCTGAGTTTCGGTTGAGACCAGACATTCAGGCTTTGGATATGGGTCGCTGGCTAGGGTGTTCTTCTCACCCTTGAGTCCTAGCAGTCCTAGCAGCTCGAGCGAGAAGTGGACAAAAGGATTGAAGATCTACCGGACCGAAGATCATTGCTGGAAAGCTGCATTGAGCTGCACGAAAGGTTGCCTGGCATACCAGCAGTTTGCCGCCTTTGCAACGGCACCCACGCAACGTCCATCAGTCCTAGAGGTTGAATGGGGGTTTGGGGGAAGGATTTTGCTGGGGCACGAAACAGGAGGTGTTGCATCGCTGTTCTGGCCCTATTTCTTGAGGTTGCAGGAATGGGGCAAGGTGGCGGAGTACCTTGAGAAGCTTCATGACCACCTGGACAAGCTTCACATCGATCCACAAGGTATCTTAGAAGAGGCCGCAGAATGTTACGAGAAGGCCTGCTGACTGTGCCCATGGTCCAGAGTCTAGTGGTTCGCCTGCGCTGGTGACCGAGTCTGCAGACTTGCCAGGCGAGGCTTTACAACGAGGCTGCATGTGCCTATGAGAAGCTTTCTGGGCTATCCTATGCCTCTGCAATTCGTCATCGCCACCTCAGGAAGGCTCCGAATGCACAAAATTGCATCCTGATGGCCTGCAACCCTGAACTCCGGAACTTGCAGGTCGCCAGGTGCAGTTGCGCCCCTTTTGCTTGTGAGGCAGCAGCTCTGTACTCAGAGGCGCGAGCCTTGCGTGACAAGCTGCGCGTGCTGAAGCTGCTTGACGACTACGAGGCGGGCTCAGGCTGCAAACGCAGAACAGGGTTCAACAAATGTGTTACGCAGATACCTGTGTCCCAAAAATGTTTGGAGAGTTTTGCCTTGTCTCTGGACCTCTCTGAACATAAGACAGAAGACACAAACGCGGGAGCCGCGAGGAGATGTTTTTTCCAGCTTTACGCCAGAATTGAACCACAATTCCCGCGCAGAAGATGCGTGGCGCCGACATTTCACTCAACGATTAACTTGCAAAATATGCGGGGTTTGCATATCTTCTCATGTCTCCTGGGAGCCTGGTGTGTCCTTGCTTTGCAGCTTTGGATTCAGCTGTTTTGGGTTTAACGTGGGCGATGCAATGCCTCCCTGACCCGCTGCTAACATCCATAGCATCTCTCGGGCCCCCGATTCCAAATTTCTTAAGCCGGATCAGGTGTGTTCAGGGTTTAGGGTTTAGTGTTTCAGGTCACCAAACATGATGCCCCACCGACTTGGCTGGCCAGCCAGGAAGAGCGAGAAACCAGGCGCATTAAACAAGACATAGAATCCAAGTGCGCGAGCGCCAACAGATCAACCCCGGATGCCCGAAGGCCGTGCCCCAGGCCAACTGAGTGTTGTTGGATTTCAGGGTTTAGGGTTTATAGGGTTTAGGGTTTCGGGTTTAGGACTTGAAACTGGTGTTAGTCATGAGTTGAGTCTGCGCACAGCCCGCTGAACAGGCCTGCGGCCAGCTGGCCCAACGGCTCGGCATGTTTCAGGCCCGCTGCCTCCATTGCCCGGAGTTCGGTAACGATGCCCTTCGGTTCTCCAGCCTCAAGATGAGGGCCTACCATGTGCAGCATGAGTGGTTGCCTTGATAGTTCCTTGCGAGGCGTCCTTAAGGCCCTGGGCCTTGGGGCTTACATGGAGGTTTCCGAAATGAGGGGTACCTTATTCAATTCCTTTTGATAAGGGGGTCCTGCTTTTCGGGGATCGATTCTAGGGGTGCTGCGTCCAGGAAGCTGCTGAGTTCTTCAAGCAAGCCCCTTTGCCTGCAAAGCCTCGTGAAGTCTAGACCCTAAACCCCAAACCCTAAACCCGAAACCCGACACTCTAAACCCTAAACCCTAACCCGGGATCTTGTGTTGGCATCTCCTGTGCTTGCGATTGCGGGGGAATTATAAGGCATGACTGACAGATGCATCAGCATTGGTAGAGAAGCCCCTGTTGTGGTCCAACAGCAAGTTCAAAAAGGTCCCAAGCAGGAGGGAGTGCCTGGCCGAATCGAGGTTGGGACGGAGGCCGCGTTGGAAGAGGCGGTGCAGTGCCTGATCTCGGCCAAGGACGGATGACAGCAACTGCCTGACTATGATAAGCAACATTCTGATCGAGGCTTTCTGTCCCTGAGTTCAAGAATTGCTAGGAAACCTGAAGACGCACACGAGCTCCGACAACAGACCCTGTTGCCTGATCGGGTGGCCCACAGGATTTCACTCAGGCCTATGACTTGTTCGGGCACCTTGCGGAGAAGACGCGGAACAAGCCTCTGGACAGAAGTTAGATCACCCAAGCCCACCACCCAAGACCGAAACTCTTTCATTCTAAGCCAGGGTAGACGGATCGTCAGCAAAAGGTCTAAAATCTGCGCCCGTGAGGTCTGGAGCTGTAGGAAGCTTCGCACTGTGACGAATCCTGAGGCCAGAAGGCGTTGAGATGGAAATCAAGCTGCTGGAAGGACTGAGTCTTCTCAGAGAGATTACCCCGGCTGGGCAGCCTTCGGGTGACTAGAATCTGCTGATCCGTTGACGATCCTCAATGCAGCAGGACTTGGCAAGTTTGATGCCGCTGCGCGTCGCATCATGGCCAACCTGCCGCAAGGCACGCTGCTGTCGTGCTCCAGCCAGGGTGAGACGGAATGTCTTCTGTAAGCGGTTCGAGATCTTAACGTGCAGTCGCTTCATTGTTGTCCTTGGCGCTTCTGCCGTGTCCCCAGCGGACCTCACGGCACAGGACGCCAGCGTGCCGAGATGGCATTGCGGGGCTTTCGGCTGGCCCGGAAGGATGCTCAGAGACCTGGCGAACCAACGTGGCCTTCTTGTTGGTTTGGATGTTAGGATGTGGCTGTTTGTGCAGGTACGCTTGAGCACGCAATTCCCGGATTTCTGTCAATCATATAGATAACCCATCCACGCAGCCAGACTGCCACAGACCGAACAAACGGTTAGCATTTCCTGTATGCTACTATTCGTACAGAGACCATGGAAGCTGCAAGTAGTGACGACCTCGAAGCACGCTACTTCCGGGCTTCAAACATTAATTCAAGCAAGCAGACCTAGCTGATGACCAGAGTCGAAAGTGTTTTGGTGATGCATGACAGCTTGCAGACATGTTCGGTCTGTGTTGAAAATGTGGCATGCTATGTCTACTTTGATGCGAGGCATATCTAGCTTAGGGGTCTACACTCTTGCGGCTGCACTGGCCTCTCGAACTCAGGCAAACCAAAGCGTTCTTGGACGACTTCGGTCAGGAGATGCCAGATGACGAAACTGCAGCTCCACCGCAATTTCAGCTGACACCTCAAGCTCTGTACACCCAGAGAATACCAGGTGGCCAAGATTCATGTTTTGAACCCGCAACAAAAAGAAGAGGCAGCGTTCCTGTGATGGCATGCATGCAATCCAAAGGCAATCAAATCTCATTCAGGAGCTTTGAGGTTGCGATTAAATTAAGTCGTCCCCTCCAAGAAAAGCAAAGGCACTGATCTTTTGGGCCGAGCTGGGCGATGACGCTGCCCAGATCTGCGATTTGCTGGTCAAGTGCGGGACCGTTTCTGGTTGCCGATTGTAGGACTTTTCCTGTTCGCTTTTGTTCCTATAGGCAGGACAAGGGGGACCCTTAAAAGGGAACCCTTCCTAGCCCTCTTCTGGCTCTCTTGGACAGGGACCTTATTCAGACAGTCAAACTCTCCAAGGGTCCCCCTAATCCCAGCGCATGCGGCCTACAAACCCGAAACCTCCCCCCCAAAAAAGAGAAGGCGCGTCGCGTCGTTCCCACAGCTGACTGCGATGTAGGGTTTGGGGTTTGGGGTTTAGGGGTTAGGGTCTTGCGCAGTTTGGGGCTTATGGTTTCGGGTCTCAGGTTTCGGGTTAAGAGGAAGCCTCTGGCCGCAGCGGCGGCAGCATCGGAACTCGGGGATCCGGCGAAGGCTCTGGAGTTGCTTCGGCAATGCAGCTCGGGCGATTGAGGGTTGAGGGCTGAGGTTTATGGTTGAGGGTAGCGTTTCGGGTTGAGGTTTTAGGGTTTGGGCTCAGGGTTCTCCACTTCGTATTTCCCGCAGCTCTTCGGAAGTTTTACTGTGAGGGGTCTCTAGAGGGCTTTGTCGGGCAGTGCCTCTTCTCTTCTCAAGTGCATCTGAAGCAGAGGTTTCTGCATTGAGGGTGCAGGGGCGCAGGGGCTGCGGCGCTACCTTCGAACAAGCATGTGGGTGGCATGCAAGTGTGGATGTAAGAGTCCTTGTTATGTTTCCTCAAGCCAAGGCCCAATTGCGCCGAAGGAGATGGCAGGGCGAGAGATGCATGGGGTTGTTACGCTCGTTCTGCTCAGCTAGCATCGCCAAGGCATTCCCAAATCTTGTGTGAGAGCCAAGTTCAGAGTTGCCAAAGGCAGCGCTTTTGTCAGGCATGGGGGGGCGTACATGTGACCTGGAGGACTGGCACACGTTCACGCTGGACATCCTCATGACAGCTGTCCAACAGCAGCTGAGCACCTTGCTGGCCGACTCATGGGGCTGTGACACTTGAATATGCGGGAGCCTGGATATGTACCACTGTGATCCCCGTTGCAATCCTTTAGTGATACTAGAAACGACCAACACGCTCAAGACTCCGGTCAAGGTTGCCCAAATGCACATGAAAAGCAAGTAGGCCCAGATATGACGACAAAAAGGAATGTCAAGGATTGACCTGCACTCAGTCGACCAGGGCAAGGCAAATTGCTGTGGGCATCCATGTTTTTCCATTCCTTGCAGTGTTTTCCGGAACTTCGCGACGTTCGTGGAACAGTCGTTTTATTGGTTGTCTTTCTCGGCTTCAGCACAGATAGAGGGTCCTGCGATCGAACGTGAGGGAGTGGAGGCGTAGCCCAGGCAAGGAGACCTTGCCCAAGCTCAAGAAGGCTAGCGATGAGCTCCGGTGTGCCCTGGAGATGATGGAAGAAGGTGCCACATCGTTCAGGGTCCAATTTCCAGGAGCTATCTTAAGTCTGACGAGGAGGTACGGATGTTAGGTTGTCACCTTCTCAAGCTGATGCCTGTGAGCATGCAGCCTTGGCTGGAGTGAACAATAGAACCAGCATCATCATCAATCATTTGCAGTTTGCCCAAGAAACCTTGAATGCTTCGTCTAGCACCGTACCTCTAAACCCCTGCTTTCAAGTCGGGATTAGGCACCTTGTGCGTCGCACAGGTCATGTCGCATGCCCCTGCAACACCAGAGATGGAAATGCAAGTTAGGAAGAAGGGCCAGACACTTCGAGCTGGGAGCACCCAAAAGGACTGCATGCGATCCGTGCTGACAGGCCTGGTTGCTGTCGAGAAGCTTCTCCGCCTCGACTTTGTGGATGCTTGAATTTGACTGGGAACTAGGCGTTTCCGAAAATTCGGGGTGCAATCGTGGTTCCCATAATTGGAGTATTTTTGAGGTATATTCAGGGGTATTCGTCACCCAATTGTGTTCAATAACATCAAGAATCGCTACCGTGGTATACAAATCCAATAAGTTGTCGTGAACGTGATGACGGGAACAGACCAGGATGCTGCCCTACAGCGTCTGGAAGGGACTAAAGGTTCATCAGAACCTGCGCCACGTGGCCTCTCAAAGCCGAATCACGCGATCTCAAGATCGTCGGCCACAGTGTTGCGCGATCAGGGAGGCTTTTTTGTTTTATAGTGCATTATAGGGCTTAACGTTTCCGTGGATCTTTGGCTTCTTTGTAGAAGGATTCGACCGCCTCGGCTGGTTCGGCTTCCTTGCAGGTGGCAGTTTGCATTATCCTTGGTGCACATAATTGAGTACCGCTCACATCCATGAAGCCCCATGCTCCCGCCCTTTTTGGCTTAGGCTCCGTTCTTGGTGGGATGACTTCAAACGAGTTCCACCCGGTCTGCAGCTTTGTTTCTTCGAGGAGCTAGCCCTGGCCCAGAGTGCCAAGGCCTTTCGGGAGCGCGGGATGAGGGGCGAAGACCAAAAGAGAGCACGATGGCGCCCCTGGGGTTACCATTGTAAGTCCCAATGCACACGTTGTAGAATGGAACTTCGCTCGCACTGCAATTGGTTGGTTTCGAGGCTCATGATGCCGAAGAGGCTTTCGAGCAGCTCGCTTGGTACATCCAAGAGGCCAGGACCTCGGAAGTTGGCTCAGCGAGACTCCGATCATTGCCGATCATTGAGTCGCACAAATTCAGGTCTCCAGTGGAAGGGAGATCGAAGAGCTCCTGAAAGGTTGCTACCAGGAGCTGTGCAGTCTAGATGAGCTTCACAGTGTACATGCTGTGTCCCGGCCGCCTTGGCCTGGCCGGGTGTGCGCTTGAAGCGCGAACGACCGGGCACGCAAGAGTTTCGGCCCCACTTGTCGGCAACAACAACTGTAACTTTCGGGATGCTGGGTGAAGGTTCAGGATATAGTCATATCATTTGCAGTACTTCACATAGTCTTGATTTGCGAAGGGCTTGCTAGCGAGCCTCGACCGGGTCTAGATGGGGTGATGGCACCAGGAGCTTCCCGCCCGGCAGGGCGTATACGCCCCAAACCTTTCTGAGCCTTGGGCACGGAACGCAGCCTGAACGATCCTCACAGAAAGCAACAAGGGAGGTCCGAGGCCAAAACGCTGACGTGGGCCGACACGGGCTGCAGTGGCTTCGGCCCTGGGCCTGCCGAGACCCTTCGGTCCTGCTGGGAATCGCTCGAGCGCCTCACACGTCGCGGAACCTCGTAACGCCTCAATAGGTCAGTGTGTAATCTGTGAGTGGTTTGAGCTAGGTCGGCTAGGAGCCGAAGGTCGAGCCAGCAAGTTGAATGTCAGGCTGACAGCAAATTGCAGAGAGTGCTGTACGACGTGCTCAACGGCATGCGAGCCCAACGTGGGATGCGGCCGGTCAAGGAAGGCCGCCTTTTCGGTGCGACTTGGCGAAGTAACTGTGGGCCAAAACTTATGTTACCGTAGCAGAAAACTGGCTTCCATCAAATACAGCTAAATGGCAGATGCTACGGTGCTTCGACGATTGAAGAAGCAGCTTTAACCTCATGAGCTTAATCCACGCCTCGCAAAAAGTCCTAGCGAAGTCTCGACTGCATGGTCCTGCACACTTCACGGAACCTGGAAAGTTCCAAATCTGTTCGCCGAGGTCCTCGCAAAGGGCCACCGGCTTTCCCTACATGCTGACTCCGTCGTTGAGGTGGGGAGGGCCATGAAAAGGCCCTACGATCTCGAGCGTAAATTCCTGGTTTGGGCTGGTCCTTCAGGTGTTGCACTATCTTGCACTATGCAACAGTGCCAAAGGGGTATCAAGAGCCCGCCTGACCAAAGCAAATTGCCAAACTCATGGGTTGCCCTACTACCCCCCTCTATACTACTCCTTCTAGGCTCCCCCCCATAATTAAGGCTATTTAGGGATACTTGTGCTTAATTTTGGCAGGGAACCAGGGGGGAGTAGTACACAGGGGTGGTAGGGGGAACCCATACCAACTGCACTGTGAGGTCGTGCCCGGCTTCTCTGGGGCCGTGTGCCTCAAAGACAAGCGAAGCGCTCTTCTTCGTGACTTGGAGGCTGCTACACGGGCAGTCTGGGGTACTCCTTATCAGGCGGCACCCTTTAGAAGGGGACCCCCCAAAAAGGGACCCTAATTCAGAGAACTACCCTGACAAGTAGCTGAGACGTGACTCCAGAGGCAAGAAAGAGGCCTGAAGCGCACAGGATCGACGGAGCCATATAGGGGCTTTACGAAAATAGGGGACCCCTAAAGGGTTTAGGGCTTAGGGTTTAGAATATTAGGATTCCCTTGTAATAAGGACCCCAAATAAGTCCTATCGTAAACCCCCATGTAGCAGCACGTGATAGGCACCCCCCTTCACAACCCCCCCCCCTGGTTTCAAAAAATCAAGCCTTACTGAGACCGGAAAGCCTTGACACGGCCACCAACACGATCCCAACGTATAGACCTTCAAGATTATATCACATCCTGGGAGGAGCGCCAGGTGGCTGTGCTCAAGCGTTTCCAGCAGCTTTGCACCCTGTCCGCGCCGTGAGAGGGTCGCCCCGAATCCCTAAACCCGAAGCCCTAAACCGCATCATGTCCGACTATTGTTGTGCTATGTTGTGCCCCAAGGGCTGAAAGGGTTAAGACCTTCCAGTCTTCTGTTCTTTGTTTGCTGCCTGTGACTATCTCCCGAAGCTTCGCGTATTCCGGGCAACCCCAAGCGAGAGGGGTCGGCATAGTCCCGGAAAGCTTTGCATAGTGACATAGTGGTGGACCCGAACGCCGAAGCCCTAAACTTTAGGCCGTTGCGAGTCCGGGTGATCCATGAGACCATTCCACGGGCCAGGCAAAGGTGACAAGAAGAAGGCCCGCGAGGCTCCATCTCTATGGCTGCGCGCCTGGAAACAACTGGCTTCTTGGCCGAAGACACGAAGTCACTAAAAGAAGAACAATAGATAATGACAATAATCAAAAAGTAAGGTAACTATACTTCGAACTACTTCTAACCCCAATTAAGGTGCTTGTGACCCTGCTTGCTAAGTGCCCCGATCCTCCAAGTAGTGCTACCACCAATGAGATTTATAGACATGGCACGGCTCCAGAGGCAGAGTTCTCCACTCAGGATTCGCAGAGTCCACAGGCAGAGACGTTCAAGGACACATGCAGCGGGGAAATTGTTCTCATCATTCTTCTAATTTTTTTGAGCAATAAATACTGATAGTCTTCATAATCACATATGGTTGCAAGTATCATTGTAGTTGCTATTTATTATTACAACGAATTGATTTTGTTGCTCTTCTTCTTCTTGTCACCCCAACATGCCATGCCAGCCCTACTCCCTAGCCGAGCCGCATCATGGCAGGACGGCTTCATAAGGAGCCTTCGCTCCGTTGCAGCGACAGATGTGCATCTGCATAAGGATGTGTCAGGCCCTCAGCTCGCTGCCCTCAAAGGTTTTTGACAATGACTGCTTTGCAAGTTGCTCAACATTTGGGTAGGCGCAGCCCCCCGCCAAATTCTCCCAAAGACACAAGATGTCAGACGAAGAAGCGCTCTGAGCGTGTGCTGCGGTGCAACTGTTTTTTTGACCTTCTGGCCATCTGAGAGTTTTTCAGCTACCGGAAATGGCGATTCTTCAGTCGTTGCTTCGTCGTGGATTTCTTGTTGTCTGAGGCCTGAGTCCGCTTTTCGGGGCCTTGTGCTGCCGGGTAGCCTGTAGTCTATGCAGAATGGAAAGCCTGCCAAGGATCAATGAAATTCCAGATGCAGCAGCGGGCATTTGGCTACAGACATGGGCAGACGCGGAGAGTAAACTGAGGACAAGATATATATATATATATATGTGTATATATATATATATATATGCATATGTGTGTGTAATAAATAACAATACCAAACATAGTAACCTAAGCACCAGAATAGAGTATAATATAGCAACACAAAATAGCAGAACCTGGTACAATTTCTGGATCGGACAGGATGCTGATGTCCCTTGGAGTCCGGTTGTAGACTGACGCAGATAGGCGCATGACCATGATATGCCACAGGCTTTGGTATGTGCAAGTTGGGTTGCGAAAAGTAAAGGACGAGGATCACATGTGATGCGAGGGTCCATGACTGAAGCTGCCGCTCCATTGGATGGTTGCAAGGCAATTAAGTGTCTGACAGGAGCAAGCTCAAGAAGTCCACTGACTTTGACAACTTGGTACGCCCTCTTCAGGAGACTGTGCGAGATCTCGTACCTTAGCTTGCACGTGTTTAGCATGTTATCTGGGAGCGAGTCTCCAGTGCTCCCAGTGCTGTAGGCCCCTTTTCATCTGCTCACATTGATGCGTGGACTCAAAGAACGCCAACTGCAGGTGAACATCTTTCGTCATTATGTTTGGGAGAACGAGAAGGACAAGTCTAAAGTTTACAAGATCGCGGCCGACAGAGTTGCAACGTTGGTCTTCGGCGAGCTGGACTATTTGAAGCCAATCTGTCCACGCCACGTCTCCATGGGAAGATGTGAAGCGAAGCTCAAGAAAAAGTGTAACTTGTCGTACACTATAGGCCCCCTGCTGGTCGACGACTGGTCGAAAGGGGCACAGGCAACATAGACTACCACCTCAGGTGACTTGGAGCATCCCGATGTCGAGAAGACGCATCTTGCCGATGAGCTGCTGGCCCGTTCAGCAGGGCGCGGCCTGGATGCATTCAGCGAGTGATCCCATATATCTCCCCTGACATGCCAGCAGGCAAGGCAACAAGCTTCGATGGGATTGGCCTTCCATGCTGGCTTGATGTTGTCAACATCTGCCATGACAGCGTCGAGAAAGCGACTTGTCTGCTCTGGATTCCGCACGAATCCCCTCTTCCCTCACTTCTGCCGATGCCCCCCTTGAGGCCAAGGGCTGCAACAGACGATGGTGCAAATGGGTCCATCCGGACAAAGAACAGCTCGAAGCCATCCGTAAGAAGCTCAGGCTTGGCCCCATGGTCCCTCAAATTGGCACATGAAGACTGGGGTGTGTGTATATAGACTGCCCCGAATTTGTATTTTGCTTTGCAGGACCGTGAAAGGCACTTACTACTACAACCAGATCAATTGGAAGTCCGATGAAGATCTGAAGCTGGCCTCCGCCTGAGTCGTTTGTGAAAGGCTGTTGAGAGGCTTCGAGTTCAGGTTCGAGGGTTTAGGGTCTAGGGTTTGGGGTTCAGGGCCTAGGGTTATAGGGCTATAACGGGTACCCTAAGTAAGACCATGGCTGCCCGATTTTGAACCCTACCCCTACCGGCTTGACGCCGCTAATTGAGGTTCTGGACGCCCTTCTCACGATGGTCGACGAGGATGTCAAGCTTCCCAAAGGGTTCGGCTGCTGCTTCTTCCAGGACTTTCAAAGCACTGGGAGGTTCATGGTACTTTGCATTATAACTGAACTTATCACCCACTTGTAAGCCCCTTAAGTGCCCTAGTCTTGACCGATTTCTTGTCGGCGTGGATGCAGAGCATACCGACATGCTGTCGGCAGTTGCCGCTGAGTTCTGACATGATGCGGCTAGAACATGAGAGTTCGCAGCGTTTTCTCGCTGCTCGAAAGGATGAGAATGATGCCAGCCGGATGCTGAACGCGACTTGGCAGAAGTATGTCCCACCCGTCTTGGAGGGGATTGAGGGTTTAGGACTTTGTGCATCATTGAGAGACAGCGTAGGTTCGATTGGTGACTATCGTCGCCTGGACCTTCCTCAGCAAGAGTATCTTGGCTGCAGAACCTCGAGATCATCAAGGATTCGATCCCTCTAAACCCTACAAACCCTCTAAATTCACTTCCCTCCTAAACCCTCCAAATTCACAACACCCATAAACCCTCTCAAACCTCCAAACCCTCGCAACCCTCTACGCCCTCCGAACCCTCTTCCCTGCTCCCTGGAGCCTTTCGGCTGTGGCCGTGTTGGGCGCCCACAGGTGCGGAGCTTCAGAGTTGGAGATCCGGAGTTTAGGGGATAGGGTTTAGGGGATGGGGTTTGGGGTTTAGGGCCAGTTGGGGTGTTGGTTTAGGGTTCAGGGTCTAGGATTCTGATCTTCGGGCTCTCCACGAGGGATTTTCCGGAACCCTGAACCCTACTGTAACAGACCCAGAACCCTGAACCCTGAACCCTTTAGAGACCCTAAACCCCAAACCCCAAACCCCAAACCCCAAACCCCAAACCCCAAACCCCAAACCCCAAACCCCAAACCCCAAACCCCAAACCCCAAACCCACAACCCCCAAACCCCAAACCCCAAACCCCAAACCCCAAACCCCAAACCCCCAAACCCCAAACCCCAAACCCCAAACCCCAAACCCCAAACCCCAAACCCCAAACCCCAAACCCCCCCAAACCCAAACCCTACCTAAACCAAGGATCCGAGGCAGGCTGTGACCTTGGCCTTGAGGCTTCCGTGGACGAGACTTGGCTGCCGATGCCAGCGACATTCAAACCCTAAGCCAGCCTTCATCCGAACAAGGCGGTTTAGGTTCAGGGATTTAGGGGTTAAAGTTTTGGGTTCATAGGGCTTTAAGGGTTTTGTCCCGATATCGAGGCTTCTCTCGGACATGACATCGCACAACTCATTACCCTCCCGAAGGAAAGGTCCCCGCAGATAGCTTCCCATGCCCATGGCGCGGGAAGGCCTCCTAGAAGGCGTAGATCGTTGAAGAAATGTCTCATTACGTGCATGTACAGCAGATATAAGACTGCGATGCCATGATGGGCGACCCTGCGATGCCTCGCAGGTTCTGCAGCGCATGTGCCGGGCTCTCTACCGCTATCCGGATGCACAGGCCTGCACGCTAGCCAAAAAGACTTTGGCTGAGATCCGAGACGATCGCAGCTTGGCCGCAAAGTTCTGATTCATGCTCATGGGGAAGTGGCACCCTGCTGCGAAGACCACAGGCTAGTGTTGACTTGCAGTAGTGCGACAAGGACAGATCCGACGTATTTCCAACGACATCACCTGGGAAGTCGAAGGCACCTTATGGCGGGGATTGCTGCATGGGCTTGTCCTTGGTGATTCGATGGACTCCTGGGAGCCTTCACGATGCGTGTGGATCTCATGTTCAACCTGTTCATCCACAAACGGAGATACTCCAGGTCATAGTGTGACTTTCAAATTGATGTGGAGAATGGCTACGAATAACCCTGAACCCTAAACCAATGCTTCCTGAATGAATGCATGCTTGCATGCCCACCGAGAAGAAGCACAAAGCCGAAGGTGAAAGGGAAGAAGGCATTTTTAACAATGCCCAAGCTGTTCCCCATGAACTGCAGTAGCTGCAGCCTGGCCGATTGTTGTTCTCATCACATCTCACCAGAATCCCAGCTCCGATCGAGAGTACAAATAGATATGGGTTTAGGGAATAAAGTTAAGGGTTTAGGGTTTAGGGTTCAACCATGTTCTATGTGCTTCGCCTTGGAGACGAAGCACTGCCAGAGACGAGTGCAGCTGCCATGTGCCGACAAGAGCGTGGCTCCCTGCGATGTGCATGGAACTGGCTCAACAATGTCCAGCCTTCGTACTCTGGGGACTCTAGGGTTTCGAAGTTGGCATTGGGTCGGGTTTTGCGGTAGCTGGCATTGGGTCGGGTTTCGCCGTACTGGTGTTCGGTCGGGGGTTCGCCGTGGCTGGCATTAGGTCGGGCTTTGCCATAGCTGCCATACATTTTGATATAAGTTCCAAACGCAAATGGCAGGTTGCCAGGACAAAGAGAATGTTCGCTGCCTGCTGTCCACAATGCTTGGAAGCTTTGCTGCAGGTTTGCAGCCTTGAATTTGCAGCTGTCTGCAAAGTCATGTCCACTTTCTGTAGACCTCATAAATCTTCGATACTGCTCAGATGATTCTGGGCAAGTCTTTGATTCTATCTAGGCTCTCTCCGCAAGCCTCTGTAGGATCCTGTGGGGAGTTTTAGGGCTTGATGTGTCTAGACATGCAGAAGTTGCACATACCCAAGGCCGTGAGAAGGCGGCACCACAACAGGCCCAGCAAAGGCAGCATGCAGCTGGAAGCAAGTTCGCGTTCAACCCGAAAGCCCAGGAGCCGCTTGGATCAGCATCCGGATTATCCTGGCTAGACAAGCTGTTCAAAAAACAGATGTTTAGTTCACATTAATCCAAAAGTGGTCTTGAATGGCCTGAAGGTGAAAATTGCCCCAGGTTCACGAACTGGAAGCCTTTCGCTCCCTGATGCAAGCGAGGTTCGTTCCAGGGAGACTGAAGATTCTCCAGCGCGATGCCCCCAACCAATGGGCGGGTGGCAATGCGGCGACAGCTCTTTTCGGCTCGCAGCCGAGGCGCTCTCATGCCACAAGCCGTCCTTAGTCACGACCTTTGGGAGGCATTCATTGGTTCAGGTATGTTCAGGTTGTCAATGGTTGTCAGATATTTTCAGGCCCGTTCCTGCAAGCAGAAATCAGAGAAACCCAGCGTATGCTGGCTCTGCATTGTTAGCAACACTAGGGAAGCCAACCTGAGACAAAGGCAGAGCTCATAGTGTGGCTTTCCATTCCGCTCCCTTTATGCCTGGCCAACCCAAAGAGACGTCCTTAAGAGCCCTTACCCCAAAACAGCAGCCATTCTCCAGTCCGGCTTCTGAAGCTTCTGGAGCTTCCGAGCAGCTGGCGACGGAAGCGACAAGCTTGTACCCACCGCGTCGCTCAGGCTGACTGCGGGGGAAGCGGGGGGGGAGAGAGCAGATAGTGGGTCTGACAGTCGCTTCATCCATTATTGGTAGGTTGTTTGAGAAGCATGTCCTCCTTGCAGTGGCTCAGGATTGAAGACTGATTCGGTTTAGATAGCTTCCTACTTCTGACGACCTGAAGGACCGGCTGGAGCTGGAGCCCGCGTGTGGTGGCAGCCCAAGATGGCGCTGCATGGAGCTCCTGTCAAGAGCTAGGGCCAGCAGGGTGTGGGCCTTGCCTCTCCCGCAAAGTTGAAGTCCGGATCAACGAGCTGCCTTGGAGGTAAGTCGTGGCGTTGCAGGGACTCCAGTTTAGGAGACAAAGACAGATCAACATGGGGTTTGGGCCCATGGCTAGATTTAGGATGTTCAACGGACTCTCGGATTCCATTACCATCGTTCCTGACACATCGCCGCAATTTCGGACTCAGAGCGACACCTTGATGTCACATGACGTCCTTGCATCTTGCAACTGTGCACTTACTGCGACCCCACCCGCCCCCAGCAGCTTAAGCTACTGCGGTACCGCAGTTGCAGTTTGCCTGGAAGGATGTAGGTTCTCCGTGGCTTGGTTGAGTTGACAGATGCACATCCACCCCAGTTGAGCCGATGCAAGTTGCAGGGACGTCAAGCAAGCTCTGCAATCGCCACATGTTTACTTGGAGCATCCAGCCCCAAAGGCTGCAAAACGGCTCTCACAATCTCGCCGTGCTGTACAGGAAAGATCGTGCCATAGCTGCAGACCCCATTTTGCCATCTTCCGCGCGTGTGCTTGTGCAGGGGGGGGACAACAACAAGCTCAGTGTACGTGGCAGGGCTCCTAGACAGTAAGTCTCTGATTTCTTCAGGGCACGCGATTGGCGATTGTGGGGTGCAGAGGCTGGTGCACCGCAAACAGTTGGTTGCATCGGCCAGCTCAGCGCCACCAAAGTTTGCCACCCAGTTGCCACCCAAAGATTACGTCGCCGTTCGATTCTCTACGGCTATAATATGACTCGGACAAGCACTCGGACATTATGGAGGAACGTGGTCTCTAATCTATGCGGCTCACTGGGTGTGGCTTGGGTGCCAATTCGTCTAGAATGCGATAGGAGATTTGGCTTGCTGTGCTGTGGGCGTGGCAGCCAGATCTGTTTAAATCTATCTGCCTGGTGCTGAGCAATGCGTTGTTCCAGATTTGGGCATCACTATCTACTTCCCACAGGCGAGTGGTCTAAACATGTCGAGACGAACAGCAAACTCAAGCACCAGCCTGCAGATACTTTAAAGATAGATAGTAACCTTGAAAAGGGTAGCGGAATCAGAAGGGAACCAGATCAAAGGTTAGAAGCACCTCGCACCATGAGAAAAAGTGGCAGCAGGCGAGTGTCACCAGTGGAGCTCCACGTAGCTGCCCGTGGGGTCCTTATGATTTGGGGGTCTATCTTGGGGGACCCTTAGTTCGTAAACTCCCCTGTAGATCGGTAGCATGGCTTTAGAAATCCAAAGTTGCATCCGACTCTGTCGAAGCGCTCCCCGCTGCTCACCTTCGTCCACCTCGGGCACACGTCTTCTGCGTGGTTGCTCAAGCTGCCTTTATATAGGGGATATATGGTACCTAATTCCTTCATTCCCGTCTAAGAGCCAGTAGGAGAAGCTAAACGGTCTAACCTTGGTTAGTAGGTGTCACTGTATTTTGCGCTGGCTTCCCCCGTCAATCCACAAGGCCCCTCAGCTTCGCCTTCCGCCTTGCACCGCATGGCCTTGCAAGAGATTGTATCCAGAAAAAGTTCCAGGTTTGGAGCTGGAGTTGAGACTGGAAGCTTTTCGTCCAGGAGAGGAGGTATGAACAGCTGAGCGCTTTCAAGGCTTACGTGACCGTGACGGTGGTCTTTACCTCAACTACCACTTCGAGGTGGCGGGTCGCGCAGCTCCTTGATCATTCTACGGGCTGTCGTTGCCTCCGTGGAGATCTCGGAGAGCGGCCTCTGCGGAAGGGCTTCATGGCAAGCCCGGAGGGGAGCACTTTCACGTCCACCGACGAAGATTTGGGCCGGGAGGCATCGGGGCCCTGTGGGTCAATACCTCACAGCTCTGGGCCGGCATGTGCCTTGTGCTCACCGAAGACCTGTCGTCCAGCCTGCCTATGAAAGGCTCATTCCTCTGAGAATTTTGGCAGCCTGCAGTGCGCTGGCATTCATCATCGGCAAGGAAGGGTGCAGGTGCACTCCGTCTGGCCGGAGGTGCGCCCACGAGCATAGTGGTAGCTCATCAGAGTGACTGCAGTAGTTACGGTGTTGAGGTGTGGTCAGCATCAAGTGACGGTGCAAGCGCGTTCTCTTCGCAGAGGTATTCCATTCGAACATATATGTAAAGCATTTAAGAGGATACCCTACACTCACTTCTATATATGTCCGCTTTCACTGTTGCACCGCCACACTGGCGAGAGGGGTAGGACTTTCGACGCGGCTTTGCGGCTTGCTGCTGGCAGGAGCAACACACAACGCCAGCCTTCGACAGCTGTAACGGAGAACATGAAGGCAGCGTTGACGTTGAGCGTTGCGGTATGGGGTTGTGCTTTCACTACTGGATCATGCAGCATCTTCCGCTGAGTGCAGGTGCACGGTTGGCATTCGCAATCCCATGCAGCGGTCATAGCACTTCATGTCTGTCCGTGCCATACGTGGCCGTTGACCCCGGAGCCTGCGGGCTTTCGGGCTTCGGTGCACGGTTGGCATAATCCCATGCAGCGGTCATGACCATGTCAGCACTTCATGTCTGTCCGTGCCATACGTGGCCGTTGACCCCGGAGCCTGCGGGTGTTCGGGCTTCGGTGCACGGTTGGCATTCACAATCCCATGCAGCGGTCAGGACCATGTCAGCACTTCATGTCTGTCCGTGCCATACGTGGCCGTTGACCCCGGAGCCTGCGGGTGTTCGGGCTTCAGTGCACGGTTGGCATTCACAATCCCATGCAGCGGTCAGGACCATGTCAGCACTTCATGTCTGTCCGTGCCATACGTGGCCGTTGACCCCGGAGCCTGCGGGTGTTCGGGCTTCGGTGCACGGTTGGCATAATCCCATGCAGCGGTCATGACCGTGTCAGCACTTCATGTCTGTCCGTGCCATACGTGGCCGTTGACCCCGGAGCCTGCGGGTGTTCGGGCTTCGGTGCACGGTTGGCATAATCCCATGCAGCGGTCATGACCATGTCAGCACTTCATGTCTGTCCGTGCCATACGTTGGCCGTTGACCCCGGAGCCTGCGGGTGTTCGGGCTTCGGTGCACGGTTGGCATTCACAATCCCATGCAGCGTCATGACCATGCCAGCACTTCATGTCTGTCCGTGCCATACATGGCCGTTGACCCCGGAGCCTGCGGGTGTTCGGGCTTCGGTGCACGGTTGGCATAATCCCATGCAGCGGTCATGACCGTGTCAGCACTTCATGTCTGTCCGTGCCATACGTGGCCGTTGACCCCGGAGCCTGCGGGTGTTCGGGCTTCGGTGCACGGTTGGCATAATCCCATGCAGCGGTCATGACCATGTCAGCACTTCATGTCTGTCCGTGCCATACGTGGCCGTTGACCCCGGAGCCTGCGGGTGTTCGGGCTTCGGTGCACGGTTGGCATAATCCCATGCAGCGGTCATGACCATGTCAGCACTTCATGTCTGTCCGTGCCATACGTGGCCGTTGACCCCGGAGCCTGCGGGTGTTCGGGCTTCGGTGCACGGTTGGCATTCACAATCCCATGCAGCGGTCAGGACCATGCCAGCACTTCATGTCTGTCCGTGCCATACGTGGCCGTTGACCCCGGAGCCTGCGGGTGTTCGGGCTTCGGTGCACGGTTGGCATAATCCCATGCAGCGGTCGTTGCCGTGTCAGCACTTCATGTCTGTCCGTGCCATACGTGGCCGTTGACCCCGGAGCCTGCGGGTGTTCGGGCTTCGGTGCACGGTTGGCAGAATCCCATGCAGCGGTCATGACCATGTCAGCACTTCATGTCTGTCCGTGCCATACGTGGCCGTTGACCCCGGAGCCTGCGGGTGTTCGGGCTTCGGTGCACGGTTGGCATTCACAATCCCATGCAGCGGTCATGATCATGTCAGCACTTCATGTCTGTCCGTGCCATACGTGGCCGTTGACCCCGGAGCCTGCGGGTGTTCGGGCTTCGGTGCACGGTTGGCAGAATCCCATGCAGCGGTCATGACCATGTCAGCACTTCATGTCTGTCCGTGCCATACGTGGCCGTTGACCCCGGAGCCTGCGGGTGTTCGGGCTTCGGTGCACGGTTGGCATAATCCCAGCGTCAGACCATGCCAGCACTCATGTCATATGGCCAGCCTGCGGGTGTTCACGGTTGGCATAATCCCATGCAGCGGTCAGGACCATGCCAGCACTTCATGTCTGTCCGTGCCATACGTGGCCGTTGACCCCGGAGCCTGCGGGTGTTCGGGCTTCGGTGCACGGTTGGCATAATCCCATGCAGCGGTCATGACCATGCCAGCACTTCATGTCTGTCCGTGCCATACGTGGCCGTTGACCCCGGAGCCTGCGGGTGTTCGGGCTTCGGTGCACGGTTGGCATAATCCCATGCAGCGGTCATGATCATGTCAGCACTTCATGTCTGTCCGTGCCATACGTGGCCGTTGACCCCGGAGCCTGCGGGTGTTCGGGCTTCGGTGCACGGTTGGCATTCACAATCCCATGCAGCGGTCAGGACCATGTCAGCACTTCATGTCTGTCCGTGCCATACGTGGCCGTTGACCCCGGAGCCTGCGGGTGTTCGGGCTTCAGTGCACGGTTGGCATTCACAATCCCATGCAGCGGTCAGGACCATGTCAGCACTTCATGTCTGTCCGTGCCATACGTGGCCGTTGACCCCGGAGCCTGCGGGTGTTCGGGCTTCGGTGCACGGTTGGCATAATCCCATGCAGCGGTCGTTGCCGTGTCAGCACTTCATGTCTGTCCGTGCCATACGTGGCCGTTGACCCCGGAGCCTGCGGGTGTTCGGGCTTCGGTGCACGGTTGGCAGAATCCCATGCAGCGGTCATGACCATGTCAGCACTTCATGTCTGTCCGTGCCATACGTGGCCGTTGACCCCGGAGCCTGCGGGTGTTCGGGCTTCGGTGCACGGTTGGCATTCACAATCCCATGCAGCGGTCATGATCATGTCAGCACTTCATGTCTGTCCGTGCCATACGTGGCCGTTGACCCCGGAGCCTGCGGGTGTTCGG